AGAGAAGTTGAATGCTCTCCAGAACACCCAAAAGCACTCACAAAGTAAATCTCTTGATATGGCCACCTCCAACCCAACACCTGTGAAGCATCTGTCAATCTTGAGATCACCACAACACACAAAGCACTACCAGACTGGAACCTACACAGAATATCACCAGTTCATCTCAGATATTGAATTCATTTGTGACACAAGCAAACTGAATGATGAGGATACCCTCACATATGCTCTCACAGGACTTGGTTATATTGAGAAAGATCTTTGGGAGGCCCACCACAAAGGTAATCCATTAAAAAACAACTGGACTGGCCTTAAAGAATTTCTACACATGAGGCTAGGAGACCCAGCAAACTGCACATGAAACTCTTGGCAAGCAATCTTTGATCTTTGCAAAAGTTTGGATGAAACTGATTATACTTATCATCAACAATTTCTAGAGCTCACAACAGAGATTGGTGAAGAATTTGAAGATTCCACAAAAATGAAGAAGAACCTGTTTATATGGGGCTTGGATAAGCTCATGTGAATCAAACTGGATGAACAGCTGGAGATACCAGATGACATTGATGATATAGTAGCACTGGCCACCTGGCTCCAACCAAGTGTGTCAGTAGTCTATGCAAAGAATGCCTCACACATGAAGTCTACCAATCCAGTTGGAAGTGCTTACAGAGGTATGAAGATCAATGACTCAAGACTGTAAATGAATAAGAGAAGTCAACCCCAGAGGCCTGCTCAGGAGATGAGGAAGGACCTTACCAAGAATCATAAAGTCTTGAAAAAGAATGGGAGATGCTTTGAGTGTGGCCAAAAGAGCCACCTCATGAAAGACTGTCCCAAGAAGAAGAAGGGTAGCAAATAGAAAGTTGGGGGGCCACAAGTAGATAGAATCAATATAATGAAGTTATCCAAGAACAGTCTTCTTGCTCTCCCTTCTATTGTTCTAGGTGCACAAAGCCCAACTGACAGGAGTATTACCTGGTCAGCACTAATAGATTTGGGCTGTCAATCTCTAGTGATCAGTTCACAATTGGCTGTGAAGCTAGACCTAGAGGTGCACAAGATGTCTATAGAGATTGAAACTGCTATGAATCATAAGAATGTCACTCTTGCAGAAGGGATTGCAAATATATTCTTTAAAGTCTGTGACTCTCAGGGAAACTGGCAGTTGTTCCATGAACAAGTGATGGTCACAAATATAAGAGATGAGATGCTAGTGGGTTTGAGCTGGCTGCAGCAACACAATCTCAAGATGTGTTTCAAGGAACTAAGGCTAGAGTTCCAAACTGTGTGTTGCAACTCACTCATGAAGGTTAAACCAGTTAACCTCTCAGAGCTTGTGGAAGGAGGGAAGCCTATCTATGTGATGACCCTCCACAAATCAGAACAGGTGGTGACAGCAGATCTAGACCTCCAGATACCAGAAGCCTACCATGAACTCACAGAAGTGTTTAGCAACAAGAGGGCTTAGGAGCTGCCACCACACTGTAAAGATGATTTGGCTATAGATCTTGAACCAGGAAAGCAGCCAGAATTTGGAAGAACATACAGACTTTCACAAGTTAAGCAAGAGACTCTTCATGAATATCTGAGCAGTGCTCTAACCCATGAGTTTATCCAGTCTTTCAAGTCATCTGCAGGAGCACCCATCCTGTTCACATTCAAGAAGAATGGCAGACTAAGAATGTGTGTGGACTATCACAACCTGAATTCAAAAACAGTCAAGAATAGATATCCTCTACTACTGATTGAAGATGTATTGTATAAGCTTACAGGAGCTGCAATATTCACTCAGTTGAATGTCAAGAACACCTACTATAGACTAAGAATTCACAAAGGGGATGAGTGGAAGACTGTATTTCAGACTTCACAGGGGCTATTTGAGTACTTGATAGTGCTCTTTAAACTCATAAATACACCAGCAGCTTTCCAATCATATATCACAAAGGCACTTAGCAAATATCTGGATGTGTTTGCAGTGGCCTATCTTGATGATGTGGTTGTGTACTCAGCTCACAAGAAGGATCATGAGGAGCATGTGAAATTGGTACTTAAGGCACTCAAGAATACAGGCCTTTATTGCAAGCTGGCAAAGTGCAAGTTCAATGCCTGTGAGATTGATTATCTTGGGTATGTCATAACACCAGAGGGTGTTCTTATGGAGAAGAGCTGTGTGGACACTATTCTTGACTGGCCAGAGCCAACCAGTAAGAAAGAGGTTCAGATCTTCTTAGAATTCACAAACTTTTACAGGCACTTCATCCCAAGATTCTCTAAGATAGCCTGCAGCCTGACTGCTCTCCTAAAGGGAGGAGAAGCAAAGCTAAGCAGATGCACATGAAGAGAGATGAGGAGAGAAGCTAACACTTTCATGACTGAGGAAGGTCACAAAGCCTTCATAAGTCTGAAAAGAGTATTTGCGGAAGCTGTTATGCTTCACCATTTTGATATAGAACAGAAGACCAGATTGGAAACAGATGCATCTGACTTTACAGTGTGTGGTATTCTATTACAGCTGGCAAAGAATGACATCTGGATTCCAGTTGGGTTTTATTTACAGAAGATGCAATCTGCAGAGATGAACTACAGCATTCATGATCAGAAACTGCTTGTGATTGTGGAGTCATTTAGATATTGGTGCTGCTGGTTGGAAGGCTTGCAAACACCAGTTCAAGTCCTTACAGACCATAATAGCTTGTGCTACTTCCAGACTGCTCAAGACCTCTCACAAAGACAGGTCTGCTGGGTGCAAAGGCTGACAGCCTTTTGATTCACAGTTGACCATATGAAAGAAACTAAGAACCTGGCAGATGGACTCTCACAAAGACCTGACTATATCAAGAAGACTGGTCTAGATGATAAGAAGGGTCACAAGACTGCAAACCAACTAAGAATAATGCTTGTGAAGAAGCAAGAGACCACAGAAAAGTTGGAACCAACAGTTCAAGTTTCTCTGAATCAGAGAGGAAAGAAAGAAGGTGAGAATGCACAACTCATCTTCACAAAGCTTCAGATTGAGACCAAGAAACTACTCACAAAGATTGTCTTGGGAGGCACATGCAAAGTGAAGAAGATTATAATACAGGTTCAGAAGGCCAAAGACCTGGTCTGTAAGAAGAATTCTTATGAAAAGGGCAGCTCCAACCTGTTGGCATTACTGTCAAATCTACTGCAAAGTGATGACTATGCAGCTGAGGTCTGCAAAGACATTAAGACAGACACAAAGAAATTTGCAATGTGGAAAGAGGAGAAGGGTATTCTCTATAGGGATAGTCACATGTACATCCCTCAGAATGAGGCTCTGCAAATAGAGCTGATTAGACATCATCATGACCTACCCCTCACAGGGCATTTTGCTACAGCAAGAACATACAAGCTTATAGCTCACAAATACTTTTGGCCAAGAATAAGAGAACTGGTGAAGGAGTGTTGCAAAGCCTGTAGGGTCTGCTAGGACTCAAGAAGAGTTTGTGGGAAGTCTCAAGAAGAACTATCACTCTTACCAATCCCAAATTACCCTTGGGAATCCATTAGCATGGATGTTATTACAGATCTCCCTGCAAGCCTGAATTTTAAGAAGGTGCAGTTTGACTGTATTCTGGTTGTAGTGAACCAGTTCATAAAGATGGCTCATTTTATCCCTACAACAAAGAAGCTGACATCAGAGAAATTGGCCTATCTCTTTATTCATGAGATAGTGAGATTGCACAGATTACCTGTGAGCATAGTAACAGATTGAGAATCTCTATTCACAAGTGAATTTTGGGGTGATTTGACTCACATCTTGAAGATTACAAGGGCAATGAGCACAGCATTCCACCCACAAACTGATGGTCAGACTGAGAGACTGAATAGTGTGCTGGAGCAGTATCTGCAAAGCTATGTCAATTATGATCAAGATGACTGGGTGATGTGGTTGCCAATGGCTGAGTTTGTGTACAATAACTTGTGACAGGCTTCCACACAGAAATCACCTTTCCAGCTGACATATGGGTTGAATCCACAAACAGAATTCTTGAACCCTGATGAGTATGGCTATGTGTGCAAGAATTCAAGAGATCAGGTGGAGGTAATGAGATTGCTCCATGAAGAGGCCAAGAAATCACTCACAAAGATACAAGCCTACCAGAAGAAGTACTACAACCAGAAGCACACCACAAAGGTCTTCCAGGTGAGAGATAAGGTATGGCTCAACCTTCACAATATCAAGACCACACAGCCTAACAAAAAACTGGATTTGTTGAGGCATGGGCCTTGTAGAATTATAAAGAAGATAGGCTCACAAGTCTACAGACTGGAACTGCCTCCAGGTCTACAAACTTATGGTGTCTTCCATGTATTCCTGCTCCACAAACACAAGACCCACAAAGGAATCAATAGCTCATCTCATCACAAAGTTTGTAAGATGGATGAGGATGAAAAGGAGTACCAGGTCTGCAAGATAATTAACTTGAAGAGAGAGAGTTGTGAGCTGTGGTACAGAGTACATTGGGAAGAATATAATAATGAGAAGAACAAGACATGAGTTTCTGTAAGCAATGTCTATTTACTGAGAAAGCTACTCCAACAATTTCATAGTAGGAACCCGGACAAGCCTGGTTTGTGAAAAAGATGGATGGAGGTAGTGGAACTAGAAAATAGGTTAGGGAGAGAAAAGGCATAGTCAAACTGAACTGAATTCAATTGATTTCAAAACAAAAGAAGAAAAAACTAAACTAAGACTATATAATTAGAGTCTCCAGCTCCTCCTGTAAAGACCTGTAACAACTATTCATAACCTCACTGCTGGAAAGAGCAAGCAAGATGCCTACAGTATAGGCAGTTGTTATATTTTTGACTCAAGCCTGCAGAGATGCACTCTGCAAAGACTATATTGTTATAGTCTTGCTGAGCTCTCTTGCAGGCAGAGCACTTCTGTTCAGATGATGGCTGGACCCCAGCTCAAGTTACAAGAATTCTCTTACAGAGCTGAGCATGCACAGCCAACTGGTTTAAATTATTCAAACCAGCAATAAGCACAGGTCTTTGGATAGGCTTGCAACACCATGCTCTTTTACAGACAGACAAAGCTTGTGCCTCTGTGTGGGGGGGAAGGCCTGGAAGAACCACCAGATTGGCCTGCAACACATCAGCAAAAGTAGCAGCTGGTGGCATTTAAGTGAAGATGGTCTGGGACCACCATTGTCAGTCCTGCAGGGGAGGTGCTGGGCAGTCTCAAGCACCCTACAGGATTACAGCACCCACAAACCCTGCTGGTGCAGAGAAAACAACAACAACAATCTAAAGAAGATTAGCCACAAACTGAAATGTGATAGAGAATACTCACATTTCCAGCTGGGGCCAGAGTAATAACTACAGAGGGAGAAGGCAGAGCAGCAGAACCCTAACTCCATCAGCACACAAACCAATGTCAGCTCACAAGAAGCACTTACAGCTTGAGCTGGCACAGGGGGGGCAGTGACAACTGGTGGAGGGAGAGAAGAGAGAACAATAATACTCTAGAACTGTCAGTCACAAACACTTTCTAAACTTCTCACAACTACTCACCAAAGGCCCAATCTCATCCACAAAAGAGGGGGTGGGGGTCCTCCCAAGGAAGGAAAGTGGAGACAAGTCATAAGAGAGAGGGGGAGAGGACTGTACACCAGCAGCAACTGCTAGCAAGCATCAGTCTCTCTGTGAATCAAACCCCATGTGAAGACAAAATCTAATGGCCATGTGAAGCAAAGGCATAACCAGGGGTGAACTCACCAGCTTGTGATCTTTCAGCCAATCATACAGAACATTAAAGTGAAGCCATTTTTCTTCCAGAATATCAGAGACCTCCTGCAAGCCTGCCTCCCATGTGAAGCAGTGCTTGAAGGGTTCACTTACCTTGATAATAGTGATATAGGCTAGAGAAGAAAGAGAAGAAAAGAAGAGAAAGAGAAAGCAAGAGAAAGCTCTCTCTTAAGCTAGTGTTCATTATCTAATAGTGACACAGGGTTAGCAAGAACAATAGAGACTCTCTACACATTGTTGTGTTATTGGGTTCTGTTGTGTTATTAGAGTTGTGTTGATATCACATCTCTAGTGAAGCTGTACTCTTTTCCTTATGAGGAAATTTTTATTTTTCCCAAGAGGTTTTTTGTTTTTCTACTCATGAAGATTTTTAACAAGACAGCTGCCTTGAGGGACCAAGGCTTACAAGGGGGGGGAATCTGTAAGGATTCACCACAAACCCCTTATACAGACAAACAGCACTCATGAAGGCCAGAGGCCTCAGCTTGCAAGCTGCTGAGAGTTGCATGTGTCCTCACAAGACACTAAGTCATGTGCTCGCAAGCATATATAAAAGGCTGTCACTGTGCAAACCCCTTGCTGGAAGCCAGTGGCAATCTTGTTTACAAGTTGTACATAGTTGCCAGAATACAGACCTTTTACCTCGCGTACTCTTTTCCATGTATATTCCTCCTAGAGATTCATTGTCACGCTGATCCACACGTACGATCCTCACATGGAAGCTACATTTCTGAATTCAGAATGTATATATTTTTAAACTTCCAAACAACTGTGGATTCGGATAAATGTACAGAGTATATTCCGACGTAAATGTATCGGGACTAGTGGATCTACGGTTTACAAATCCTCCCCATTTCTGCTATGGTTTTATAGTGGGCAAAGGCCACGATTTTGAAAAACCGTGGCCTGAAGCGTTGGCTCATGGCATCCAAGGTGAAGGAGGGTGATGGAAAACCCCCTGGGTGGGTGAGCTGCATCTCTAGATTTTTTCCTTTCTTGACTTCTGGCTAACAGGCAGAAGATCCCTGATTCGGGTCTTCGACCCCAAGGCACCAGACGACGCAGAACCGGTTTGGGAATGGACAAAAGAGGTGGAGTATGGCACGGGTCGCGTCCCAAAGGAGTGTAGAGTCAAGGTCCTCCATGGCTGGATAAAGATTTCCACTTTGGCACAAGGCTAAATGTGTTATTTATCTGAAGCCCTGCCTCCTGACCAACCCACAAGGTGATCAAAATATCTTGTGCCAGATCTTTAGGAATCAGAATAGTGAGACAATCTGTTGTGGACTTGCCTAAATCTCTTTCTAATTGCCATTGGTGACTAGTACAAACTGCATCCAAAAGCAAGTCACCCAGAAGTGTAATTTGACTGATTGGAGCCTTTGAATACATGTATTGAATATCTAACCATCTGTTAGCAATTTCACTGTATATAGCTGGAAGCATGCTTATTACTTCTTCCGGTGTGGTTACTCTTGTCCCTGAGACATCTTTTTTCCGAACACATGCGCTTTAGTGGCTGTCCTCATGATCTTCACAGTGGGAGGTTGCAGCTCATGTCTGCAAGACTCCTCTAATATTTGAAGGATTGGGCGTACCCAAATCTTGTTGATGTTGGGCAAGGCGCAGTTTGATATGTGCTTCTCTCATTTATTAGCTCCAAGGACTTCACAGCAGATAGCGGCGACAAACAGGAGAGGAATTTCATAAATAGACCCTTGTCTTCCAGGACAAAGTCACTGAGCACAACCTTGTTGATGTCATCTCTACATAGAAGCAGTGACAAGTTTTGGCATTGCACAAAGTCTCCAACATTTTCAACAAGAAAATTGAAGATATGGGAGGGCAAGTCAACCATCTCTTCAACAGTATATGAAAGTCCACAAAGCTTCAATAATGAACAGTCTAAGTTTTGCAGTCACACTTTCCTTGTTGACTCATAAGAATTTGCCTTGAACAGGAACTTGATGAAATGTTTGATTCTTGTAGCTTGCTGTTTTGGAAGAGCTTTATTATCTGGGAGTTCTTGCAATAAGCTCTTGGTTGAAAACAAAACAGTTTGGATGATGAGCTGTGTTTGGAGCTTGGATACAGAGTCTAGCAACTTTGGTAAGTCAATTTCCGAGTCCTGAAGGTGCCAGACATCTTGCCTAACCCTCCTAGCATTGAAAATGAGGGCCTGCAGCAAAGGGGAGGACATCTTGGAATGAGTGGGCTAAATAGCATTTGGTGGTGGGTGGAATCTGGCGTGGGAGGACCAGTGAGCCATTTTATGTTGCCCAAGAGGCCAGGGTGATTTTCGGCCGGCTCTCCGCATTTGCCACATATCCCCTATACAGGATGCTCGGTCCATGCGCACTCAGGAGATGTGCAACGCTGTCTTTGTCACATGTTTTTTTTGGTCAACTGGAATATAAATAACCAACCATAGTTAGTGCCAGTAAAAAATGAGTAATGAGATTTCAGGGACTATGGAGACGGAGATATTACTGCCAGGAGTCCGGAAAAGGTAGAACCACTAGAACTGGGCTGGAAAAGAGAGCCTGTAATTTAACTACTTTCTTATTCTCATTTTTCTATTTTATGTTCGTCGCTAGTCACTCCGTAGAGAAATATCAATGTACGCCGTTCTTGCTGGATTTATCCCAGTATGCATATCGCTGCTTTTAAATACAAAGATACCTAAATGCAAACATCGCTGCCAACCATCACATGAAATTTGTAGAAAGAGAATTTGGGGGGGGAAAAGGAAAAAAGAAAAAAGGGGAACTATTATACAAGAGATGATGCCTTCACGCCTTCAAATGTCCCGACTGAACCATCAACACCGGTGGTTGGGCTTTTTTGCGACAGATTTCCGTAAACTCCGTCAAATACTCCAACCTCACGTTGTGGCAGTTCGCCAAGTGCAACGAGAATAGCTCTTCGCGATAGAATGGTTCACCGTTATTGTGCTTGTGATCGTAGCCAATATCGTCCGTCTCGCATATGCAGTGCACGTCTCGGAGATGTTGCTTGCGTGCGCTCCAGTCTGCTGGGGATTCAGAAAATATCTCTCCGCAGCACAGGCAGTAGTCGTATGTATAGACCTTTTTTGCGTTGACGGAGGCCTGGTCGGCTTGGATGTTAGGATTCTCATCGAGATTGAGAGACGCGAGGTCTGATGCGTCTTCAGTATATATTTCGGTGTCGAAGAATACACCTGGGTTGCTGGCGTGCTCAGGACCGGGGCAGATCCAGCTTTCTGGGGTGTTGTGCCAGAGCTTGGTGTGTTGGATGGAGGCGTTCGTGTCGGGGAAATGTTTTTCGCAGGTTTGACATTTGAGTTCGGGCGGACATTGGCTGGCACTGCGATTCAGGTTAGCTACGGCAGTCAATTGTAAGGAGAAAGATCATCAATAGCCATACCGATAGACTTCATCTTGGAAACCAGGCTGTTGGAGACAGTGTAATGGGGAGAGGTCCCAAGGTGGAAAGCCTTCAACGGGTGTCATGGTGAACTTTGAAATCGGATACGGAGACCGAAGTGGATTCCAGGAGATCATTGTCGTGCCTTGCTCAAAGTGCTCAGCGACATGTTCTTGTCGCTCGGCCCAAGTTCGTAGAATAAGCTCACAGAACCCGCAATTCCAAAACCAGTTGCTTCTTTTCTCGAGCCAGTTCCAAGAATCTATTCTTTTGGGCCCTTCAAGTGCCTGTGGATTGTCTGAATAAAGATGATACCCAAAGCTAATACATTTCTCTGCAGCTGCTTCGGCGTCGTGGGAAGGTTCTTGATTCTCATACCTGCTAAACGTGGAGACGACGTCAGACATTGAAAACATCACATCATCGTGCGTAACGACGCCTTCGTCCTGGGAATAGAGGTTTCCATAAGGCCTCATGTGGAAAGCAGCCTCATGGTACGCCCATTCTTCCTTATTCTCCCATTGCATCAAGCAAAAAGTGCATTGGAACGGACGGGGTTCGCCTAGTGGCATCTGGATCTCCAAATCCAAAGTTGGAAGTTCTTTAGAGCAAGTGGATAGGGATGTTTCTGGAGGGGGCGTGGATACCGCGACTCTTGTTCTAGAGTTCAACTCGGTCATGAAATCCGAGTAGTTCGAAGCAGATGATTTTTGGACTCGTGAGAATATAGACTTAGGCGACACCGTTCGAATCGAGGGTTGCGAGCTCTTCGCCCTTCTCGATGCCAGATATGTGTCCCTCGACGAGGCTTTTTTCAAATATCCCTTCGCTTTTCTAGACCAAGAACTGGCAATGGACGCAGTGATGCTTCGTTTGGAATTTGACATATAGCTTCGTGGTTTCGAGCTCGCGCTATCCTCTTTAGAAGCGTTCCAGAACTTCATTCTAGAGATAAGCCGACGCCCTACAGAGCGTGATCGGGGTAATGGCAGGTCCACTTGAAATCGCGGAAGATCCGACGATTGTATGCCTCTCGATGCATCCTGCCAGTAGGAGATATCTTCTTGACAGTGTGGCCTTCTGTCATGAGCAGGCAGCGACACGGATTCTGCTTTAGCAAACCTGTATCGATTGTTGCAATAGGTCTGTCCACCTTGAAGGCAGTCCGAGTAGCTATAAGATAGGTCAGATTTGCACACTCGCACCCGCTTGTTGAGTAAAAGGGGCTTACTTTGCGCTTCTATCATCCTCTGTAGGGGGCCCTTTGGTGAATCCATCGAATTTGTGACTTCCACATGATATCGAGCGATTATCAGCACTCGGTTCAGTAGCCGTCGGACACCGGCGGATGGGAGTGTACTAGAATAGTTGGTGAGCTGTGAAATTGGCAGAGTAGGGATTGTAACTTACAACACTGGAGCTATCTCGTCGATGACTTTTCGAGCAATCCAAAGATGACTCTTCCTGATTCGCGGAGTAACAGGTCGCAGGGAGGGTTGGCAGGTGATGGTCGTTTTGTATATCCACTGCCACAGAGTGTTCCTTCGAATAAAAATTTAGACTTGTTCTGCTAATACAATAAAAAAAGTTAGACCTTACATATTCTTCGGGCTTCTTTTGCTGGGTATCTGGGTTCTCTGTGTCGATTTTAAAAATTGCGATATGGCACGACCCATCTCCGCCACCGAGCCGATTGGTATCAGGTTCTCCGATATCGAAGCCTCCCGGAGACCAGATATACGAAAACTCTCGTATGGAGGAGTCGACTTCTTCTGTGGTCAGCACAGTGTAGAGAACTGTGTTTTGCGTTTCGGAGACAGGCCGTTGCGCGGATCGAGGGCACTCTTTCCCCTCGTTGAACTGCTCAACGTACTCCTCAACCTCCATTTCTGCTGGATAATCGAAGTACTGCGAGCGAGGGATTCTCGCAGCAATCGTCAAAGAGCAGAATTCATGCGAAGAAGCAGGTGTGTCGACGTATATTAACGAGTACTGAGTTCAAGAACGTCTATGTAATGGGACGTATGTATCCGATGATGGTAAAAGAAAGAGAAGATAGTCGGAGTGATTGTGCACAGGCAAGTTTTTGGCCGAGGGATATACTCTCGCAATTTCAGAGACAGTTTCAACTCGGCCCAGATGCTCTGAGTACCGCTCTGGCAACGGAGAGAAGCCTCGCTCTCCACCGGAGCCAGCTGGCCATAGTGCGCTGAGTCAAAACCACACAGAGGACGTCGGGCATAGTCATCACACACCCACTCGCTGTCTTTGGGCTCCGAAGTGCGTTGTCACGGCCGTAGCCAAGTATGACCACATGTTGGGCTGGGAAAAGGTGAGGCAATCCCCGCTGTCCGCCATGTGTTGGGGTTCCATTGGCATGCGGTGCATCGTTCAAGTCGCCTTGGAAGGCCAATAGGATAGCATCAGCAACGGCGCTGCATCCATTGGTCGGATGATTGCACCGTCTAACAGAGAGATGAGAAGTGCGTATGAAGTGCTAAAGGTTGAGGCACCAAGGCGCCCAGTTGACGGGCTTGGTTTTCAAGTTCATTGACGAGGAGCAGCGGGAGGGGCGAAACGACGACTCCCTCTCGTTGGCTTCGCTGATTGATGTTACTCCGTACAGTCTATGCGTACGCCGAGCTTGTCAATCCGGCTGGACAAGCGATGATCAGAACCAACATCCTGCGCATTCTCCTCCCATGTGAGGCTCGTTGAGAACGGTGGTTCCTCTCGTGGCGGCCCGCACAGCCCGTTGACTAATTCGACAACAGGGACGCATCACATCGTGGATAACACAAGTTCCCCTTCAAATCGGATGTCGAATGCCCTTATGGCCTCAAGAGGGACCCATTTCCAGAGCGCAAGACGCGCAACTCACCTTGCCTAAGTGCCTTGGGAGCTAGAGTACGGAGTAAATCGTAGTATAAATTGACTAGTTATTCCATTCTACGTAGGTGTTTGTAAATGTAGAATGGAGCCATAGCAGACGAAAAAGGTCCCGATTGCTGTTGAGAAAGTAACTACACAACCTATGATGCGACACGGAATGGATAACTAGTGCGGATTGTTCGTAAATTGGGTATTTTGTCAGCTTATGCCATCTCCAGAAGCACGGGCTCCCTCGCCATGCAGGGCTCTCGCCCCCAGCAAGTACCGTGTGGATCAGCGCTTCGCTGGGTTCCACACGCCGAACGGTCGATGGCGTAACGGGTGGTTTAGCTCACGAAGCAACATAATTTATCAGGTGAGCTCCCACCGCGGTGAACTAACGAACGACGGTTAATCGCAAAAGAAAGAGCCCCGTCTCTCGACGTGGGACGCACATTTTTGAAGGCCAACGGGCTAGCTATCGCATATAACCGTCAAATGAGGCGGATAATCACCCAGGGCGTTTAGCAACCGGGGAAACTAAAGTAACCTCGTCAGATCGCGATAGTCTATCAAGCTTGAAGATCATACGAAAAGACAGCTTCTACTCATTTCCAAGGCTCTCATTCCAGAGCTTGGCGGGAACAGATGTAGGAAACCCAGCCCCTGATTTCATTGGGCCCTCGAACTTGGTGGCACATTTCTGCCAGCTTAGTTGGAAAGATGTCGGCAATGCAACGCAAGCAGAGAATACTCATATATCGGCCATAATTCTTGGAACCAGCATTCACCCAGCAGTCCAAGTTAAGCCAAAGTCGATCCAATGATCTCTGAACAGGCTCGGTAATTTTGTGGAAACAAGTTGCCATAACCGCTCAAATCAGCAGATCACTGAGGAGTTCGTCACATGCAGTACCCCTAGACACAGTGCTATTACCGCGACTGCACCACCTTCAAACAGCCCACCATCTCCAGCTCCACAGGAGCTCGAGGTGCCCAGTCGGTGAGGACACTGAACTCAAGTGAGAGAATATGGGATGACTAGATTTATTGTAAGATACCGACCGCCCATCACCTTTCGACAGAGAAACCAAGCCCTATCCTAATGAGAAAGGAAACAGCCAGACCGGCTATGGCAACCCAAAGTATAACCTGGTGTACTCTCACAAACGTGGGTCTCGCTGAGCTGACCATTTCATCAATCTCTTCTTCCAAGCGATCCCCCATTGCACTGAGAGAAAAGTTCTTCTCCACTCGTTCCTGGCCCATTTTTCCCATTTCTTCAAGTTGTTCCGAATTCATGTCCCACAGGACCTGTTTAATTACTCTGGACCACTCTTCGACAGAACTTGCATCCCGCAACCATCCAGTTTTACCGTCCAGAATGGTTTCCAGTGGCCCACCCGTGTTCACAGCCAGTAGCGGGAGTCCAGCATGCATAGCTTCGACTGGAACGATTCCAAAATGTTCATGTGAAGGTGTATAAAGTAGCAGCGTCGAGGACGAAAGTAGAGTTTGCTTGAACGCTGACGGAACGGAGAGAAGGAAAAGGACATTTATTGATGCCGGGATGGAGAGCGCTGATACAACCGTCTTCGACGTAGCAGTCTCCAGGCCGAGATTGGTCGCTAGGGAGTCGAGTTCCCTGTGGTATTGGACATTTTCTTGAACCCGGTTGTCGTATCCACCTAGATCAAAATATAGAGTTAGATTATCTTCCTGGGCAGAGAGGTTCCATATGAACGCTTGCCAGCAATAACCAATCTTGTTCCTCTCCTGTGCTGTTTTCCAAGACCGTGATACGCTCTTATAGCCAATTCAATATTCTTCTTTCTCTCAAACCGATTGATGCTGAGTATAACCTTCAATCCTCCCCAAAGTGGCTCTTCCGAGGACGATGTCTGCCCATCGCCGATCTTGAGCGCCTTTTGTGACGTGTCAACGCAAGGATACAACACTTTCACATCCCTCAGTCTCTCGCCGAAGACTTCTCTAACCACCCGAGATGTAAACCTCGAATTCGCGACCACTTTGTCCGCCGCACTCATCGCCCAACCCTCGAACCAGTCGAACGGCCATCGATATAAGCCTTTAACAAGCCTAATCACCCGACCCCCTTCATCTCTTCTCGCGAGCAGCTGATCTGGGAAGTGACAATAAAACAATATCCGATCTCGTCCTCGCCGTCTCGAGCCACGTAACACTTCCGACCCGAAAAGTCTTAACAGCGGAACGCAAGCGGGAACCTGGTCGACGATAAACACATCATCCTCCGCGTCGTCTTCTTCAGCGATCATCTGGTCACCATTTGTTCTACCCGCACCACCCACTTCCCTCTTCCTCCTCCTCTCCAGTACTAATCCCATCACCAAATGTAGCTGCCTCAACACCGCCATCAGTACATGCAGTCTGCCTCCAACATGTGCTGGAAACACCGTGTTCCCTCCAACCCTAACATCCAGCGTTCCATCTCGGGCCTCTTCAAAGCAATGCATTGGGTCCCGGTGAGAGGTGTATATCGTTACGCGGTGGCCACGCGACTGGAGCGCTAGGGCGGCATCGAGAATGAGCCTTTCGGCACCGCCAATTCCAAGATCTGGATGAATGAAGATGATATTTCTCTTGCGATGGGACTTCGCGGATCTTGAGGATGAGGCGCGTTCGGACGGCATTTTCGTCTACGATTCGGCGGACATTTGGCATCCGGCGTTGTCCTCTTGTGAGGAGCAATGGAACCTGCCCGGAGTCCCGTGAGGTAGGTAGGTCAGGGGCGGAAGTCATGTGACGTAGGGAGTAGTTAAAGCAAATTTGTCTACTCGTCCCTAAATCAAACCGCCGTGTTAATTATCAGTTCGAGTCTTCAATCTCTCTGCCTATAAAATTTGTATCTCCCCTGAGTACCCTACTATGTGTTGCTAGAGTCAAACTACTGTTGACAAGACAGTTACCACTCTCATTTCATCGATACGCAAGGGTCACAGCGGTTTTACAATACCAAGGTAAAGAGGCAATGTAGCAAGACTGACAATTGCAATTTGGCATGGAGCAAAGTTCCAAAGGTCGAAGTTGAGCTAGTACACATGTATGCAACAATCCAAGGGTAACTGAGGTGAAAAGAAGCGAGGACGGGGAGGGAAAGATATGGATAAATCAATCAGGACTTTGCAGAAATGAAGCCAAATAAATGCAGACCCCCTCCCCCTTTTCGTTGGTTAAGATTTACCATTATGTGGAATTACATGGTGACAATACTTGTCAATCTCAGATGGTATCTTCATAACGTGGTCAAAATCAAAAATGAAAATAAACAGAAAAAGGGGGTATGAAGCAAAATGATAAATAACAAAGCGCGCCGCAGATGAGGCGACCAAGGAAGAAATAATACACAAGATATCCAGGACTCAGAAGAAACACCACATCAAAGACAAGCATGTATGAGCATCCGATGTATGGAGCGGGGTTCATAAATGACATCATAAGAAGGTAAAAAGCAAAGCGATGGGATGTACATGTGCATTAGAAAAACCGACTGCTGAGAAGGGGGAGGATAAGCGACAGGCATTATGAGACAGTGGAAATGTTGCGAGGGATGTGGGTGGACATCAGGAAAGGGGCAAGCGAAGCAGGGTAGAAAATTTGGGTTCGAGTTCTCTGCTTCTTAGAAGCAGTTCAACGTGCTCTTTTTCTTTTTCTTGCTGATGGCATTCATCTTCTCTTCCAGATGCGCGCGGGCCGCTTCTGCTTCTCGTCGGGCATTTCGCTCTTCTTCCACAGCTTGGAGCGAAAGTCTGGCGGAATTACGTTCAGATCGCAGAGTATTCAGTTCTTCTTCCAGCTGCCAGGCCTTCTTCTTCCAGCCTTCCATGTCCGTCTTGACCTTGTTACTTTGAGCCTCGAGGTCGCCGAGAGCTTCTTCTAATGTTGCGGTAAGCTGCTTCTCCGCATGCAGGTGCTTCTCAATTGTGCGAATGCGAGCTTCCTGATCCTCGACGAGTTGAGCATTCACAAGCTCCTTGCTTGTATGTCTCGAGCTAGGTGGGGAAATGCTGCCGGTATTGGCGGCAGCGGCGATATTTGGAAGTGGTGGGAGAGGAATTGCGGGAGGCGGGGAAGGGAGAGATGCAGCAGAGGCGCTCTTTCTGAGGTTCGATGATATGGAACTCGTACGGTCGGCATTGTGACCTTCGGGGGAGCCATTTCTAGTGTGTGCCTGCTCAAGAGTTAGTGGAACTGTTGCCCCGATCCTAGGTATTGTTTGCATTACCTCGAGTTGTTCAATACGCGTACGGTAGGATTCGACTTCTTTCTCGTATAGTGCAACCTTCGCGTTTGCTTCCTCCAGAGCTTGATTGCGTTCAGCCTGGATGACCGACAAACGATTATGATGTTGGTCGAAGGTGTTCGTGATTTGTTCTTCGAGCTCCTCCACCAGTCGCAAGCTTTTGTCCTTCTCAGTCTTAAGTTCAGTAATGAGAGCTTCTTTCTTCTTGATAAGCTCGTCCTTAGCACTGAGTGAGTCCTCATGGGTAGCCACCAGGTGGGCAAGCTCATTGACCTTGGCCTCCTGCTTCTCGCTCTTGTCATTTAGAGCGGAAATCTGCTGTTCAAGATCGGCATGACCGCTTTGCTTTTCGTCAACTTGACGAAGAAGCGCCTCATTGGCTTCGATAAGCTCCGAGTATTTGTCGGCAAAATGTTGTTTCTGGGAAATGATATCTTGCAGCTGGGTGTGAATGGTATCAACAGTCACAGGGGTGCTTAGGACGGAGTTGATTGTGTTGAGAAGCTGAGTCAATTCGTTTTTAGAGGAAGTAATCTCAGCTTGTAAATCATCGAGAGCCTGTTGATGCTTAAGATTCTCCTGTGCAATACGTGATTCGTACTCCGCTTCTGCCGCTGCTTTTGTTCGGATTTCCAGCTCTTTTAATTCCTCCGCATGAGACATCTGGAGCGAGGCTAGTTCCGCTTGTTGTGCTTCGGAGGCGCTCTTGTGGCTTTCAATCTGTCGAGACAGTTCGTCGACTCGACTGCGATAGGACTCAAGCTCCTTGCTAGTGGTTTCTTTCTCAGCGATGCGGTCGGCAAGTTCAGTCCTGCTGTCGGTGTGGGCCTTCTCAAGATCAGAGATCGTTGACATATTGGCAGCGATAGATTCCTTGAGCTCTTCAATATCCTTCTTAAGGCTATCAACGAGTTCTTGATGCTTAAGTCGCTCGTTTTCCAAGCTTGTAGCTGCGTCCGCGATTTGCTGGGCGTTGGCTCCATCTACCTCGTTTCGTTCGCTCCTCATAGCGTCCACACTGGCAAGGGCAGCGTCAAGTTCGGCACGGGTCGTCTGAAGTTGTTTCTCAGAAGCTACCAGCTCGTCCGCGGCAGCTTGGTGCTTGTCTTGCCACTGAGATCGCTCAGTCGTCGCCCTCTGGAGTTCCTCAATCGTAGATTGTAATTTCTCCTGTGCAGACTCAAGGTCGGACATGACGGACTGGTGCTTTTCTTGCCACTGTGTGTTTTCATCTTCGAGTTGTACGATCCTCTCCTTATGACCCTGAACCTCCACCTCCTTGTGTTCAAGTGCAGTTTTGTGAACAGTCAGCATCTCATTAAGGGTTTGCAATTCGGAAGTGAGTTCCTTCTCTCGAATATCATGGGCTTCTTGAAGTTCTTTAATTTGTGTCTCGCAGTGCACAATCTGATCCCGCATTTGAGAAACAACAGAGGAATCAACTGGCGACTGGCCTTGCAAACTAGACCTTTCTCGGGTCAAGCCGGATATTATAGTAGCTTTCATTTCCATTTCCTTCTTGACGTTCTTGTTCTCAGCTTCAAGAGCTTGGATCCGTTCCATTCGCGAGTGAAGCTCATGCATTGCCGTATTGAGGTTAAGCTCGAAATTTTGCATAGTATCCGGTCGACTCTCAAATTCCTCAGCGGCAATGTTACGCAACGTTGCAAATGATCTATGAGCACGGTCTGGATTGATAAGGTTTTGGCTAGTCATCCGGCGGATTACCTGGGATTTCGGAGTTGTTGGAGTTGTTGGAGAAGCCACTTTAGTTCTCTGAACCTCCGCTTTGAGCTGCTCGACTAGGCCAAGGGTTTCTTCATGTTCGGCTTGGAGCTCAGCATATTTCTGTGTTACGACACCCATCCCTTCTTGGTGTTCTACTAAAAGCCTCCGTAGGCTTTCAAGTTCACGAGAGCTAGTTTCATCTTTCTCGCAAACATCTCGTTGGCTTGATTCCGCTCTCTGGATAGCCGGAGTGTCCGGCTCGCCAAGTGAAATAGACGACTCCCCTTCCAAGGAGGGCTCCGAAGAAAGCGATCGCGACAATGAACATTGGTTTCCATTTTTCAGTTGCTGAGCTCCGACGTCTTCTAAAAAAGAAACCGGGTGTGTTTTACCCATTGGAGAGAGGGTAGTGGGCTCAGCTGGATGTCTGGCTTCGTCAACAGCATCGCGAAGTTCTGCAAGGGTGCGTAGAGCTTCGTCATACTTCGCATGAAGAAGATCATACTCATTGACCGTGTTCTCATGCTGAATCCGAAGTTCAAACAACTCGTGGGTCACGCTCTCGAGCTTGTCAGCAACAAAGCGTGATTGTGCGGGGCTTTGCGGAGGATATTCATCGTGGGCCGTCAGGTTGTCCGCATTCTGGGGTGCTGAGGCTCTTTCAAGTGCTTCCAAACCAGAATCGTCATTAGGAGCATCAACGCTTGGCAGGTTTTCATCTGACAGTGGTTGATCCACGAGATCGTCATCCGATTCTGGGATAGCGGTCTCTGCAGCTTCCATAAGGACATCGAGCTGAAGACTTCGTGCGCGTGAAGTCTTTCGTTTCTGTACGGTAGCAGGTGGAGGGCCTACAATAACATCTTTTTCCTTCTCCCCCTTGGAACCATTTTGCTGGATGTGATCCAACTCGTAAAGTAGAGTGTCCAGCTTCCCAAGACTCCGTTGGCGGTCGATGACATGTTCCAATCTCTCCATTTCTCGTTGCATTAGTTCCATATCCTGGTCGGCTTCGGCAAGTCTTTCCTCCAAAGTTGAGATATAATCCTCGCAGCTCGCCTCATTTTCTCGGGCACGTGCGATCTCCTTGCGCAATTCAGCAATGATTGAGGCGTTCTTTTCTTCACCTGAGGCGTGACCATCAAGCTTGGATTCTAGATCATGAAGATAGCTCTCAGTGTTCGCCTCTCTGTCCATCATCTTTTGAATGCGGGCTTGGAGCTGAGAGTTGACTGTCTCAACATAGGCACATTTCGTCTCCCTTTCAAGAAGCGTGCTCTCAGTATTCGACAGCGATGAACGAGTGTTGGACAAGGAGGACTCTAGGCTTTGGATTGTCTTTTCGTATTCCAGGACGACTTGCTCGACAGATTCCGCAAAAGAATGTGAGCGTTTCAACCTCTCCATGGCACTACCACTGATTATATTCTGTAAGTCGTCATCGTCACCGTTGAAATCGGAGGCTTTTGTGAGCTCTGAGATCAGCTTTGCGTGGCGCTGACTCAAGGCGGTGTAGCTCTCTTGGGTATCCAACAAGTGATTCTGTAGTTCTATCTCACGTTCGCTTTGGCGTTCTGACCGGTCTTGGAGAGGCCCACTTCTTCTCTCACCGCCCTCGGTGTTCCGGATTTGTTGGCGCAAAAAAGCAACTTCAGCCTTGAGTCGTTCAATAACAGCTTGCTTGTCACGCTCATCGGTAACTTGCTGAATCCTCGGTTTACTCTGGATAGCCCTGGCTCGCTGTGCATACTGTACAGTATTCAAGGTTTCACTGAGATGAAATTCGGCAGGAGTCACGCAAGCAATCATGTAAGTAATCGCATTGCCACCCAAAGAATCTTGAAGGAGGCGTGTGAGTTTGGAGTCCCGATAGGAAACGTGCGCTCCAGCGTGACGGGAGGAGAGCTGCGAGATAACCTTGCCCAAACTTGCCAGTCCAGCATTAATCGATATACCTTCCTTCGCTCGTTCTCCCGACGCGCCAGTATTCTTCAAACGTTCGCTGCCAGCCAGATCCACAAAGTGAAGTTTACTATCGACCGTCACAAATGAAGTATCAGCACCGGAAAAAGCCTCAACAGGGACAGAGAATCGCTTTTCCTTTGCCGACATGGTAGAGGTTGGGTCCTTGCGCTGAACAAGATTCAAGCTGAAAACCGCGTGCGAACGAGACGATTTGGCGTTAACTGCTGTAGCATCTGTCTGTCGAATCGCAGAACCAAAATTTAGGGCGCCGAGAAGGTCTTCGAAGGAGTTGATGTTCACTTGGTTTAATCCGGTGAGAATGATGCGTCCCTTGGTATCCTCTCGGATAGTGACAGTGCTTCGATCGCTCATTGGAGTAGATTCTGGAACCAAAAGGTCTCTAAGGTGCTCGTTGTAGATCTATCAGCGATTATTAGTCGTTTTGAATTGTTCCATTAGTGTGTTCGCGACAGCCAACCTCGACATAAGTGGCTTTTAGTTGCCAGTTTTTATCCAAGTTCCCCTTTCCAAAATTCGGCAAAGATGACGCTATTGAGTATCTTGCGGGGGTCCGCAATCCTGTAGATCCTGTTCGGGAGTGATTCGCATTGCTATCCGTTAATTTTTCAAAAAGCATCTGCGCTGCACGGGGGACGATACCTGATGGTAACCAAAGTGAGTCAGTCCAAACTTCTTATGAAACTTGTCCTTGATGGAATCTGGGCTACACTCACCCATGGCTTGGGGATCATTCTGTTCAGCGGGACCGGATGTACCCATAGTGTACGATTTCCCGGCACCGGACTGTCCATACGCCAATATTGATACATTGTACCCTTGCACGAACGAGTTGACGCTGTCTTGGAGATATTGCCAAATACCGTCTTGGTCAATGGTCTCGTTGAATACTCTGTCGAAAACAAAGAGTTTGCGACCCTGAGGGGAGTCCACGGCTAAGCTCGTATCAGATGTGACATGGACGGTTGCCCGTTGGAACCGAGGGGGTATCAATTCGTAGCCAGGGTCTGTGGGCTTCAACGGTGGTCGTACTCGAACAGCTTGAAATGGGGGGGGGGGGCAGAAATGAGCGATTGGCTTTCAAGAAGTTGCGCCAAATGGCGCGAAGTAGACATATTACGTACCGACTTTGACTGCGGTCTTTCCGTCTTCGTCCGACGCCCGACTCCCTCCCCCTTGCTTGCTTCCAACGCTCAAACGACTGTGGCTCCGGGGAGGCCTCATTATCGCGCTCAATGGACGCTGGATACTGCTGCGGGGCGGTGATCCAGGAGGCGAATTAGTCATGGCAACGCAGTATTAATTCTAGCTTAATTCCACCGCGTGGTTCAGCTTCCCCAAAACAGAAAATGGTGAGAGTTGATATAGGTTCATTCGACGGGATAATTATTATCGGATCAGCGAAAACATCAAGGCCATTAAGTCATTACAGGGGCAATTAATCGCGATCTGTGGGCGAAGAAGCGTTAGGTTCTGGCTTGCAACCAATGGTGCCCCCTTTTCAAGGCCTGACTGGGGTGTACTCCTGGGGCGAGAGCTGGGTGTGCACGTACTGAGGTCCGACCAAGAGTGACAGAGAATATGCGCGTGTGAGAGAGGGTGGTCTGCAGTCCAACTGCGCGTGAAGGAGATGGTGTTGTGACGAACACAGCAAAGCAAAAAGAGAGAGAGCCCTCCTCGATGTCCCAGGAGATAGCTGGGTGGGATTAGTTGTGAAGAGGAGAGAAGGGGAGGGAGTTTGAATGAGACGTGCTTCAAGGGGTGAAAATGTGGTTGGCAGGGATGGGTGGATACGTCGTCAAAAGCGAGGAATTTGGTTTAGCGCGGCCAGCCCGACCTCTCCTGAAGGCGTTGGCTTGCTTGACCTACATATAAGTTACAGGCTAAAAGAGTAACATCCACAGCACCACTCCCTGCCAGGCCATCGCTCGCTGGCGGTTTGAGTAGGAGTGATGCGTCTTAAGAGATTGACCTGTTAATGTCTAACGGGCCGCCTTTAATCTGCTGATAAGCTCAGACGCGATGCTATAGTGTATGTTTTGCAGAAACTTCGCAATACGACGTTTCAAGTTCCAAAGGCGTCGCAGACAAATTAACAGTCGAGGCAACGCTCGACGAAACCCCCCGAAGTACCGAATCGTTACACTCCATTTTCCCTTGGGCCGCCTTAACGACAGCCACGTTTTGTTTTGATGTTATTATTATTCCATTTTGGGGTACGTAGCACCCACCTTGTGGTCAAGGACAGGCCCAAATCCGTTCTCCGTCGTTTCCATGAGATCGCCCAGGCAGAGAGAATTGATTTGTTTTGTCCCTGAACCGTTCCGCAGTTTCATCCCGGATGAGCTCCGTCAGAATTGAGTTGCGAGCCTCCCCACAAACCCATCTTGGCAAGTGGACCATGCTCTGCATGGCATGCTCTTCCATGGTTGAACACGCGTTAGAGAGATTTTTGATGGTGATTATTATTTTTATCTCCGCGCTCCATGGGATGGGATCGGACGAAAGATCCGGGCCTTTCCCAGACGCTGAGTTTCTTTACACAGAATTTTCAAGATTCCCAAGCGAAACATTATGCAGCGACGTCAAACTCGGAGCGATGTGGGCAGTTCATATTTCTTCTCTGTCAGCTGATGGGTCGTCTTCCGCTCAAGCTATGGGGCCGTGAGAATGCCCAACGTGCGGAGGAAAAAGAGCGTCCTCTCCATCCCGCTACACCCCGGTTCCATGTCCTCTCCACATGCTGGTGTCCGTTTGACAGGCCTGATCGTCTTGACGTCGGTCTTGGACTCAAAGTCCAGACTTACAATCGAGCAATCCTTGAAAAGAAGATCTCTTCTCACCCAGGCATGGCTAAGTACTTTCAATCCAGGCCGTTTCTTTTCATGTCTTTTCTTTGGGTCCAAGAAGCAAAAGTTTTGTACCATGAGAAGATTTAAGCTTTCGGCCATTGGATCTCGCAACCGAGAGCAACCCATTATCCAATACGTGGTACGAAGTACAAACGAGAGCAGGAAAGTAAAATGAATTTTGCTTCATGGTTGCTAAGAGATGATAATTTAACCACCGCATTCAAGGCTGGCACTTGAAGAAAAAAGCCGTCACCAGCGCTTTTGTTTCCTCCATATCTTTAGGCACTTTCGAACGTGGTATCAGCAATAATGTGACAAACTATGTAACTAACCGCGTATATTGTGTCAGCGGATTACTTTTCGCGCTTGTAAGCAATAAACATGAGCCACACCAAGGGACCCGCACCGCTCCAAGCCACGTGCAATTGTCCAATAATAGCCTCGCCTTGGGCGATTCCGGCCCCGCCCTTCGAAAGTAAAATTTGGATTTTCATCTTCACTTGTATTGTCGTCCGGTAAGGTATTTTCAGGCCGCCGTAGCTCCCGGGAAGAGTGATGTCAAAGCAGCGGATATGACCCTTGCAGCACTCCGATGCCTTCGAGCCCAGCAGATTCAACCATACGGGATATTCAACTCCTTCACGCGGTTGAGCTTTTCAAGGTTTGACACGACTTTCCGTCTCAAATTTTTTAAACCTCGCAGGAACGAAGATCCTCTTCTAGCTCGGTTTGCGACACGTTGGAAAAGAAGAACCTGAAACCGAAGCTTGATCCCTGGCTTTTATCACCCATGTCGATCGTGGTCTGGCTTCCTCCGCATGACTGGCTGGAGTGTGCTGAGAAAACCGAACCTCTGAGCCCGTCTGTCAAGTGTGGGGGGATGTTTTCTTTGCACGCAAAATGTCGAGACATTTTATTCGTCCAAAACTACCACGGAATCAGTGTCGTGGATATAGCCCGTTGGTATCGCCCTCTAGCCAAGCCTCTCTTCGCGTAACGATGCAGACAAATAACACTGTCAATCTCGGGTTGTCTTCTTTTCCCATGATGCTCGTGCCGGTGACCGGGCTGTACAATATTCAAGCAGTTCATCCCTAGTTCCACTCAGTTTGCAATATTATACTCAGCATTCACCTAATATGGATGTGCAGATACATTCCGCAGCTTGACACCATATCTGTGTAGGAGAACAAACACAGGCACAACCTCGCCGACAATGATGATCCCCTGCACAACGAAAGCCCATGTCCATCCAGACATACTGATCCGTGAAGAGATAAAAAACTGAAGAGGCACCTTTGAGCTTGTGCTCCATGGCTATGTGAGAAAGGGGGGGCCCACGCAACAATAAACTGGAATGATGAAATTTTCAACATTCAGCATCACTGCAAAGAATACTCACAGATTGCATAGGATAAGCGTCAATGCGGTAACTAAGCACTGCTATGATCCAAAGCTGACACCCGCTGCCCACTGCCCATTATTAGCTACTTTCCCACAAGACTGATCAGATATTCATGGTCCTTACAGAGGAACAACCCTACCTGCTCAACTGTCCGATGCGTTTCCCTTTCAATTCTGACACCCCAAAGCGATAGCCCGACTGTCGAATCAGTGGGTTAGCATATCGAATGAGAGATTCTGTACCCCTGAAATGAAAGCGCTTACCAGCGGCCACGAGTAGAGCTGGATACATCATCCAGGTCCTCATCTCCGCCACTCGAGCATTCTTGTTCTTCTTCGCCAACCTCACGACCAAGGCAACCGCTCAGCCTCCCTGACCAAAGAAGATTCGAAACCACAGTTTCGACTAGCAGATCAAGAGAAAGCAGACTTTGCGAGACTGCGGAGTCGCTCTTGTACGCAAGCGGAAAGCAAATGACCACACCAATCGCCTACGAGTATACCAAGGAGGAAACCACCGTCAGACTAACCGAAACGGCATACAACCTGAACATGGGTATAAAGCGGACGATGTGACCCAGCGTTTTTGGGTGTTTCAAGGCGAGGATAGGACGAAGGTTGAGAAACGAGAAGTTCTTGCTTCTCTTCAAGTTGATCTCGTCTGCGCAGCTCATGCTTCTCCCCGATTTTCCCTGAGCATCGCGTCCATATGGCATTTTGTCAAGAGTCAAGTTCCGGGGATATAACGTTCCCGCCATAAGGAACAATTAAAGGGAGATTCAGCAGCAATGGTTGACACCCAGCTGTCCCAATTGGGCCCAACAAGGTCAACAAGAATGCTACCACCTATCCGATTGATTAGCCCTAATGTTACGTGTAGAAATAGCCCATACATTTACCCACACAACGATGTGACGAGGAAACCTCCGTTTCTAGCCATCATCCAGAGCCCAAACTTATGCCCCTTTTCATAGTCAAAGAACATATCGCCCACTTGATATGGCAGTCTTAGCGTATATGGAGTTTGATGTGGAAAAATTTATCTGAGAGCTCACCTGTACCAATTGCAACAGTCAAGACTGGGCTAACCCCGAATCCTTCAAAGAATCGTGCTGTGAGATATCCCAATAAATCTGCGGATATAGCGACGGCAATCGTCGCCAGCAGTCCTATCGATGTGCCGATGATATGGATCGTCCTTCTGCCGTACATGTCGGCGAGCCAAGTAAGGATAAAAGGCCTGCTATCCAGCCAAACGCACAGAAGTTTATGCGGCGAATTACGGCGTTAAAGCTCATGTCGAACTTTTCTTCGATGTGCTGGGATGCCGGAGCGTATATGGTCGTGGAATATGTAACCAAAAAAATAGCTTTATGCAGGTTTGTCTCCTAGAAAGGGACATAATCGTCTGTGTACTTGAACATAATGATACCGAAAATCGTATTCTTCTCACGTTTCTTCCAGTTCAGCGGATCCAAGGGGTCTGCCGTCGGTTGTGGAAGCACTGTATTTTCCACTCCCGGACACTGCGATCCACTTATGTCTATGTCGGAATAATTCCCTCCATCTTTGGTCTGGGGTATGCACTGCTACTCTCGCCGTTCGGCGGATTGAGCCTCGATTGCTCCGGGCTAATCATCGCTCTCTATGCATTCTCTGTTAACTTCAAAGTCGGATTATGGTGGGTCCCATTCAAACAGCCCTGCGTATGGCGTCTTTGGAAGCAAATGTTGTCAATGCGGAACAAAAATCGATTCTCGATCGACATATATATGGTGCTCTTCAGCGGTATCGTGACCCTGGATAACGCAATATCGCCTGCATTACCGGCTGCCGAACATATCAGTCGACATTGTGTATCCACTTTGCTATGCCGGACGATAGGGTTAGCACGTTGGGCGAGGTTCTGTGCTTCCAGAACGTATATTTGCGCCTTTATACATGTCCATTGTTTCGCTGGCTGGTGGATCAAAGCCGCTGGTATCCCCACCAACTCACAAAGCCTGATGCCGGGAAACAAGCACAATAATAGCCCAGGTTCTTCAAGGAGAATAAGTGCCTGGGACGTATTTATTACCTACCCATTGTTTCGATGACTTGGGCACTTGTTTTCCTATCCGGTTCTATAGACCATAGAACAGCAATTGCTCACTTTCAAGTCCTATCCCTATCTCTTTCTTTCCGCAATGCTTAATATTACACATGTACCAGCACCGGAAGTTAATGGTTGTTTGCGCAACCAAGATGATATGGCTTTGTAAAAGCTAATAATTTCCACAGGAAATAGATTTGCGTCACTCAATCTGCATAACCCACACGGAATATCATATATAATCTAATCTGGTCATATATACAGTGAAAGCAAATGCTAAAGATTGACATTTACCCGATATTCCAATACTAGGGTGAATGTGGCATCGCACCACACGGAAGTCACCCAGGAGGAGCATCACCGGTCACAATTAAAGGGCCAGTTATTTGCCACTGCCGTTGTAGGCGAGTTTGTTCGCGCTTCCGCGTACATCTTGGATCTTATCACTAGTAGCCAGCTCAAGAAGTTTCCTGCGAGCAGCGGCTGGGTCTGGGAGGTCATGGATACTCTGCAGATAAGCAATGAGGCCGGCAACGTGTGGAGTTGCCATCGAAGTTCCGGACATGTTAGCGGTGGCATCACGAGATCCCTTATATGTAGAGATGATGCCTTCACCAGGGGCGTGAATGGCGACAGAAGATCCATAGTTAGAGAAACTGGAGCGTGTGTCCATCTCTCTACGAGAATTGATGGACCCGACAGTGATGGATTCAGGGGCGCTTCCGGGACTGTTGCGGCCAGCATCTCTCTGAAACACTCGCGTTAATATCTATGCGTTAAAAAAGAGTGCTTGGTAAATTTAGGGATACTTACTCCGTCGTTTCCAGATGCAACTACCACCGTAACCCCGGCCTCGACTGCGGCTTTGACAGCGTTGTTCATCGCTTGATTAGTAGGACCGCCTGGACAATCAGCATTTGGTAGCCGTAACTGCTGGTCAGAATTTACTTACTGATACTAATGCTGACCGCTGATTTTGCCTGTCTGTCTTCCCCAGTGATGTTTTTAACCGACCAATCAAGGCCGTCCATGAGCAAACTCCAAGCGCCCTAGTTCAGTCGAGTTAGCGCATGGAGCAGTTGAATAAATGTTGGTGATGGCATAAATCCGTACCCCGCCGCGAGTGAAGACCTTGACATCGACAATGGTCGCTTTCTTAGCGACCCCGTATGTCTTTGAACCGGCGATACCGGCGCAGTGCGACCCGTGACCATGGGTGTCATCAAACGCGACGTCGTGAAGGTTGACACCGGGAATGGCACGCCCCTCGAAATCAACGTGGGCTTTGTTGATGCCAGTGTCCATAATATACACAAACGATCCTTCTCCAGCCTTGCTATCATACCAATAGCTGTTGTCTCCCGTTGGGATTTCGCGGTGCGAAATGCGCCTGGGTCCGTAGGTGGCGTTTCTCTGTTCAATCAGCTCAGTGACGTAGGCCATGCTGTCTGGCTCGACAGATTCGACCTAACCCGGATTAGTCTTCATTGCATTATAGGCGGAATGCACAACCCACATTTGGATGAGACCTGATCTCCTCAATAGTTTCCCGATCAAAAGATCCGGAATAGGCATTGAAGTTATGAATGCTGAACATTCTTTCAAGCCCTGGGGTCTCAGCGGTTGTAAAACCGCGGGCGATGTTCCGTGCCTGTACAGAAGATACCCATGCTGTATGAGCTTCAATTGCAGCCTGGTCGATGCCCTTCTTGAAAGTGATGATGTACTTGTCGGGGATTATTTCAATCTCGCGGGGCGACGAGATCGGGAAGGCTGTGAAAAGGGGAAGAACAGTCCCCACGAGGACGCAAGTGCTTTGAAAGAGGCGCATGACGATAAGCGGACTGCTAATCTTCTCTTGTTTTGAGAATCCGGATGTCACAAGGAATGGGGATCTTGGGAGATATATACCATTCCTGGGCAACGTCCGAAGCAAGGGACGAACAAACAAAGGGAAACGTTGCCGGGGGGGATGTTAATCAAAAATCAAACGTCGCCCAAGGGACGTTTGATAAGAACATTCTCTCATGGACTCGGAAAGGAGCGGAGAGTCTCAAAAATGGAGAAAGAGCTTCACTTGGCGGACGTCTTTTGCCTCGAAAGGTCCTCTTCGAGCACTCAAGACCCATGACATCCAGCACTTTGGGTGGATACAATGGAAGCCAGGTTCAACCATGCTCACTTGATAAGCGACGATTTAGCAAGTCCTTGTGACCAAAAGACACAAGGCACTCAAAGTGGGCAAAAACTCAAACCCCGCAAATACACCGTTTCGGCCCCAGATATTCAAGGCTAGTTTCGGGGATGATGACGGGAGGTCCAAGGTGCGCGCACGGTTGAAAGAACTCGTGCAGTGAAAATTTCCCACAAAATCTTTTTGCACCAAGAAGAATATATTCTTGAAATGAGCATCAGCACGAACTAATAGCAAAAGGGGAATTGGAAGACCCGATATTTCAGTTGGAATGGTGGAAACGTGCCGAGTGCTTCAGAAACCGGCCGGAGCCGATCTAGAGTGCGCGTAAGTACGAGACCGCTCGTTGCCGGCATGAGCAGCGTTGCAATTTTAAATTTTGTCCACGTTTGACATGTCTTCGGTTGAATTTCTGCTTGGGCCTTGAAACAACCACTAAAAACTAACTTGAGGCGGTACTCCGTAGAAAAGGTTTTGATAAACAGAAGAGGCCATAGTCGTCTGTTCCATCCTTGCTTCACCGTTTTCCGACAATTGATGGGTGGTGCCAATCATTAATGAAAGATCTGCGCACGACCAGGATTCACAATCCCTCGGTGCCCTGTTGCCATCTTGGCAGTACTCGGAAAGGGCCACTCACAGCCAAGGAAACCATATCTAAAGTTTCATCGTGTCTTCTGGAAAATCTCCCGCGCTCGGACCGGACAGCAGCTTCGAGGCAGTGGCGCTGGAGATCAGCCTTGAAGAGACACGGATCCCATGCCCTGAAAGACGAATCAGGTTGAAAAGCACCGCCAGCTGGGTTTGATTAATTGGACCTTCAATGCAGTCATACGACTCAATAAACCCGCTGGGCACGCGAGGAAGGGAAAAAGAGTCCCGTTCGCCATGGCTATGGAGTGAAGGGCAACTTGTGGTAAGGATGCAGATTACTTGCCGATAGGATCTTCACGACATTACTCCATATATGGGTTTAATCATGCGCTTCCAGCTGCCTGTGGATTGTTTGTGCTCCGGGAACACCTTGGGATCGATCACTTGCTGCGCAACCCCAATCGAGTGTTTGGGCTTGAATAACGCACCGCCGACCGACCGTCAGACTGGCGGTTTTTGAACTCGAGCAAGGGATCGACTGCAAACATAGGATCTTGAGGAATCACTGATAGGTAATATAAATATGAATTGAGCATGCTGATTGAATATTCCACTCCGGTCGGCGGCTGGTGCTGCCATGGACGGTGGGCATCAGCTGTGCTCGGTGAGCGGAGTTTTGAAGTCCTAACGAGAATCCGTAAAGAATCTGGCATATCGACCTTTCAGAGAATGTGCTCCGTACCGAGCTTGCAGACGGTCCCCTGCCTAGCAGTTCCGGCGTTGCAATCGTTTCCCTCGGGCAACCACAATGCATTATCCGTATCCCCGGTCGGAGCTTGCACCGATATTTGACCAACCTAGATTGGACATCCACACACGGAGTAAAGAAGATCACTTTTCATTTCCATACGGAGTAGATCCAGCCGACGTCACCGTCGTGAGGAATGTCTCTCTCTTCCCCCCCCCCCCTTTTTTTTTTTTTTTTTTTAAATCGGATTTCTCCTCATAAATGTGGAGGCTACCAGGCCACATTTCCGATGCCCGATTCTGGGTTTGTCCGTATGTATTTACTGAAGAGGGATAAACGGAGCACAGTAAGGCCATGGGACAAGTAAAGAGGGCCGAAGGATCACAAGGTCCTTGAGCGTGGTGAGATGGTCATGATGCCATTTCGACGTGGCTCAAATGGTGGGGGAAAAGAGAAAAGACGACGATGACAATGCCTTGTTCACTTCACGGTGCTTAACCATCAAAGCATGTCATGGACCTCAACTTCAACTCGAAGCCGACCCCAACGAAGGGCTGACGGATGGACGGATGGACGGAGGGTTTAAGGTTGCAGTTCTGAAGTGAGGTGGATGCGGTGAGAAAATGGTTTTGCGAGAGTCGACAAGGGATGTAATTTCAAAACGCGTCCCACTCATAAATATACCGATATTGGGCCGCATCATTGATTAATTACGGTATTCAAAATTACAGTTTCCATGATCACGAGCGCGACTGAGCCGAGCAAACAGACAGGAGGCAGCTGGTGAAAGGCCTCAGCAGCGATACCATATCTTTGCGCTCCGGCGACTGACGGTTGCTAGACATTGTAGTCTCGGTGCCATAAGGCCTGCCTGATGGCTGATCCTCAACCTCGCAGCGATTCGCCTTCTGGCCAGTCAGCCGTCAGCCATGATGAGGATGAAGGTTCTGTGCTGGGAACGGGACTGACGGTAACAAAGCCCAACGACTTTCGGCCTGCATACCCTTTGCTGATGCTCTTATAAGACTCGTCACATAGAAGCATTTGGCCGGAAGGTCACAACCACCGCGAGCCATCTTATGGCCCCGAAATCCGACCCTACCCTCACCACACATTACCAGAGCGCGATGAGCGATATTCAACGAGAACTACGCCGGCCTACGGTACAACGAAAAGTGTTCTCGTTTGCGCAGACTACTCCTACCGACCTTGTACGATCAAAGCTCTCGACATCAGAAATTCAATACCGCGCTCTGTCCGCTCTTCCCGATGAATTGCTTGCAAACATTCCCGAAGACACCAGTACATATTCCTTGTTTCAAGGGTTCCAGGCTTCCATGCCCGAAGATGATAATGAACATCGGAAAAGCCATAGACGGCGGCGATCCCATGGCCAGAAGCTATTGGAAGACTCCGGTAAAAGCTCGCGCCCTCTACCGCAAACTGTTGGTTCTCTGAAACGGGAGAGGGACGTGCTCAATCGGCGGCTTGAAATGATGGGAATACGAAAAAACATGTGCAGCGCCGAAATTCATGAGATAGATAACAAAATTGCCAATTTGAACAATATGCGCAAAATAGTGCTGGACCGCTTGGCTGGGCTGGAAATGGACGAGGCAGAATTGGAACATGAATGTGAGGCTACATTCTCCTCGCCTTGGGCGCTCGGAGGCTGACGAATTTTTAATTTAGTGGTTCAATTGGATAACAGACTTGAGGATATGGAAGAAGCCATGGAGGAATCTGCGACCCTCATCTCGACACCGAAAGCAGTCGATGATGAGGTAACGCTTGATTCCGAAAATCAAGCGATGGATGCATCGTTCATGTCTGAGTCTATATACGAAAAGATCCCATCTCCAAAAGCCTGGAAACACAAGTCATTGAGTGAGTTTCTAGTGGCTCTACCCTTCCGTATTGTCATATTGGACTCTGACACTGATGCACAAATCTAGGGAAACGATCAATGCCCATATTACATGAGCATTTTGAGCCAGGTTCCATGATTCGAGAGCTACAAGCGCATAATGATATGATTACCGCGATGGATTTTGATGTTCCCTTTGGGACCATGGTCAGCTCTGCTTTGGATGACACCGTGCGAGTTTGGGATCTAAATCTCGGGCGTTGTATGGGATTTCTGGAAGGACATCATGCGTCGGTCCGCTGCTTACAAGTCGAGAACAACATTGTTGCGACTGGTTCCATGGACGCGTCAATTCGACTTTGGGATCTGAGCCGTGCCAGCTATGCTCCAAGGGATAATAGGATAACCAGAGATGACGAAGAGGATGATGACGATGCGCTTGGTTATGAGGACCCGTCGGCCGAACCGCCGCCACCACCTCCATCAAGCATGGAAGACTGTCCTTTATTTTCACTCGAAGCCCACGTTGATGAGGTGACTGCCCTGCATTTCCGCGGCGATACTCTGATATCTGGCTCTGCCGATAAAACCCTACGACAATGGGATCTGGTCAAGGGAAGGTGTGTTCAGACCCTGGATGTTTTATGGGCAGCCGCTCAAGCGTCTTCTATTATGGGTGGCGGGGATTCTCAATGGCGACCAACGGGCCGTCTTCCTGATGCATCTGCGGATTTTGTTGGGGCCTTGCAATGCTTCGATGCCGCTTTAGCATGCGGAACGGCAGATGGAATGATTAGGCTGTGGGATTTACGCAGCGGTCAAGTTCATCGTAGCCTTGTCGGGCATACGGGACCAATCACGTGCTTGCAATTTGACGATGTCCACTTGATAACTGGTAGTCTGGACCGTAGTATACGAGTAAGTTTTCAAGACTCCCATTTCATTTAAACCCTTGACTGATGCCTCTTCGGATAGATCTGGGACCTCCGCACAGGATCTATCTACGACGCATACGCGTATGATCACCCCATTACAAGCATGATGTTTGACACGCGACGCATAGTGGCGGCTGCGGGAGAGGATGTGGTTAAGGTCTACGACAAGACTGATGGACGTCACTGGGATTGTGGCGCTGGTGTGACCGCGGAGGAAGAAGGCATCACGCCGGCAATTGTAGAGCGTGTGCGAATCAAAGATGGCTATCTGACGGAGGGACGAAAGGATGGGACCATTGGTATCTGGACATGTTGACAGTTATCTGTACGATTTTGCAAATGGATTTGGACAAGGCAAAGGTGCACTGTATCATATATAGACATTGAGGACATCTAGCACAAAAAGGCGGCGACCTGGCGGAGTGGTGTTCAAATGTAAGCATATTGTTGTGATGTTGGTTTCTCCAGGAGTGCTTCAGCTTAGCACCCACAATCGAGCCAAAAAGGATCCCTGTGCACATTCCTGCCATTGCTCTGTCAATCAGTGTAAAAGAGTCTTTCTTCTCTTTCTCCTGCTGATGATCGGCGCGGATATGCTGCCAAGCCGCTATTCCAAGTTGGGACTAGCCTCTCGTTTTTGTTTCGCTCGACGACAAACAAACGACGCGATCGGGCACGGGGGGGAGAACTGGGTGTGAGTGCCCCAAAGAAGAGGAAAAATCGCTTTGAAGGGTAGACAAGACAAGTTGCAGCTCTTTTATGATCATGTGTGGTAGGTCATTGTATTTAATCCGGTACAAGAACCTTGCTTCCTCAGCTGTGTTCCTGTGATTCTTGTCCTGTCCCACAATTCCTCGCGTTTCCCCTTGGGGCTCTGATTTGGTGTCTGTGCGATTGTCGGATTGCTTCGCAGTATTTCTTTTTTCTTTTTTTTCCTGGAAAAGGACCTCGCCCCCGGCGTCTTCACCATAGACGACCTTGCTGTATTCTGATTTGTAATTGATACCCCTAATTTTGGCCTCCGGTTGTTTCGCCCTGGTCTCATCGCTGCTGGGCTGCATTCCCACAAACAGAGGGGCATATATACCCGTTACTAGATATCTCAGTCAATATCAGATACCCGAGATATACGATATTAGTAAGGGCGTGCCACAGTGTGCCTGTTGGTTCAGCTCCTTCTGGATTACAAGCCATATATGCTCTTATCCTTCCGAGCTATTCGTGACCTCTTGCTCTGCCCTAGCATGAGCAGTAGGCCCCGCGAATCCTAAGCGTATCGATGGTGATTTCCTTCGAGCCTGCTAGTTTTTTTTTGACCAAATTAGATTCGCGCACGAAACAGCTATCGAGGGAGGGGAGAAAAGAGCCGGCCGCTGGTAGGGAGGAACACATCCCTTTGTCTTTCGCGGAACTTCCCACCTTTCTGGCATTTCTGGGCGGCGGACTGCGATTCCATAAGCTTCTATTTTGAATCAGGTGAGTGTTTTTTACGGTCGTTTAATATATAGCACCATTCTGCCGCACTATAAAATCCTCTCATTAGCCGGTCCCTTGCCCTCTTTCTCTTCGCACCCAATCTAGAGATTTGCAGCCTCTACCTTCACTCAACTCTTCTATCGTTCGATCCGTTTCCTTACACATTCAAGACCTCATCTGTATCAAGATCATCCTGGTTTAAAAAGTCTTGCTCGGCACGTTGATTTGCTTGCTCTCTGCGGACAGATCTCCGTCTTGACTCCCTTTTGCTATCGGCACTTGTCTTGGACAGGGTTGCCTAGCAACATTAGCTCATTCCCTCCATTTTCCTCCTGATAATTGTTTCTTTCTTAATATCTCTGATCGATTCTTGAAGTCGACCTCTGCTGTCCTTCAAGGTAGCTAGCATTTTCCCTATATTCTGCCTCAAACGCTTATATTCATCTCCGTAGCTCCGACTTCCGCTTTTCACACACCTCGTCCTCAGCATTCAAACGGAATGCTTGGCTCTGGCCGATAACATCTCCGTATTATTTTAAAGAAACAAGGTAAGAGACAATCACTCATGTTCCCTAGGAGCAACTCGTTGACTGTGTTTTGGCCTGCCAGTGTTCTGAACGCTCTATTTCCTCGCCAGGATCACCGTCTATTTAGCCCATAACAACACGTTCTAGGATAAAGAGCCTCCTGATTCTCGATTTACACAGCAAACGACTACTACTCTCGAGCTGCGGCTTCCAGAACTCCTTTTCCTTTGACCTCAGCCTTCCTGAACCAGTTGGTCTACCACTCGGTACTTCGCCTAGGGATCTTTGAAAAGACGCTAGTCTGTATGTATGTGAACCTTTTAATTCCCTGTTACATCCTTGCTGCAGTCACTGACGCGTTTCAAGTTAATATCTGCCGTTCAAATCTACGCCTTCTTTATTGCATCTTTCCAAACTCAGAAAAATGACTGGCGCGCGCCGCACACGCAGTGGACGATCCATCTCCCAAGAACCTACCGGACAAGGCCAGCGCACCAGAAAAACCCCGGGTCCTGTGGATTCAGGCGACTCAGCTGCAATTCCAACTGCATCGTTTGGCAACCCTTCGCTGCAAGCCTTGCAGGCTCAGCACTCTTTCGCGTATGGAGCTACCGGAAGCCCCGCGTTACCCCGACAGTTGCGGATGTGCCCACCTACTGGGGCGACGGAGATGGCGGCCAACATTGAAGGCCGGTATTTAGAGACACATGCCAACGATTTTGAGCGTATTGAAGAAGAGGCCCGTGCGAACCCAGGAACTAGAAGATCGACTCGGTCTGGAGCGAACACAGGATCCGCCCGCCAGTCAGTCTCACCTGTTCGCCGAACACCAGGTCAACGTGCCCGTAATCGCGAGCCTACCCCTGACGACCAACTTCTCGAATCTCTCCGAGAAGCCTCTGAAGAAGCAGAGGAAACAAAAGAGACGATCCTTCCCAGCATAGAAGACTCTAGCGTTAGCTGGAATACCGAACGCCATGTTCTTGGTGATCCGAGAAGCGTCCCTACGGCCACTTCGTCTGGTGGCAGTCTTAGCCAAAGCCAACGGCAACGGGAAGCAGCCCATCCAATGGCTGGCCCACCGCTCCGGCCGTACACCCGCTCGCAGCCTCGTACTACATTCCAGGCTTCCCAAGCGGTTCGGTCTGGATCTTCCGCCGCGTCTTCCGCCCAGCCAGCTCCCCGACTCGGCGCAGCTCGCGTCCTCAGCCCACCCCAAGCAGAGGACAACGCTTATGCTACCCCTAATCCCAGGAGGCAGACCCGTTCTGTCTCTCAGCAAACGATGTCGTCAACCGCAAGCCAACATCAGCGAGGTTTTTCTTTCATAAGCTTGGGGCTGATGATAACTATTTTTATGCTTGCGGTTGCAGGGATGCTTTTCCGGTTCGACGATATTGAGATGATCGGAAAAAACATACTCCAAAATGGGATTGGCAAGGAATTCAGCCTGCCATCATCGTTCTGTGGTGCGCAACCTCCGACAAGTCAATACATTGAAGCCTTCGATAAGCTGTCTGCTGGAGTGGACCGACGACTCGCCGATATGGCGCGAGACGTGGCCACCCTTAAAGACGAGTGGAATAGACGGTTGCCGCACCTCAAACAGGCGATATGGCCTGAGATGGAAGACCCATTGTTGCCTCGAAGAATCAACTGGTTCTCTGTTGGTATGGGGGCGTTCGTGGACCCATACCTCACCACCAAGTACCGTTCCGGACTTCTCCACCGCGGTGCTGAGCGCGCTGCCGGCATGAGAAAGACAAACCCTCCGGTTGCTGCTCTCACCCGCTGGGAAGAACATGGTGATTGCTGGTGCGTTAATGACCACACCAGTGAGATTCAACTCGCCGTGCTCCTTGGCCGACCTTTGGTTCCGGAAGAGGTCGTCATTGAGCATATCCAAAAAGAGGCAACTTTGGATCCTGAGTCGGCGCCTCGGGAGATGGAACTTTGGGTTGAGTATGTGGCCCGGTCGCATGCTGCCGCTCCTTCAACCACCCTTCCTGGTTTTCGCGCAACGGGCGCTCCAGGACGCTCGGACCATGCAGCGACATCCTCACCGGTGTCCACACGGCGGCCGGAGTTGCTCGAATCTTCGGCAGAGGCTCGCGCAGCGTTTGCTGGTCCGCTCTCCCCATCGCAGCACGAAGATATAATCTCCACCCTTCGAATGGCATACCCGGACGAGCCAGAGACGGCTTATTCGCACGATACGATGCTTGGCTCAAGTTTCTATCGTATTGGCAAGTTCCAATACGATATCAATGGTAAACATAACATCCAGAAGTTCCATTTGGATGCCGTCATTGACCTGCCAAACATCCGCACGAAGAAAGCCGTGCTCCGGGTCAAGTCAAACTGGGGTTCCGTGAACACATGCGTGTATCGCGTGAGACTACATGGTCACATGTAGGTCCGGTCCGCGACCGTGGGTTAGACAATCGGAGATTGGAACAGCGATCATGTAGAGTGCGGCAGCCACATTGGTGTTTCCCGCGTCCTCGGGCTACGACTGTTGCTTTACGAATCATTCTGGCGAATATATCCCCTCCTGTCGGCGATTTGCAGGAGTATCAGCTTGAGGCTTGTTGGATCTTCCCCCCTTAGTGTTCGATTCCTGGGGCTGAGTCGTTCTTGGCTTCAGAGATAAACATCTTCGGTGGGTGGAAATCCCGCTTCCTCATGTTGATATACCCAGTCGCATTTCGCTGGATAAGAATGCGGGATTATTTATGAATAGTTCCAGTGTTTCTCCCTTTTTCATTGGTACGTAAGCATCACTTTCTCTACTCCTCGCTGATTTAAAGTTTGCCAATCTCTAACCACGGTCGTGAAACATAGATTCACGGCCTCTCTGGACTCAATTTTGGGGTGTCCGTTTTCGATGTGCGTATTGTTTTGCCTCAATTATGGCGAATTTCTCATTGAGGGTCGATACCCTCGTCTCATCCTCCCTCTTCGGTGCATCGAAAACGGAATTCTGGCTTGCGGTCGACAAGTTTCTAAATACTGCCTTTTTGAAGAAGTGTGGAATGGCGTTTGGTAATTGAAACAGGCGTCTTTTTTACGTGGATGATGCATTCGGATATACGGAGTATGTCTTGGATGAATATGCCTTGGCGCTAATGCATGGTTACGGAGTACTCCGTACACTGGTGTCTTTCATGCATTGAGTGAGCGGATCGGAATTAAAAATGGTGTTATCTTCATTTCGTTTGAGGCGTGGAAAGTGGCGTGGTCCTGGCTTTGTTGAAGTTTGCTTTAGGGTTTAAGAGATATTAATAGTTTAACCAAAACTGTCAATCGAAAGATCCCATTTCGAAGACTTGTATTGATCGAAAGGAGAGGCGATAATATTTTGCTCAAGCTTCTGTCAGCTCTGGGTGCCGGTCAGAGCTGAGCCTTGTACGGAGTAAATATCCGACAATTTCGGCGTCCTCGGAGTTCATGGGAGTCGTGGGCATGTGCCATTCGCTGGTCCAATATTCGCTGAGGAACCATGAAAGCTCATTCACTTGACTAGAGTGAATGAGCTTTCATGGTCACCCCCCCAGCTGAGATCCTTGGTGATTTGCATCCTATTGTTGGAGTGACTTGCAAAAGCCAAAGTCGAGGGATAGTTAACTATTTAAGCTGGTGGGGTTTTGGCACTTGAACTAGTTAGTTCACTTCTCCCCCCCATGCTTGCAGCTTCATCCTTGACTCTGCTAAGTCACAAATCCCTGCTTGCTGCTGAAGGAGCTTTAGTCTTTTGACACCCGCAACTATTAACCACGCAATTGTTTCGAGGCGGACATTTGTCTCGCAGACGAGAAGAATTAAACGCGATGGATGCAGCAATTGATCTCTCAGATGCCTCCAAGGCCTTGGACCTCGACAACATCCGTTTCCAACTGATGTGAGTAATCCGTCTACGCTATTCCCTTGATGACCTCACTGGCATATTCCTATGCCCCTATAAAAGCTCTGGACTACCTTTCAATGGGCTGAGTAGCTAAAAATTCACCAGCCGCCTGGAAGACACCATAACCTTCCACCTCATCGAGCGCGTTCAATTCCCTCTCAACAAGCGGATCTATATCCCTGGCGGGGTGAACATCCCCAATAGCGACCTTAGCCTTATGGACTGGATGCTCCGCGAAACAGAACGAATTCAGTCGCGCGTTCGACGCTATCAATCGCCCGATGAATATCCATTCTTTCACGAGGCACTCGAGACACCGATCCTCCAACCCCTCCAGTACCCGCACATCCTGCACAAGAATGACGTGAATGTCAATGATATGATAAAGTCGAGGTATATTAACGAGATTTTACCCCATGCGTGCGGCAAGTTTGGCGGAAGGGAAGACCGGGGAGAGGCTCAAGAGAATTACGGGTCCGCGGCTACATGTGATGTGAGCTGTTTGCAGGCGCTGTCGAGGAGGATTCATTTTGGAAAATTCGTCGCTGAATCCAAGTTTCGAAAAGAGCCGGAACGGTTCGTGAAGTTGATTAAAGCAGCGGATAAAAAGGGGATTGAGGATGCAATCACGAATATCCAGGTGGAGAAAAAGGTCCTGGAGAGGTTGAGGTTGAAGGCTGCTACGTATGGTAGAGACCCGGCGAATCCTGATGACAGTAATTCGAAGATTGATGTTGAAGCCGTTGTTGCCATGTACAAGGTATGTTTTGCCAAATGTGGTTTTTGTGAGAGATCGTTAAGCTAATAAGATGGATTGTAGCACGCTGTTATCCCTATGACGAAGATCGTAGAGGTGGAATACCTTATGCAACGATTGCAGGGAACAGAATGGGAAACCAATTGATTGTAGTGACTTAATAATGGCATATTACATGCCTCTTTTTCCTTTTTACGAGATCTACGACCCGCATTGGGAGCAAAGGTAAGGGGATACACCATTCAGGAAATAGATATCGATAGAATTTAATATATTCAAGATGGAGGACTGGCATAGTCTTTGACGGCGTTAACCGCCGTCTCAAACTTCGAAGCTTCTATCAAAATCATAGATCCGTGTGGGCGAATTCCTAGCTCTTGGAATGCGCGCTTCGAGTCCGAGTGCCCCTCCGCTTGCTGATGCGTGTATGGGTATGTGCTATAACATAGCGCATGTTTCTGAAGGATTTCATCCTCTGGATGGAAGTAAAATGTCTCCGGCTTGCCATTTGCCGCTTTCTTCTTTTTCTTCTGCGGTCTGTCATCCTCCATGTCCAATTTGGATTCCACTTCTTCGTACGTCTTTGATATTATTAGATAATGAGTGAACTGATATGGTTCGCTTGCTTCTAGAGCCCATTGGATCTCTTCGAGCAACATGGTGTACATGGGTGGGATCACTTCGGTTGGAATATTGATTAATCGTTCGGTAAGAATGAGGCCGATCTGGGGGACCGATGGCTGCGAAAGAAGCTCATTAAGCGTAAATAGGTCTGAGGAGGATTTGCTTTTGATATATTCAATTATAGACTTTATCACGGGTACATCCTACCATCCCAAGGGCGGATTAGTGATCTAACGCCGGTCCACAGCTCCAGATCGTACAACTTACCCTGTGCTGATGCAAATTCAGAACGGTGAGGAAAGCGTAAGGGTCTGTTTCGTTGCCGTCAACTTTCACCGTTGACCCCAGCAGCGGCTGCGAGAGTATGAGATCGGTGAGGGCGGAGAGATCGAATAGTTGCGCATCGCTATCGAATAATTGGCGGAGCAGAACCTTGAGGCCATGAAAATCAACAGCGGGCTGCGGATCGAACCACTCGAACTCTACGTTGACAATTTCCGTGTCCTGTTCATCGGTCAGTCTCGCGGCGTTCGGGAATTTCATGCACCTCAATCGGAGGTTCAGCGCTGACCTCGTCGCTGCTTTCGTCGCCAGCGCGACCGGCTTCGTCCATATCCACATCACCATCTTTCAATTGCTTCCGTTTCCCCATGATTGGCTGTGAAAAGCGCCAGAAATACTCCGTATTCGACGTAAGAAAGGTCAGAAGGTTCAGAAAGGTCGTGGTGCCGCAACTTGGGATCGACATTGCGCCTCCGATAACACTGATCGCCCTATCCCACGATAAGAAAGGTGCCAGGCGGAAACTTCATCACGTGAATGCACAAGACCTAACCGGCTGCAAAAGCCCTAACTAACTAACTAGCCAAATTGGGTTAGGCACGGCCACGCCTTCATGATGTCATCGTAGGCGCTCTCGGCCAGGGAGGCTCCTGGTCCTGTACCATCAACCTCTGTTCTGCCTTGGAAGAAGCGTGGCCACGGCCATGCTCTGTGCGCGTTTGCACCGTGATGTTGGCCGTGAACCTAATCCAATGCGGTACATATATAGGCTCATCAAACCTTTGCAAGGTTCAGACCTCATATGGCCATTTATGCCCTCAATTGCTACGACAATAAGCTGTGAACAGCGTGGTATACATCTATCCTCGCCTTTGCCATATATTGAACGATTCGTCAAAGCATGAGGAAGTCCCATGTTGGCAATCCCTCGCTCTACGAGGACGGCGATCAGCGGAATTCTCCTCAGTCGGAGCTTCGAGCCGCCCAACGCAACCGGGACCACCCGCCAGCGTCCAGCGGCCGCGGCAGTGCCCATAGCAAAGAGCAGCAGGCCAGAAAAGGCAATAAATCGCCGACCGATGAAGATCTGGCTAAAAAGGATCCATTGGCACCGGTAAGTTGCAATCTCTTTCCTCCCCCAACCTGCCTGCCATCCCAAGCCCCAAGCCCCTCACGGCAGTCAAGAATCGGAATGGAAGACCGAATGAATATTGACCGTGTCAAGGCAACATTCCACGGAAACAAGCCATCTCGAGGCGCCCAAATTGATGCCGAACTCCGAAGAGAAGATGAAGAGAGACTACGGCAGAAGGAGGGCAAATAAAACATACGTTGGTGGAAATGGTATGTCAGTGATTGGAGCCGAGCATGATGTCTAAATGATACTCTGTTTAATCTATATACATTGATCAAAGTCACGAAATCGTTTGAATTTGGCATGAAATTAACTTACAATGGCATTTGATATCCAGTGACAGCTCTCTTTCCCGCAAATCTTGCTTCCCTTATGGGGAAACGTTTTTGTCTCTGTAAAGCCTGGTTTGTAGATTCTCCAGCCGTGGTGCCATCGACATGTACTCTAATGAGCTGAGAAGACTTGTCTAGAAAGTTAGCTGCATGGTCGAATCGGGTTCGATCGTCTGTGCTGCAAAGAATATATCCACATGGTACATATGTTTCTTGTACATTCCATCTAGAGGTGGAACCTATTCATTGACCTAAAAGTGAAATTGATAGCTACTACAAAGTACAAGCTTTAAAAGAAATAAAATAAAAATAAAAATAAAGAATATAAATTCTGAACCTTTCTAGACTATGTACAAATGATTCAGAGCTCTCTATGCTCAAGGGATTATGTCTGTTAAAAGATAAAAAGAAATGATTGATCTTAACATAGATAAACAAAATATCGACAGAAACAAAAGATCGAAGATGAGCCACATTGTCAACTTAGCCATTAATATATATATGTGTATTTTTTTTGTTTTTTTTTAGGACGACCGAGTATTTCGCTTAACAATCTTCCGGGCCATGTTCATAGCCTTTAACCATGACTTTTTCTCGGACTTTGGGGTCGTCGGAGTGGCAGGAATAGAGCTTTCCTCATCCATGAACGTCATTTTCGATTGCTCCACCTTCGAGGAGCACATGGCAGCCATTTGGCCTAGCATTGTTGGGTGGTCAATGAGATCTTCAATTCGCACCTTGAAGCCTTCTTGCTCTAGGAGCCAAGACACCTGAGCCAAGCCCATGATGTCTCCGTTGAGATCGAAGAAAGACGATTCAAGGTTCAGGCCATTTGTGTTGTCATCTCCAAGTACTTGACGCCAGCTGCGACTGAGAACATCAGATAGCACAAGGAGATCAGCCCGGCTAAGCCCCTGGAGCTGAGAGGATACAAAGTAGTTGTCGTTTTGTCGACCTGTTTCGTCGATAACTTGTGGAGGTAGCTCGCCAAGTTCTGTAGGTGACATTAGAGCGGAGTTTGGCTCGGCTGTAAAGTTAGAGGCGATGTTACAGAGCATGTTAAGGACTTTCTGCGCAAAAATTGGAGTGATATCGCCGTTCTGGGAGAAGGAGAGACTGATCTCGCATCTATCCGAACCCTTTGGAGTCGATATAACTGAGAAATCGGAAAAGTCCTCATCTGCGCCAACACCTCCAATCTTATATGTGTTTCCTCCCAGTTCCATCTCACTGCCGTAACTAACGTTCTGGTGCTGAACAACTGTAGTGTAGTTTGTCCAGTCTGGCCATTCTGTACAGTGTTTCGAAATTTCACGGAACCCAAGTGCTTCATAAGGCATGTTGGAAACTTGCTGGTCTTGCACAAAACGGAGCAGGTCTAGCGCTGTCCATCCTTCGCAAAATCTTACCCGGACAGGTACTATATTCAAGCATGGTCCAACCGTACTTTCAACTCCTGGAACTGTGGCATTCCTACCACTAATCGTATGACCGAACACAACATCTGAGCGGCCAGTAAGTTGGGCAAGTACCAATGCCCATGCAGATTTGACAACGGTCGCAGTAGTGATGCTTCCATGTGCGATTGGGGGCAACAGGATGGTTTGCTTGAGCTGAGTCGTCGCGCCAGCAGATCTTCGATAATTAGGCCCATGCCTTCGTACAATTTCCGTCATGCGGGACCCTTTGAGAAGCGCCCTCCAGTGTTGATAGTGATCTGACGTGATGGTACTTGCAGTGCTGCGGACGTAATTAGCAAATGACGACATAGGTGGCAGGGGTTCGTCCTGATATGCTGATTGAAGGGCCAAAAATATCTTTGGAAGACAGACGCCGTCGTACTGAGCATGGGAGATGCGGATGATAATCCGATGATGGTCAGAATCCTTCCGTTTCACCACTATAAAATTGAAGAAAGGTTCTCCAAGGCGGGGTCCTTGATCCCGGTCGCGCTGCTGTAGCATGGCCGTGAACTCATCCATGTTTGACTCAGTTTCGTACACAAAGAAATCTGGTCGCATTTTGCGAAGTACCACTTGCAGGAAGCGGTCGCCATGTGGAAGGAAAACGGTACGGAGAACATCGATCGAGTTGACAAGTCTGAAAGCACTTAGCTTCAACTGCTTTAGGTCTAAAGGACCGTTTCCATCAAAGAAAAAGTAGTTAAGCATCCACTTAGACTCTAGCAGCGATCCCGTAATTGCTAAGCCTTGGAAATCTGTGACCGGTAGAACATCAGCAATACCTCCTTTGAAGACACCGACCTTCGGACAGATATTGCTTTGAAGGAAGGCATCGATGTTAGTAGCCTTGACCAGGGAGAATCGCTGATATAGTTCGCTCTTTGCTGCCGACCGTAGTACGGGGACTGTTCGATGATAAGATGACAAATCCCCGTTGCTATTAGCATCTCCATCTCCATCTCCATCTCCATCCTCGTACGCAGTCATCAAACTTGCGACTCGAATCATTGTGACCATATCTTCAAAGACAGGGTTGCGGAATACGTCAGCAACGGTCAACGCAAGACCATCTTCACGGGCAGCTCCAACAAGCTTCATAGCTGTAAGACTGTCACCCCCTAATTCGAAAAAGTTATCGTCAGGAGCAATTGCATCCTCATCCATCTCCAGCATAGAACTCCACAGAGAAAGAAGCTTCTTTTCTATAACAGCTGAACGACCTCTTCGTCGGATTTGTGCGGCCATGGAATGAGTGTCGGGATCGTCTTTCGGGTTGTAATCCAGAACTTCGTAGGAATCTGAGGAGGTAGAAGGAAGATCCAACCCCGCCTTCTTTCGATATGGTGAGAAGGTACCATGGCTGCTTCCAGGTACTGGCTTGATTAATGCTTGATTCTGGCCCAGTATCTCGGATATTTTGCGGTCAACCAGATCAGCCATATTGACACTCGGGTTGCTTTTCAAGGTGCCATTCTCCAACATTTGTTGGATGACCTCGCGCACACAGGAATCCACGACCTTCGTCAAATCAGCGGAGCTTCCAGCCACGCTCTGTTCATAGAATCGTTCGCTCTCTTGCTTGGCGGGCGAATCCGACCTTTCCTGGTCTTCGGATGGCGATATCTCTAGACTTGGTTTTATGGCTGGGTCACGAGTTGCAACCTTTTGTCTAGGCTGGTCGAGGAATTTTGTCAAGATTTCAGCCATTGAACTTGCATATTTCTTAGCCTCAAAATCTGGAATTGCGTCGCTCCAATATCTCAGCACCACTTTTTCGTCGTTTTTCGCGGTTTCAACGTTAACAGTAATGACATACTACATCAATAAGTCAGCTAAATGATATGTTTACGGTTCGTATTGCTGTCTTACCTCGCTAGGGTCATGGGCGGAAAGGGTTTCAAACATCAAATCCTCCTCGGCGGCATCGCTTGATCGGCTGTGATTTTGAATTGACAAAGCAGTGTTATACAGTGCTTTACCAGCCAATCCAAGTTCATGCTGTACTTGGGCAAGGGAACATCGTTGGTGAGGCAGACTGGCAAGGTAGTCGTCGTGTACTTTACGAAGAACATCTTCAGTCGATGAAGAGGAAGAGAATAGGACACGGCAGCAGAGCATGTTGATAAAAGCCCCAACGGCATCTTGAATTCCGTCGACAGGAACGTCTCGGCCGGCAGAGATATACCCGAAACAGACATCATCTGAATGCGTGTAGCTTCTTAGTACAAAGGCCCAAGCGGTATGCATCACATTTGCCAAAGTCACCCCAAGCTTTTCGCACATCTGATGCAGTTCAGGAAACCGGTTAAATTCCATCTCAACTGCAGATAAGCATCGTTGAGGCTTCCTTTGATTGCTATGTTTGGGTATATGGCATGGCTGAATTCCTTCCAAATAATTCTTCCAGAAGTGAATTTCTTGTTCGGGAGATTGTTGTCTGATGAACCGGATGTAGTCGCTAAATAGGGGCCCAGAACCATCTGGGAGACGGTCCTCATAGGCAGCGATCAAATCGGCCATCATGATACCCACTGACCCTCCGTCAATAATGGCGTGGTTAATCTCAAGCTTGATGAGAACTCGTCCGCTATTTGTGGTGCAGATAATGAACTGATGTGGCAATTTGGGACGTTTCTTCAAGTTGGTGTCCTTTAGTTTGATGTTGTTCAGTTTATCAATGGCCTCAGAGTCATGGCAATGGACAAATATAATGCCACTATCAACACTTTTCACAACAAGCTGGTCAAAAGTACTTCCCTTGCACAGGCTATCAACAAAGACTGTTCTCAATGCTGCGTGCCGACTAACGACTCGCTCCCAGGAATGTGCAAGTTTTTCAGTATCCACTCGCCGGTGAGATTGTTTGGACTTGGCTTCGAATATACAATTAACCAAATAGGCATCTGAATTCCTGAGTTGGCTGAGCAAGATTCCCTCCTGCATTGGTGAACATGGATAGATGTCCTCCACCTCGTTGCAGTGTTTGATTCCAGCCTTGGGATAGGTGATTTTAATAAGTTTCTTGAGGCCCTCATATGAAAGTGGAAGCAAAGGATAATCACTGAGAGTGGGCTCTGGTGAGGTCTGGGCGAGGCGTATAACGGTTTCTTCAAGGGTGTTTTTACACTCCGCTACCCAGCGACGGATATCGTTAGTGCGAGCCATGCTCTTGTCGAACATGAAGGAGAATTGAATCTTCTCCTCTTGGACAACGGCAGTGATTTCAAAAAGAGCAAGTCTCGGGGTATTTGGGCCGACGTCGCTTGTTGCGAAAATATCATGCTCGATAGATACGAAATCGGCCTGTTGAAGGAGCGAATCATCCCGTTCTAGTTGCTGCATTCGACCGAGATAGTTGAATAGTATCTCCATTGGAATATCAGTAGTGGCAACCCTCCTAGAAGAGAGGAATCTTTCCGCGAAATACAACCGGCCGTTGTCCGGAATGCTGTGCCTGATGTCCTTCGTCCTTCGCAACGTCTCTAGGGCGCCATATTTATCATTTGCACCTGTGCCATGTCAGCACAACTCCACCAAAAACGCATAAAACCAAATAAATACTTACCAGAATTAACAGGAACTGATATTGGGCAGATTGTAGTAAACCAACCCACGGTCCGGGAAATATCTAGGGACGCATCCCAGGGCTCACGTCCGTGCCCTTCATTGAATAGTGTAGGGACTTCCCTATCTCGGAATACGCGCCCGAAGGAGTGTCCAATGACAGTAAGAAACAAATCAACAGGATCAGTTTGAAACGCTTTGTGGCAGTCAACAAGCGCCAAGTTGGTAATTTTTTCATCCACAATGAAAGTTAGTTGCTCTGCGTTTTTGTAACTTGGCTTCTTTCCTTCCATTCCCCAGTATGTAAAGTTCGAAGGCTGGACGTCGAATGGAAGTAGTTTTCTCGATGTATGTTTCTGGCGATGTTCGGCTTGCATAGAACACCATACTTGGAAAGGGAGAGGCTTATCGGCCGAAAGCGAGCCGGTTTCAAGATAGTCCTGGAGGTCCTGGAGCATAATGCGCCACGAAACCATGTCAACACATAAATGGTGAGCAGCAAGGAATAGCATTTGACAATCATTCCGACAGTTAAATAGGTCAGCAGCAAAAATTGGGCCGTTTTCAATATCCAAACATATTTGACTCTCTGAAATAATTGACGGAATCTGGTGGGTCCCGGCTATATTATGGGTGCGATAACGATAAGACGTGCCGAGATCCTGCCTCAATTAGAATAAGCTGTACTAATGAAGGGTTAAATGTGACTTACATTGGTAATCCTTTGTTGCCAAATACCGAGTGCATCCTGGCTAAATCGAGCTCGAAGCATTGAATGTTTACTGACGATTGCTTCAATCGCCTGTCTCACGTCGACTGGATGGACTTGCTTCGTAATCCGTAATGAGAAACTTTGGTTAAAGCGCCCACTGCCTGTATAGACGTTGGAAGACTCAAAGTACAGTTTTTGAATGGGAGAGAGACTAAACGGCACGTTGATTACTTCGTCTTTCTGAACAGTATTAGCTGTAGAGGTAACGCGCTCCACGAGGGACATGATCGACTTGCAGCGGAGGATATCGTGAAACGAAAGATTGATTCCTTCTCGTCTGCACCGGGACATAACGCTCATTGCTGCTATACTATCACCTCCTATATTGCGATTGGTCAGCGGATATGTATGCATAAAGGATGTGTTGGCTACCTACCTAGGCTCATAAAGGATTGGTTTAACCTGATTTTGCTGAGAGGAATATTGAGAACCGTCGACCAGACTTTCTGTACGACTTTGGCTGCGTCACTTGCCTGTACTTCATTGCCGTCCACCTCGTTTGCGCCCATGATTTGCTCATAGGCTTTTTCGTCGATATTCTCAATCCAGGCGATAGCCTTTTTCCTATCAATCTTCCCTGAGGCTAACAATGGAATAGCATGCACAACAACCCAAGTTTGTGGAATCATGAACGGAGGAAGTTGGTTCGAAAGATTATCTTGAACCTCATTCAGTTGAGAGCAAACTTCGTCAAACAATTGTCTCTCGTTGACAAGTTCAAGATCACCACCGGATATACCTGAAGCTTCGGACGGTAGGCTGCGGAGCGAAACTATAGCCACGAGTCGTCCTTTGCATAGACCAGAGTTGGGCATAAGGACAACGGCATGTTTGATCCGACGATCGATATATAGTCGATGTTCGATCTCCCCAAGCTCCATCCGCTGGCCGTGGAGCTTGACTTGATTGTCTTTGCGGCCAATAAACTCAAGGGAGCCATCGGGATTATATCTCACGAGGTCACCGGTTTTGTAGATCCTGCGAACTGGCACCACACCACTAAACCGTACCGCCCATGCCAGATCCTCAACAAAAGCCTCGCTAGTTTTCTCGGGGTTGTTAAGGTATTCCCTCGCAAGAGTCGAGCCACTCAGCGCCAATTCACCTACCCCTCCCAACGGAGCGAGTCGGTCATGATCGACTGGATCCAGGACCCAAGCTGTGGTAGCCGCAATTGAGACACCGATAGAAGAAGGGTTTTGAAGACATACGTTTTGATTAGTCGTTGAAACCACTGCGCATTCCGAAGGCCCGTATGCGTTTATCAAGTTAACCTTGTCTCCCCATTTCAGAATGACTTCGGGAAAGAGTGTTTCGCCACCACAAACCAGCGTTTTTATAGAGGGAACGTTGGCTGGATCAATAATGTTCGTGACTGATGGCGTTAGACAAGCCCAAGTCACACGCATTCTACGGATTGCTCCCGCAATATCCTTGAGTCTCTCCTCTTCAGTGGGCACACAAACGCAGCCGCCCAAAGAGAGAGGTGTTAGGATATCCATAACCGCTGCATCGAATGAAAGAGACGCAAACTGAAGAGTGCGTGAGCGAGAATCCATGAGTGTGGCAGGTGCGAACGCCGCAGAGCTGCTGCAGAAAGCCTTATGCTCGATAACTACCCCCTTGGCTCGGCCAGTGCTACCAGACGTGAAAACAACATACGCTGTATTCTCAGGATTTGCTCGACCAGAAAGCCTGCCATAGTCACCGCGAGGTAGGTTGGTAATAGATCTCCTATCAACGGCCATAACGTGCTTCACAAAATCGACAAAGCGCTCCCGGTATTTTGGTGAGCAGAGCACTATCTCGGCATGCGTTTCTATAATAATCTCTTTGTGGCGGGAAGTAGGATGCAATGGATCTAGGGCAACGAAAGCTCCCCCGGCCATAAGCACAGCCATGAGCGTCACAACTACCCAAACAGACTTATCGAGACAAATCGGAACGAGTACTTCGGGTCCAACACCGATGGAGATTAGATGTAAAGCGAGCCGCGAGGCATGGCTTCGAAGTTCTTCGTAGGTAAGCTCAACTTCAGCATCGCAAACGGCGGGAGAAGACGGCTGAGACTCTGCTTTCCTGGTGAATAAATCGTGGATGCATTCATTGAGGGCTAACGGCTTGCGACGGTTCCACCAGGCAACTGTCTCTTTGTCCTTTTCGCTAAAAACTTCAATATCGTTTACCTTCACTTTGTTGGTTTCCGAGGCCTCGACGATTTGTTGAATGACAGAGCTAAACTGGTCTAAAATCCGCTGCATTTGCCAGCTGTTTATTGCATTCTCGTTGTGGTAAGCAGTTATGTCCACGTAGCTGTCTCCAATGTTGCATTCAACGGCGAGGGGGTACGTTAAGAAGTTCTGAAAATTGTCGAGATCTTGGAAATCCCAGAAATCTTCCTGGATTTTCTCGTGGGACGTTTGGACGACCAAAAGGTTTTGGAAATCACACGCAACTGCAGTGTCGCCGTCTAGTCTGTTGATACGCTGCAAACCGACATGTTGATGTGGCACTACATCTGCGCTCTCCTGCTGTACCTTTTGCAAGTAGTTTGCAAGTGTCTCCTTTCGATCTATTTGAATCCTTGTTGGAACCGTCGTGAGCGTTGGGCCGACGATCTCGGTGATGAAGGGAACATTGATGTTCCGTCCGGTCAGGGTCTCGCCGAAGCAGACGTCGTCGGTTCCGGTATGGCTGCCAACAACTAGAGCCCAAGCGGCTCTGATAATAGTTGGTAGTGTCACATCGCCAGATTGTTGAGTGGGGATATTTGTACGGCTTGAGATAGTCCGTGTTGCCAAGGGTTTATCGCCAGCTGAAAGTGGAACTTGGGGGAATTTATCGGAAGAAATTCCAGCCAGCTTGGATCTCCAGAACTTATCCGACGCATCGAGGTCTGCATTTTTCAAGTATTGAACGAATCTGGAATAGGAGGCTTGCTGCGGGGGCGAAACCCGACCGAAGTATGCGTTTTCGACTCTCTTCAGCATGAGTGGAAGGCTCCATCCGTCATAAAGAGCGTGACTCATAGACAAAACAAAGAATCGCGAACCCAATTTTCTATCATCGACGAGCGAGAACCTCGCTAATTGCCCGCCATTATGCGCTGGTAGTTGGGTAGCTTCATCGGAAATTGATTCCAAACTGGAGGAGGAACCCCACGCGAACGTCTCCTTCTTGAGAACCACTTGAAGAAAATCAGACGATGCAGTGTGAACAATACGGGTCCTTAGCATGTCCAAATCATTCACAACTGTTTGCCAGGCAGCCTTAAATCTGGGGATATCAACAGCAGCATCAAGGCGGAATATACTTTGCGCTATGTATGCACCAGGCTGCTTTATCGCGAGTGTGATAAATCCTTCCTGAAGTGAGCTCGCAGGATAAATGTCATGGATGTCGCTTTCGCTCACGCGGCAAAGTTCAGCTGCTTCCTGTTTTACATCTTCGACTAGTTCTGGTTTAGGTAACAGACTGAACGGCTTCAGTTGGGATGGAGCCTCTGTCTTCTTCAAAACGCCACAACTGCTAACCATGTCCGATAATATCGGGAACTTGAAAATGTTGGAGAATGTCAGCGACATACCCTGTGCGCGTGCACTTCCAGCTAGTTGCATGGCGGTTAACGAATCTCCTCCAAGCTTGAAAAAACTATCTGTGGCGCTCACAGAACCAGGTGGCAGGTTGAGAATTTTCTCCCACAAGGCTTGAAGTTTTTTCTCTATGCTAGACGTTGAAGCAGGTTTGTTATTTTGCGCTTTTGGCCGGTACAAGCGAACGGACTCTTTCGACAAATCCTGGACCATATTTCGGAGGCGGTTACGATCAAGCTTACCAGATGAAGTCCAAGGAAGCCTGGAAACGGGAATGAAAAGACGTGGGATCATATACGAGGGCACGCAGGCTCCCAAGCCCGTCTCCAGTGACTTTGCCACAGATCTGATGGTATCGTCCATTGGGATCAGAAGTTCATCACAGCTGGAACCATCAGCTTTGGTCAAAATGGATTTATCGACATCCGAAAACGAAACAGTGAAAAACACGGTAAGGGTTTTTTTGCTGGAATCTGATGGTACAACCAAGTCGACAGCGGCCTGTGTTTTCTCTGGAAGGTTGGCTATACACTGGTGCTCAATTTCACCAAGCTCGACTCGTTGGCCATTTAGCTTAATCTGCGTGTCTTTTCTCGAGATAAAGTTGATAGTACCATTAGGATTCCACCTGACTAGATCACCGGTCCGGTACATCCGACATTGACGAGGGATTAGATCTCTTAATCGACGATCTTCGGTAAATTCGGGCCTATCGAGAAACACTTCCGCTGTTTTCTGTGGGTTATTAAGGTATCCTCTACCAACAGTGCGACCCTCTAATAGAAGTTCTCCTACTGCACCCACTGGGACGAGACGATTGTAGTTGTTGGGGTCAACTACCCAGGCTCTACATCCAACGGCCGGTCCAATATTTAATCGATCCTTGTCGACAGTAACTCCATTAGTATCAACTTTGGGACTCGCAGAGGAGATGGCGGAGTTTTCGGTTGGGCCGTAAGTGTTGATTATCGCTGGACCACCTTTCCATTCTTCTATGATCTTTTCTGGCATGGGTTCTCCGCCTACCGCAATGACCTTCAGAGTTGGAACTTGACCAGGTTTTATGGTACTCAAAACAGATGGAGTCAGGAACACCCAGTTCGCCCTATATTTTGTCATGGCGTTGGCGATATCGTTCATTCGTTCCTCGTCACTAGGCACACAGACGCAGCCACCCATGATCAAACACGTGGTAATTTCAATGACTGAGGCGTCGAAGGTGTACGAAGCGAATTGGAATACTCGAGAGGAACCGTTCATCAAAAACGCCTCGCCGTGAGCGAGGGAGCTCGTACAGATTGCTCCGTGTTCAATGACTGTCCCCTTTGGACGGCCTGTGGTCCCGGAAGTGAAAATGATGTAAGCTGCATTAGAGGGCCGAGGAGGGGTAGGAGGAGTTGCTTGGGTATTAGGAAGCTTCCGAACATCTTGAGGGTCGAGTACGAATATGGTTTTTGTGACCTTAGATGCCTTTTCACGGTACTTTGGAGAGCAGACAATGAAATCCGCTCCAACATCTTCGATAAGCAGGCGCAATCTGCTTTCGGGGTGGGTTGGATCAACATGTACAAATGCTCCGCCAGCTTTAAGAACGGCGAGCTGCGCAACAACAGACCATGCCGACTTTTCAAAGAAAAGGGGAACATAAACATCGGGTCCGACTCCAAAACCGATGAGATGGCCTGCTAATCGGGATGCGATCGCATCCAATTCAGCATATGTGAAAGATGCATCCCAGCCTTCGACTGCCTTGGTTGTCCTCGGGCGAAGCAAGGCCTGCTGTTGGATAAGCTCATGAATACACTTGTTGACAATCTTTGGGGGTTGACTATTCCAAGTGCGAATTTGCTTGCAGCTATGTTCGCCTAGCAAGTCAAGATCTCCCACTACTCTAGCATCTCCATTATTGTTGATGAGCTCATCCAACAAATGCTCGAATGTTTTTGCTATGTTGACAACATGTGCATCCGATATCGTGTCGGTCCAGTAGCCAAATCCAATGAGCAAGGATGAATCGATAAGACTGACGTTGATAGAGAGATTAAACTCATTGGGGTCGGTCGAATCGAAATGCTCGAATGTGATCATAGGAGTAGGGGAGTCTGCATCCGAGCCTTTCTGGAATGTGAAGGCGGTATTGAACAATGGTGTATCAGAGAAGCCAAGTGCATGTTGTACCTCTGTAAGTGAGCAGCTTTGATACTCCAGGCTGCGCATGAAGTCTGTTTGCAGCTGCCGGAAAGTGTCAACTAACGAGGTATTGTTCGATAGCTTGAGGCGAAAGATGATCATGTTGATAAAAGCGCCGACAGCTTCTTGAATGCCATTAACGGGGACATTTCTTCCGGACGAAACTACACCGAAGCAAACTTCATCCGTACCGGTATATGCTACGAGAACCAAGCCCCAGATAAGCTGAAGTACGTTCGCAGGCGTTAATCCGTGCTTCCTGCAGAACTTCTGTAGCTCAGATCCCCGGTTGATTGTTAAAACATAGTCTTTAGGCTCTCTTTTAGAAGGGATGGGAACCTCAGCAAGCGATGGTAGCAGACATGGTTCGATTCCAGAGAGATAAGTCTTCCAGTATTTTAACGCTTCCTCCTTGGGGGTTCTTTGCAGATATTGAATAAATTCACTGTAAAGCGGCCCTGGTTCAATGGCTGACGTTGCCTCATAAGCAGCTGTTAGGTCTTGGATCATGAGTCTCATAGATGTGCCATCGGAGATTGCGTGACTGATATCAACTTTACAGAACACCCGACCATCAAAGGTTTGGCAGACGGCAAATCTGTGAGGGGGCCTCTTTTCACTGCAGTCAAAAGGTTCAACACTTGCAAATGCTTTTTCTGCTGTTTCCGCTTCGAGGTATAGGGTATTTGCCATAACTTTCTTCAAGACGACTTGGTCCATGAGACCTTTGGTGCTAACGCTGTTGATGAATACTGTTCTTAGAGACGGGTGCCGAGAAACCACAGCCTTCCATGCCGCTTCCAATCGACGGCCATCAATTCGGTGGTTTCGCTTGTTCGACTTGACTTCATAAGCAAAATGGAACGAATATTTCTGTGGATCCTTCAGTTGACTGATGAGAATCCCTTGCTGCATAGGAGAAGGTGGATACGCGTCTTCCACTTCGTCAATAGAGATCCCTAACTCCTGAACTTGCTTTTGCAGTTTAGTAAGACTGCCATATACCAGTGGAAGGAGAGGGAATTCTCTTGGGCTCTGTGTATTGATTTTCTTGAAAGTTCCCGCTTCTTCAAGGAGGGTATTGCAGCCAGAAAGCCAATTCAAGATTCCATTTTTCCGTTTCATGTGTTTATTGAAGCCAAAGGATACCTTCAGCGTTCCATCAGTGATAACGGCTGATATTTCGATCAGGGAAAACCGAGGTACTTCTGCTCCAATATCGGAGAGTGTGTTGATGGATTGACCTCCGGCACCACCGACAGGTTGAAGAATGGCGATACTCTGCTCATTTTGCTGCATTTGGCCAAGGTAATTAAAGCAGATCTCCATAGGCCAGTGCTTTCCAAAATATTTTTCTCCATCATCCGTTAAGTATCGATAGGCAAAGTAAGGTCTGCCTTTGCCGGGAGTGCGGCGTCGTAAGTCTCTGACCCACAGGATGGTGTCCAAAAGAGTAAGGTCGCCAGAGGTTTCGGCATCATAGGGCAGATATATTGGGCTCATTGTGGTAAACCACCCCACGGTAGAGGAAAGATCAAGCTCCGGGCTCCAGGGTTCTCGTCCATGTCCTTCATTATACACCGGCGGGGGTATTTTCCTGTCCGTAAATTCTCGATGGAATGAGAGAAGAATAGAAGCGAGTATAACATCGACCGTGTCTGCTCCAAAATTCTCATGACATGCCGTTGCTAGCTGCTTCGTGGAACTTGCACTAAGCTCAATTTCTTCTGTTTGGATATCGCCGTTCAAATTTGATTTGTTTGACATCCCCCAATAATCGAAGTCAGCAGTGGGCACGTCTGAGGCCGGGAGAACTGTTTCAGGTGTTTCTTTCTGGGCATTTTCTGTTTGGAGCTTGCACCAATCCTGGAACGAAGTGGAAGTGTGGAGTTGAAGTTCAGTGCCGGCCAGCACGTCCTCGAGATCCTGGAGAATAACGCGCCAAGACATCACATCGATAATAAGGTGATGAGCAACCAGAGAAATTTGGCTTTCTTTTTTAGGTAGATCGAACATGTCAACGGCAAAAAGGGGTCCATTCTCGATATCAAGGCATTTCTGGCTGTCTTCAATTAACAACTTCACCTGGCTCGGTTTGACGTCATTGTGAGCACGGAAACGGTAAGATGTCAAAATGTCACCAGAAATCCATTGATGCCAATTTCCAGCTTCGTTCTTCTCAAAGCGAGCTCGTAGCATCGGGTGGATTGTAACCAATTTAGTGATAGCGCGAGCGATATCATCAGGACTGCGTTCCGAGGTCAAGCGCATCAAGACGCTTTGGTTGAACTGTTTCCAGTTGTCCCCAACGCAGTCAAAGTAAAGTTGCTGAATGGGGGACAGGTTGAATGACCTTGTATCTTCTAACTTTTGGGGTATCTCAACTTCCGCTTCAGCCCTGGGACGCCTACCACCAGAGAACGTAACTTGGGTAGAGAGTTCTCTAATTGATCTAGCTTGCATGATATCTTTGACAGTAATTTTAATACCCTGCGAGCGACATTTTGCCATCACTTGCATGGCCGAAATACTGTCTCCTCCCTGAGAATATGTTAGCAAATCAGATACAATCTTGTCAATATAAGGATCGGGCTTGTTACCAGATGCAAAAACGAGCAGTCGAGCTCAGTCTCGTCGAGTGCCAGGTTTAGGGCATGACTCCAGACCTTTTGGAGTTCAAGGATGATATCACACTGTGGAATGCTCTCAATTTTGTTATTAATCTGTGGTTTCTCAGCCTTTTCGATCCTCCCAGTCATTTCAGCCTTCTCAGATTTCTCAGCATTCATGTTTTTCTTCGAGAGTTTGACTAGAGTAGCCAGCTGGTTTATTGATTTGGCTTGCATGATGTCCTGCACGGCCACAGTTAAACCTTGGGAACGGCATCGTGCCATAACTTGCATCGCAGAAATGCTGTCACCACCCTGATAAGAATGTTAGCTATATAACCTAGTAAATAAGAGCGTAGCTCACGACATCAGCATACCAAATGTAAAAATGACGAGGTTTCGGGCTCAACTTCGTCCAAGGGTATCTTGAGTACATGACTACACGCTTTTCGAAGTTCTTCGACAACGTCGATCACAGGGGTCACGTCAACTTCCCGAGCCTGCTGAACGGGCGGTTTTCTCGCATGGTCTCTCTGCATTTCTTCAATGAATTTTATAATTTGCCGTCGATTCAATTTCCCGGAGGGCATGATAGGCATCGATTTGAAAGATACCCATTTTGTTGGAACCATATATGGCGGTAGAAGACGACGTAAACGTTCTTGAATAGCGGACATCATCGGGGCTACATCATCGAAAGGAATCATTTCGAGTTTGGTGGATGGGTCACCTCTGGTAGCGTCCTCCGAAAAGATTGCAGCCACCAGCCGTTTGGCATGAATGCCTCCTTTCGGGATAGTTACAACGCAATTCACAACAGCGTCATCCGCTCGAAGGTGGTGTTCAACTTCATCGATCTCAAGGCGTTGTCCACGAAGTTTAACCTGGTTGTCTTTCCGGCCAATGTAGATGATATCCATCGATCCGTCGTTGTGATACCTCACAAGGTCACCGGTTTTGTACATTCTTCTGTCCCCAGACTGAGTGCGCTGCGCCCACTTAGGGTTTTTGATATATACGCTAGCGGTCTTTTCGGGGTCCTTCAAATAGCATCGGGAAACGGTAGGACCTTCCACAAGGAGCTCACCTACGGCGCCAACTGGAACAAGCCTATCATGGTTTTGCGGGTCCACAATCCAGCAGCGGTCTAGTGCTTGGCCAATGTTAACGGGGTTTGTCTTTGTGGTTATCTGGCTTTTGACCGTTGAGAGTACTGTTGCCTCAGATGGTCCATAGCCATTCACAAGCTGGACTCTATTAGCCCAGGTGGTAACATCGGACTCGGACAGACTTTCACCGACGAGTGAGAGAGTCTTGAGCGTCGGAACATCTTCAGGTGATATAACGCGAGCAAAGGACGGAGTGAATTCGGCCCAGTCAATGTTCATCTTAGTGATAAATTCTTCTATGTTGTTTATACGATCAAAATCATTTGGCATGCAAACACATGCTCCAATGATGAGGGCCGTAAGCGTTTCGAGTATACTAGCATCAAAAGTGAAAGACGAAAATTGAAGGGCGCGACGATAAGGTTTGAGGCACACTGCCGGACCATGGCTCATGGCACCGGAGCAGACGTTACGATGTTCAACTGATCAATTCGTTAGTGGGGAATTGAAGGGTTGCTAGGTGAGAAACTCTTACCTAAAATTCCTTTCGGCTTTCCTGTTGTACCAGAGGTAAATATAACATATGCTCCATTATCTGTAGGAACTTGAGGTAGCAGTTGCGACCGTGATGGCAACGTCCGGAGTAAGGCCATGTCGACGACTAAGGTCTGCGGTGCCAAATCCTCGCAAATTGATTTATGCCGGGAAGAACAGAGGACCATGGATGCTTCAAGATCAGTTGTAATTCCTTGAAGTCGAACAATTGGATGGGTGGGGTCCAGGAAAGCAAAGGCACCTCCGGCCTTTATCACTGCCAACATGGAAACCACTGCAAAGGCCGACTTTTCAAAGCATAGAGGAACATAAACCTCCGGATCGGCGCAAACTCCCAAGTCGACCAAATGATGAGCTAGTTTTGTAGAGACATCATCTAGCTCCTCAAATGTGAAGGTTCCATCCCAGGCGTCAAGAGCCAGGGCAGTGGGATCCGTCCGGACTCGATCATAAAACATGTCGTGAACGCATCTGTCATAGAGCTCCGCTCCAGTTGAATTCAACTCTTCAATAAGCTCTATGTCTTGAGAGTTCATAACGTCCATATCGCCGAGCTTGGTTTCTGAATAGTCATTGGACGCTAGTCGCCTGAGCAGAGTGCTCAGCTGGTTTATAATTCGTTCCACTTGCCATTGCGGAAGAACGCTAGCATCATAGTGAGTATCAATACGAATTTCTGACTTAGCAATTGTGCAAGAGATGTTCAAAAGATAGGAGAAGAAGTCGCTTCCCTCTACTCCAGAACTGATCATATTCCAAAAACCATCCGCGGTTTCGTCTGCATCCTGGGTGATGGTGAGAAGGTTTTGGAATTCGCACGCCAAAGCGGCATCGGACCCAAGGCGCTTGATATTTTGGATCCCGGCAAATTGATACGGCATAGCCTGTACGAACTGATTTTGGACATCCTTCAAGAACTCAGCAACAGTAAGACCACGATTGATGCGGACTCTAGAAGGAATTGAGGTAAATGTCGGGCCGATCATATCCTCAATGCCGGGAACAGGGGCATCTCGTCCAGTCAGCATCTCCCCGAATATAACGTCGTCGGAATTCGAGTATAGAGAGGCAATTAACGCCCAAGCCGCACGAATAGTCGAGGCGACCGTTATTTCCTTATCTGACATCGGCGGAAGTTTCACAGCTTGGGAAAGTTTCTCGTGTGCTTTGACCTGGTAATGGGAGTTCGGGAGTCGCGGCCATGGCGACGATGTTGGGTCTTCTAGTCGAGCCATCCAAAAATCGTCGCAAGCCTTTTTGTCGATGGCGTTTAGATATTGAAGGAACCGTGAGAATGGAGTCTCGACAGCAACCCCCAGCGAATCAGCATTGCGGTAGCAGGCGGCCACTCTGTTTAGCAAAGTGGGTATGCTCCATCCGTCATATAAAGCGTGATGAACGGTCCAAACAAATTGTGGCGATTGTGAACGCTCGCCGACGATAGTATACCTGCAAAGTATTCCACCATCATGCGGAGGTAAATTACGATCTTCACTTGCAATATCTCGAATCGTTCTTACCGAGTTCCAGTCGATTGGCGCGTCGACAACAGCCTGGAGGAAGCCCAAAGTTTCTGTAAAGACAATCCGGGTACGAAGAACTGCCTCCGCATCGGCTACCGCCTGCCATGCCTTCCTAAATTTATGGAAATCGACATTTGATGGCAAACGGAAAATATTTTGAGCGACGTACGCTCCGGGTTGCTTGCTGGACAAAGCAACCAAACCACCTTGTATAGACGTGCAAGGGTAAATATCTTGAACTGACTTGGCTGAAACGTCACATATATCCGAAACTTCATTCACAAGTTCATTAATGTCAACATCCTTTGGAAGCAAAGAGAATGGCTTTATAGGGTTTGGCATCATGGTGATTCCATTAGTCAACTCTGTACTCTCAGCAGAACCCTGACACGATGCAGCCATCTCAGAGAGCTTCGGATGCTGGAAAATGCTCGCGACAGAAAGTATAAGCCCTTTTCTTCGAGCAGCAGTAACGAGCTTCATAGCACCGATTGAATCTCCACCATGGCGGAAAAAGCTATCATCGGCTCCAATAACAGAAGTCGGCTTGGATAAAACGGATGCCCATAACTGTTGCAGGATCGCTTCAGTCTCGGTTTCGGGTGCTCTTCCCCCACCAAAATCTCCAAGCCTGTAAGTAGATGCTTGTTCATCGGACAAGGACTGGGCTGCATTGCACAGTGCCCGGCGGTCGAGTTTCCCGGACGCGGTGAGTGGCATTTCTGACACAGGAATGTACGCTCCGGGGACCATATATGCAGGTATTACCGCTAATAATGCTGACTCGAGGGATCTTGCAGTAGACTCGACGGTTGCATCCATTGGAAGGAGAATGCTGTCTGAGTCAGGGGCCGTTGTCGAACCACTTGATTTCATACATAAAAAGACAGCAAGGGTTTTAACGCCACCGGTAACAATTAGCTGAACAGCTGACTGAGTAGACTCTGGCAAGTTGATTTTAACACAGTATTCTATTTCTCCAAGTTCGATGCGCTGCCCGTTTAATTTGACTTGGGTATCTTTCCTGCCGAGATAAACTATTGATCCATCGCTGTCGTATCTGACCAAATCACCGGTCTTGTACATTCTCCTGATTGAATTGATACGCGGAGCTGGGTCCTTTTCAACCCAAGATGGATTTTCGATAAAGGATTTGGCCGTCTTTTCTGGGTCGTTGAGATAACCACGGGAGACGATCGGTCCCTCAACAAGAAGCTCACCAACAGCACCAATAGGCACTAGTTTATTGTGGTCGGACGGATCAACGACCCAGGATACACTCCCAACGCTTTTTCCAATATTGGAAACATCGGTCGTTGCAGCATTACGGTTATGAGTGCAGTTAATTGAGCACTCTGAAGGTCCGTACTGATTGTGGATCGGAATTGAACACCAAATATCCTTGACTGCTTTTGTCATAGCCTCACCTCCAATTCCGATAGCCTTAATTGATGGGACATCGCTAGGGTGAATAAAGGAGGCAACGGTGGGAGTGAGATCCATGAAGTTTGCATTTAGTTTGTTGATAGCGCCAGCGAGGTTGTTGAACCGGTCTTCTTCCGACGGGACGCAGACGCAGCCTCCACGCATGAGCGTAGTAAACATCTCTTCAAGACTGTTATCGAAAGTGTAGGCAGCGAATTGCAAGACTCGGCTTTGTGGTCCAAGGCCCAGGGCAGAACCGTGAGCTTCGGCACTCGACACAATTGAACGATGTTCCAACACGACTCCCTTTGGCTTTCCTGTACTTCCCGAAGTGAAGATAATGAAACATGGGTTCGTGGGCTCCGAAGGTATACCGCAGAACTCATCATATTCTGCGATCTCGTCAATCAGATCAGAATTGACTGCCACGACATATGGAACCATGTCTTCAAACATGGAAGCCCTCTGTGGCGATGCCACTACTATCTGTGCATCACAGTCCATAACCTTGTACTGAAGCGTATTTTTGGGATGCGTAGCGTCCAGGGGCACACATGCACCGCCCGCCTTCAAGACACCAAGCATGGAAATAATGGTCCAAGCAGACTTGTCGAAGCAGATAGGGACAAACGATTCTGGGACAACGCCCAAGGCCGCAAAGTAATTTGCCAGGTGTGTTGAGATCTCGTCAAGTTGACGATAGGTGAAATCTCCATCCCAGGCGCAAATAGCAGGATCATCTGGACGGGCTCTCGCCTGCTTCCTGACCACTTCGTGCACGCACTCATTGATTGTTTCCGGAATATTGCAGTTCCACGACCAGATATTTTCATAATCTTGTGTACTGACATTATCTAGTTGGGCGACTAGCTGTTTTGCGTTGTAGGTTATGTTTTCAAGGGATCGAATAAAAGTGTTAGCAATGTTCCTTGCTTGCTGCTCGCAAATGGAATCCGTCCAGTAATCGAGGTCGATAAAAACTTCAATGTCAGAAACTTCAATATTCAAAGAGACAGGATATTCCGTTGGGTCATGAATTGGGCAGTATTCACTAAACTCAATCATCTGTTGTTCTGTATTTCTATTTGTCGGAAGTCGGCGATAGGAGACACAGGTATTGAAGAGAGCGACGTCAGAGAGTTTCAATGCGTGTTGAACCGCGGCAAGAGAAATGTGCTTGTGCGGCAGACTGTCCATGTAATCTTGCTGGACGGCGTCGAGGACTTTACTGAGAGGACGGTCATTGGGCATACTTACTCGACATGCAAGCATGTTGATGAAAGGTCCAACAGCGTTATCGACGCCAGGCACGGGAATATCACGTCCCGAAGACAGGTATCCAAAGCATGCTTCTTCAGAGCCGAGATAGGACCGTAAAGTGAGCGCCCATGCAGTATTGATCGCATTTGAAAGTGTAAGTCCGTTAGAATCGCAAAAGTTCTGGAGGTCCGCTAATTGTTTGTAGTCAAGTCGTAGGGTGCGGAGCACCTTTTCAGCTGTGATCCCGTCGTTCAGGGCGGGGAAGTGACTTGGCTCTACGCCCTTGAGGTAAGAAGTCCAGAATTCAATTCCTTTGGCAGTTGGCTGCTCTTGAAGGTAAGCAATAAAAGCGCTATAGGACACGGCAGGCTCTTTGGCGAGGTTTTCAGTATACGCCAACGCAAGGTCACGGAAGATAATCGAGATTGACATGCCGTCCATAATGGCATGGCTCATCTCAAGGCGACAGAAAACCTTTCCATTCGACGTTTGGCAGATCGTAAGCCGATGCGGAGGCTTGCTATCATCATCATAGCCATATGGCTTTTGGTTCTGTAGCGTAGGAAGTACGTCATTATCGCTCTTACATCGCAGCCGAAGTAGCTGGGGCTTGATGCTCTTAAGGACTAATTGGTTAAAAAGACCGTCAGAAGTCAGACCCTCGACGAACACGGTGCGAAGAGCTGGGTGATGTTCAACCACTTTCGACCATGCAGAAGCAAGCCGCTCAGCATCCACATGGTTACGACCCTGAGGCTTAGCTTCAAAGGTTACGTGAACAGAATAGAATGCGCCGTCTTTATTTCTGCTGATCAGCAGCCCTTGCTGCATTGGGGAACATGGGAAAGCATCCTCCACTTGACTCAGACTAGATAAGCCAATTTGCGGTAATTTATCGGTGACCATGGAATTAAGATCATCGTATGTTAATGGCAAGAGTGGGAAATCGCTGAGTGTTATCCGGGGAGCCATAGTCACGAATTCGCTGGCAATATGACTTAAGTTCCGCTGACATCGAGAGACCCATTTCCGGATAGCAGGTTGGTGTTTCATGTGCCGGTTAAATGTAAAGGCAAATCGGAGTTTCCCACCAGCGACCACGGCAGAGATTTCAAAGAGACCAAACCGCGGTGTGGTTTTATCATAGTCAGCTGAGCCTCCTGCCTCTCTAGCTTCACCTGCCATCTCGTCCACCGGGTGCAGCAGGGCATCCGTCCGCTCCAATTGCTGATATTGGCCCAGGTAGTTGAAAGATACCTCCATTGGAGCGTGATGGCTAAATCTATCCTTGCCTTCTTTAGTGTGGAATCGGCAGGCGAAGTAGTGTCGACCGTTGCCTGGGACACGATGACGAATGTCCTTGACGCGCATCACAGTGTTGGCGATGTCATCTGAGCTTGAGGTGGGGACAAAAACGGGATACACTGTTGTGAACCATCCAACTGTATGAGAAATATCAATTGAGTCGTCCCAAGGTTCACGGCCGTGGCCTTCATTATAGATAGCGGGGACATCGCGGTCAGGGAATGTCTCCGCGAATGAATGAATGAGCACAGCAACCAAGACATCAACCGGTTCGGTACGCATAGCGTTATGGCATTTTGTCAGCAAAAGTGAAGTAGTCGGACTATCCATTTCGAACACTTCGCAAGCAGCAGCACCATAAGTGTTCAGCTGGGGGTCAATGTCCCAGTAAGAGAAATTACCGGCAGGAATCTCTCCGGCTGAGATAACTTTCGACAAGTCAAGGTCCTGGCAATGGTCTATTTGAAGCTTGGACCATGTTTGGAACGGAATGGACGGGGATGCAAGCGACGGATTGTGAGGATTCAGCAATAACTCTTCCAGATCCTCTAAAATTACTCTCCACGAGACCAGATCGATAACCAAATGATGTCCGACCATGGAAAGGAGCTGCTCTTCCTTGCCCACGTCGAAGAGATCGGCGGTGAACAATGGACCATGTTCAATGTCCATTGAACTCTGGCTATCGGCGATCGCTGCGTCTGCCTCGTCCCGCGAATTGATGTGGTGAGTGCGAAGCCGATAGGAAGAGGCTACATCGGAAGTAATGCGTTGCTTCCATTCCCCGTTTGGATCTTGTCTACTAAAACGGGCGCGGAGCATTGAATGGCGATCAACGATGACCTCGACTGCCTGGCGAAGGACGGCCTCTGATGTTGGTCGAGCGAGCTTCAAAAAGAAACTTTGGTTGAAATAGCCCTGACTCTCCTCACGAACTTGGAAGTGGTACTGCTGGATGGGTGTGAGATCGAACTCTTGGTCGACTTCTTCCTGATAGTCAACAGTCTGGATTGTGGTCCTTGCACAGGGGGCAAGCTCCCTGATTGACTTGCTACGAAGGATCTCTTGGAAAGTAAACCCAAGGCCAACCTTCTTGGACTGTCCCACGCATGTCATCGCCGTAATGGAATCTCCTCCCAAGCTGAGGAAGCTCTGATTCAGGCCAATTCGGTTTCCAGGAAGGTTTAGCACTCGAGCCCAGACCCTCCTGAGCTTGTCTTCTACCTCGTTGGGCTTGGTCCCTTCGGTTTCGTGTTCGTCGTCGTCATCTTTGCCAGACATTGCGACTTGTAGGAAAAGTTCGCCATCAATTTCATCCACCCACGTCGATATCGCCTTCCGGTCTAATTTTCTGGAAGACAACATTGGAAAAGCTTCAACGCAGAGCCACATAGTGGGGACCATGTACGATGGTAGATTGGCTGCTAGCCGCTGCCGCATTTCTTTAACGGCTGCATTCTTCTGCGAATGGGACACTAGTTTCAGTGGTGTTGGATTCATGAGATCACCGACAAGACAACTGAGAGTGAACACTGCAACAATGCGTCCCTTGCAGCAACCCTTTTTTGGGAACAGGACCAGGCCATGGCTAACATTTGGGTCAGCGACAATATGGTGTTCAATTTCACCAAGCTCAATACGCTGACCATGAAATTTGATCTGGGTATCTTTTCTCCCGGCATAGTTTAAAGAACCTTCAAAGGAGTTGTAGCGAACAAGGTCGCCCGTTTTATAAAATCGCCTAGGCTTGCCATTTACGCTTTTAGCCCAGGCAAGGTCGCAGATGAAGGCGTCCTCCGTCTTTTCAGGGTTGTTGAGATATTCTCTCGCGAGGCTAGGCCCTTCGAGAAGCAATTCGCCGACGCATCCGGGCGGGACGAGCCGATTGTGATCCCTAGGGTTGACAACCCAGCAATGAAGGCCGATCGGAAACCCGATGTCTGTCGGTTCGGAGTCAGCAGTCATGTGAGAATTCGTGACGGCGCATACCGAGGATTCAGTTGGTCCGTAGCCGTTGATGAGGTTGATGTGCGACCAAGCGTCAACATGTGACTGCGACATTGCCTCGCCCGCCAACACCAAGCTTTTTAGACCAGGGACTTCGGCCGGTGGGATGAAATTTATAAATGAGGGGGTGAGCGTCGCAAGGTTAACCCGCATCCTATTGATCACTCCAACAATGTCATTCATCCGGTCCTCCTCGCTCGGTATGCACACCGTTCCCCCGACCAGCAGCGGAGTGAGGATCTCGACAAGGCTGGCGTCGAAAGTATGAGCCGCAAAGTTCAGGGCACGGGAATTCTCGCTAATGGCCAAGGCTGGGGCATGAGCGTCCGCTCCGGAGACATACGACGCATGCTCGATCACGGTACCCTTGCTAAGTGTTAGATGTGGATCGTAACCCGTGAAAACAGTATACAACTTACCTTTGGTTCTCCAGTGGAGCCCGATGTGAATATCAAATAAGCGGCGTTGTCGGCCCTACAACGCGAGACGTACGTTGGTGGCCCAGAAAGTTGAGGAAGACGATTGATAAGGCCCTGATCAACCGGAGTCACAGTGCAAATCCCCTCCGATAAGCGATCAGCGTGATTTGCGGAGCACAGCAAGATGTGTGCTCCAAGTTTCTGGATTAGAGACTGGAGACGTGGAATTGGATGCGATGGATCGAAAGGAACAAACGCGCCTCCAGCTTTCATTACCGCAAATATTGCGACAGGATACCATTTCTACGGCCCCGTTAGCCTTTAGAAGAGGAAAGAACAGTAAAGAAAAGGGAGGCTGCAAAAAGCGTACCGATTTCTCAAAACAGCAGGGTACTCGGACTTCCGGTCCTACGCCCATCTGAATCAAGCGATTTGCTAAGCGGGAGGTGACTTCGTCGAATTCAGCGTACGTAAAACGTCCGTCCCAAGCATGTATGGCTTCGTGGTTGCCTCGTTGGCGCGCCTGTTCATGGAAAACTTCGTGTATGCATTTATCTATTCTCTCCAACGGTTTGCTGTTCCAGCTTAGGACCCGTTTCAAGTGACGGTCGGTGAAGAAATCAACTTCTTCAACGCGAACTTGAGGAGAGTTGAGCGTTGTAGTAAGAATCTTGTCAAATGTGCTGGCGACATCCATCGACTGATCCATGGTCATTTCGGAGCTCCACCATTCCAAGAATATGGTGATCATCCCGTTGAAGTGCTTAGCAACGACGCGAATTCGACACTGATTTTATCAATAACACCGTACAAAGTTGTGAAAGAAGAGAATCCCGCTTACCTGTTCCGGAAGCATTATGCTTCCCTGTCGAGAATTTATCGCAGCCTCGGTTGGCATTCCTACATTAGTGGGCGTTCGAAGCACCAGCGCCGTATTAAACAGCAGCTTTTCAGCCACTTTTGCGGCGCCGGCCTTGCCGAACGGTACATCAGTGCGATACGGAATGCTTATGATGCACTCACCTTTTTTGTCTTCAACCAACTCGGTCAATGTTGTATCATCATGCACTTTTACTCGAGCAATCGACATATCGCCGCCGATCGCCGCTCCAGAACCAGTTTCCTGGTAAGCGAAGCAGACGTCCTCCGAGTCAGTATAGCATCGAAGTACCAGCGCCCATGCAACGCGCAAAGCGTTCGAGAGGGCCGAGCTTCCAGACTTGGCTAGCTCTTGAAGTTTCCGCGGTTCCTGCAGGACTATGCGCGCAGTCATGGGGCGCTTGGTGCGGTGATGCTGGGACTTCGGACCCAGTCGAGGAAATATACATGGCGTCAACCCGGCGAGATGGGTTTGGTCCGTCGCATTGGTAGCGGAACCTGTCTTCGTCGCCATTTTCTATCCGTTAATAGCGAGGAGTTCGTTGATTATCTCTGATATCAAGCTCAGTAAAGTGCCCGACACAACTCGGTGCAAAAACTCACATTAAGCTGTTACACAGGGGATTAATTGGTAACCCAGTGCTTTTATAGCACGTCTAAACACACAGCTAAACGGAATCTATCCAAGAATGTGAAAAGGAGAGGAGCTGTGGGGGATTCAATACGCGAAAGACGGGAAGGAGATTGAGCAGTTGTGCTAAAGTTATCCTTTGACAAATGTCGAGTCCTAGGAAAGATTAGCATGCGACGAGTGTCAGGAGGGCTTCCACGTCTCGCTTTTGCTCGGATAATCGAACAGTTGGCGGCTTTTTGTGGGTTTGAGGGGACGAGATGTTCGCGATGCGGTTCTTGAGGAGAAGGGGATTGTAGGTATGCGCATACGTACAGCCGGAAAGACCGATAGCGCCTGAGTTCCCAGAGCAGGGATTGAATAAGCGTTCAGCTTGCACGGCGGTGAGAGGTGATACGCGGAAACCCGTGGTTAAGTGTCCAACCTCACGCTGGTCGTTTGATCGCTTTTTGGTTTGTGACCGTTCGAACGACAGTGATCGCCAGGATACTTGAGATCGCAATGACATGCAGGGAAAGACTGCAATCCCAAAATGCGACTGCAAAAGTGAGAGACAAAAAAAAAAAAAAAGGAGAAAAAGAAAACCTGTTTGTTTCTTCTGTTTCTAGTTCCGCAATGAGGAGTCTGATCGCATTCTGGAATGTTGGCTTGCTTTCTAGATCCCTTGTCCTAAATTTGGAAAGCTTCTGGGGAAATGGCCACTCTCAGGCTCCAGTAGCCAGCAGGGATGATCGTTGATGATAGAAACAAGACTCGTATCGCCTGGAAAAGTGAAAATGCATTCCATACCGACACAACGCCGTCAATGCTCTCAGCATGGGTTGGCCGGAGCGGTAGTCTGCCGGTCCATAGTATCAGTCAGGTACCAAGGTGGTATCCCGTACCGGATCTGATCTACAGCCGTCGACCTCGTACTGGGCTGGTTCACATTGCTCTTTTCCGAACCTGCGCCTTTGATTCCCGGCATCCGCTCCACTCAACCTGCAAATGAAGAAACTTTGACCAGAGAGTGTCCAATCACCATCCGATGTCTTAAAACAAGCAACCAGGATTCCAAAGGATAGAAACAGCAGTGTCTGAGACAAGCAAACGGTGTGCCATGGGGAGGATGTTCCCTGTTTCCTGGCTTCTGGACGGCGGACATTTTCCCCATCGCTGGGGTTGGGTTGAGGTTGACCTGCAGCCACCGCCGGGGTGGAAGAACGGGCTGGATTACATAACGCCCTACTCCGTACCGAACGTGTCAAGAATAGTCTTGGCAGGTCCCACCAACCAGCCGCTTTGGCCTGTGCTCTAACCGAGACGCCGTGTCATCGCCGCCGACAAACTGACAGTCGAGAAGCTGCTGCGTTTCCTCCATATCTTCCGTATACAATATGCCTACATACCTACAGAGAACAGGGTACGGGGGCCACCCAGGCCAGTTGCAATCTCGCCTACCGCCTGCACTGTGACGTGCTCCTCCACTAGACACGAGAATTCAGCCCACTGAGCGACTGCCCTGTACGGAGTACAATGGACTTGAAATTCGACAGGGCATTCGCCACACTTCATGCACGCCCGATTCTCATTTCAGCACCGGAAACTTTAGGACATTATGTGTGGACATACCTACATTAGTCTATGCCGTCTCCCGTTCCGGGATGTTCACAGGCATATCAAAATGCCCCGGTTTCCCACGAACAGAGATGCCAAATATAGCACGGTGGGTGCCGTATTTAACTCAGATAACAGAAAAGCCTGTGGCGAGAAATAGAGCATATTTCTCCGTACATAATGTAATTATGTACGGACTGACCGCTACATGGCTTCGAGGCTTGGTGTCTCGTACTCCGGGCTCCAAGGCCATAACAAGACACAATGCGCACCAGCATGCGGAGTACCTCCAGGGGAGATCGGTATGGACTGGAGCTCAGCGTCGTCGAACTGCCCAATCTAACGACGATGACCGCGCGCGCTCGTCACGTGGGTCTCCAGTGGCTAAGCTCCAGCCCATCAGCTGCCGACAACACACTGGCCAGACAATGTTTTTCGACGTGCAACCCTAAAAAGGCTATCCGCTCGATGTCTCTGTGGGTTACTCCGTACTCCGGATGGGGCAAAACGGATTTCCTGATGGATGACATCTTTGACGGTTCGAGCCAGTAGGTCGAACTCACCAAAGGGAGGAAAATCCGGTAACTCGCGACGACCAGCCAGCGGCGACCACTTGACAGGTACTATTTTTACCGGATCGAATCCGAACGGAGTATTTATTTTGTTGCCCACCGTTCTCGAATCCAAGTGCGTCTAATCGGAGCTCGAGAGGAAACCCAGAAACAGAGTCCCGCGGTGTTTACGAAATGGAAAAGGGGATATTAACCCCGACTATGTTACTATATCAAGAACATCACGAAAGCTCCTCACGCCACAACATGCACCCGAGATCAATGACTAAGGATATTTTGTTTAATGTATTCTAGAATCCAGAACCTGGATTTCCTTTGTGTGGCCCCATGAGATGGTAGCGGTAGCTCTCGAGTTAAAATTCTCGAATTCAGGGAACGCAGCGGCGATGGCTTGCGCTCATTGGGTTGACGATCACTACTTCCTGGATTGGGGCTGGACGACGGCAGTTTCGAGTGGCAGAGCGTGGATGGAATCATAATTCAAGAGCAGTATCTTTGTCGACCGGCCAAGGCGGGTGAAAGAATGCCTAGTGCTGGAGAGGCGCGCCGCTGTTAATGTATTTACGTTTGTACTGTACGGAGTACCTGTGGAGGTACAGAGGATGCGTGTACACTACTATTTTCCCAGATTACGACAAGAAAAAGCAATGTTGATTTGTCCCTCCAACAATCACTGACCAAGTTTGAACACCAAACCCCCCCCTCAAACTAGCTGTATGTGGGAGGTGACTGCTGTTGGATCTTTGCACTCGTAGCTGCTGATCAGGTCTGTGTGCCTTAGTTCGACTATGAATTCCTTCTGCGACTGCTGAACAGCTCACAAGGTTTGATATCGGCGAATGATGTGATCCGGAGGTGGTGGAGGCATCTGGGTGTGCCTGATGACATTAACTTTTAGTTCATTTGTGTCTCGCTATTTCTCCATCGCATCTCCATTAACCTTCTTGACCGTGACCATCAAGGTTCCACAGGTCGAAATGGAAATTTCTCTTGTTCTTTTTGTGCGAGAATAAGCTCCGACGGTGGACGTGATTCCCTGGTATTCGGAACTCATCTGGAGTGCCAGCATGTTCCCTGCCAAGGGCATGGCGAACCAGAACCACAAAAAATTTTGTGGTGGGGACTCGTTGGCGATCCGGGGTAACTTTGAGGGCTTCGCGAGTCAAAATCGCCCACGCAAAAGTACATGTACAGCACGGGATACGTATTCCGTACATACACGGAGTAAACTTGAGCATTGCGTGCCGGGAAGGGAGCAAGATTCAATAATAGTGCAATACGAACGCAACCGGCGCGACTGGGCGGCGGCGAACTGAGTGCCATGCACGGTAGCAGGCGAGCTCGCTACCATGGTCTCAATTTCCTCCGTATCGAGCCATGCAGGAAGCATAACCGTAGCGAGTACGATGAAGGGTTTGGGGAAAAACACTAAAAAAAAAGAGAAAAAGAGAGAAAAAGAAAAAAGAAAAGAAAAAGAAAAAGAAAAAAGAAGTGATCGCATCATTGATGAATGTCTGGGCACGAGTTCCCTCCCTGATCGCCCTTCGGCTACGAGCCAACCGCCCCATACGGTGTGCTCCGTCGCTCCACATATAGTTACATGGGTATGTACGGAGTACTCCGTACAACATACATATACGGGAGCATGGACAGACTTCCAAGGTACTATACGGAGTACATCTATACATTAATAAATGCTGCCATACACCCATCCCTAAGGATCCGAAATCAGGATGAGCAGAAAAGGTGACCAGGCTTGGATCAACGACCACAGGTATCGCCCGAAACATTTGGCGGGAAATGAGATGGAAAGGTCTTGCTTGGGTTTCATCGCCGTCGAAGCTTCGTGCGAAGCTGGGGTTTTTTTTGACGTAACTACCGTACCTCGTATGTAACTTTGGTCACGTGTCGGTAACAAAGGTACCGAGCAGCTCCACGTTTAGCGGGTCTGGCCAGCGAGGCTTAAACTCGCAGTGGACGCAAATCTTATGCCGGGATTGCCCACACTACAAAGCTTGGCCTCGACAACAAACCACAACGACAAGATATCACCACGTCGGCTGAGGCTGCAGAAAAGAGTTCTTCTCGATCGACGCCATAATTTTAAAAAGGAAAAAAGAAAAAAAAAAAATTACATAAATAAAGCATATTTTTGATGAGGCTATGACTTTCCTCATGCAATTGAGAAAGCGAAGGGTGGTGGCTGGGTCGAACCTTTCCCAGGCTCTGGTTGAGGTTTTGGGTTTTCAGCCAGAAGCTGCCTGGCTATCCACCGCCAGCCATTGCCCTGCTCATCAACTCCAGCCAGCGCCTGCCAGAATACTACCTGAGGCATACGGTACAGGGACGCTACTTTACTTTCCCGTCAATTGGTGGACTGAGCTTCCGCTCCATTGGCTCGGTGCGTGCGAGGTTCCGAGAAATGGTAACATCATGGAAAGCTGGTCTAGTACCTAGAGATTCTATTTTAATATACCAGGATGCAAGATATTCCATCGTCCGTATTACCACTTTCCTCTTCATCCTTCCCTGTCACGCTGGACCGGGGACCTGACCTGACACGCGGAGGCTTCCCAAGACATACTAGAGTGACTATATTCGTCCGAAGCTAAGCTGCTTCCCGGTTCGGCTGCTCTCCCTTGGTGATCCCTTTTCTCTTTTTATCTTTTTTTTGGGTTCAGAAATTGAGCTTGAGAGAGAGGGAACGGCCATCCACGGATCAGGAGTAGAAAAAGCCTCGATGATCTGTCAAGCATCACCCTCGTGGATCCGTGATGACATGTTTTAATCCGCTGGGAGGCCACTGATACACAAAAGGACTCTCTCTGTGTTCGCTCTCTCCTCCCATTGAGTGAGAATCTTCTTGTTCTCCTCTGTCCGCTGTCCTTTCAAGCCTGCTGTCTCGCCCTGTGTTGTACTTTCAACGAGACAACATGGCTTCCCAAAATCTGTCGACGTGTGGGAGGATTGACGACACCTTCGGCCCGTATGCGTTACACTGTCGGGGGGGTTTCGACTTCACTCTTTTGTTCGAGGAGACCTTCCTCACCATCATTCCCGTCGGCTTGCTGCTGCTTGTCATTCCGTTTCGTGTCTACTACCTGTTCAAGAAGCAGAAGAAAGTCAACGATGGCCCATTAGTACATCTCAAGCTTGTATGTTCTTCACGGCAACCGTCGCTCCCGCTGCTACTCCCTCTTCGAGAGAAGACATGGCATATGCTAACTTTTGGCTGCTGTAACAGACCGCCCTAGCCGCTTTCGCAGTTCTTCACTTGATCCTGCTGGTCCTCTGGACTCGCCCATCCGTCGAGCGGACTCGAACTTCTCTTGTTACCAGTGCTCTCACACTTGGAAGCGCTCTCACCTTCTGCTTGCTGTCATACTTCGAGCATATCCGCACCGTCAAGCCCTCGTTCTTACTCAGTGTATATTTCCTTATCACCCTTCCTTTCGACGCTGCGCGGTGTAGGACATTATGGCTACGCCGAACGAGCGACTACGGTTATCTGATCGCTCTCACTTTTACGGTGACGGTTGCTCTCAAGGTTATCATCTTGGTGCTTGAAGCGGCCCCGAAGCGCGGTATTTTGAAACCCGAGTACCAGGCGTATCCACCTGAGGCAACAAGTGGGGTAATCAATCGATCCTTCTTCTGGTGGGTCAATCCACTCTTTTGGTTCGGATATTCGAATCTCCTCTCCATCGAAAACCTTTTCAACCTCGACAAGCATCTTGTTTCGGAGCGCGTGCACCAACGCATGGAAGCAGCATGGAGCAAAGGTACTGCCAACCTTCTATTCTACTCTTAGAGGTGCCTTTACTAATTTGAGATCCGCCTTTTCTAGTCAAGAGCAAGGGTCCGAACTCGCTCTTGTGGGTTACAATAAAAGTGTTGAAATGGCGACTAATGTCCATTATATTCCCGCGCCTGTGTCTCATTGGATTCACATTTGCACAACCATTCTTGATCAACCGAGCAATCAAGTTTGCCTCGCAACCCGAATCACGAACCAGCGAGGGCATCGGAAACTCCCTGATCGGTGCATACATCCTGGTTTATATCGGAATAGCGGTACGGCCCCCTTTCCACTCCGTACATGTCTCTGCCGGGTGAATGTTTTACTGATTCATGTTTGTCTTATTTTCTTCTCTTCAGGTATCCATGGGTCAATACCAGCATTTGACATATCGCGCGATTACTATGGCTCGAGGTGGCCTCATTGGGATGCTCTACAGGAAGGCAACCGACCTAAGCATCAAGGACGTCGACCCCGCCTCCTCACTAACTTTAATGAGTGCCGATATTGAGCGCATCGTGCAGGGTTGGCAAACAATGCATGAAATGTGGGCCAATATTATTGAGGTCGGCATTGCCATCTTCCTTCTCTACATACAGCTTGGTGTGGCTTGTGCCGTGCCAATAGCAGTCTCGATTTTGTCGCTGGTCTTATCAATCATCGCAATGAACTTTGTGACTGCCCACCAGGCACTTTGGCTCGAGGCTATTGAGCGCCGTATTTCGGCAACAACCGTGATGCTTGGCTCTATGAAGGGTGTTAAGATGTGTGGTCTTAAGCAGACCCTGTTGACGAATTTGCACAATCTTCGAATTGAGGAGCTGACCATCTCCAAAAAATTCCGTAAACTGTTGATCTGGAATATGGGTTTTGGTACGCTACATCCCATGTGGCTTCCCGCTACTTCGTTACCCTGTCGTTTACTGACCAATAACGATAGCCTACGTTTCCCAGGTCTTCAGCCCTATCCTTACCTTCACCGTCTTCTCGATTTTGGCAAAGAAAAACGGCGATAACTCAATTCTCGATTTCGCCAGAGTTTTCACGTCCCTGTCACTGTTTGCGTTGCTATCCGAACCGTTACAGTCGCTCATTTTGGCCCTAGTCACGTTCCTGGGCTCCGTGGGCTGCTTCTCTAGAATTCAACAGTTCCTGGACAAGCCCTCACGTGTTGACCCCCGGCATAAGCCCATGGACATCCCCGATGACATCATGGACAGCTCGCAGAGTTTCCCGGCCACCGAGCACAACAGCATGACAACAGAGAAGACACGTGTATCAAGCGCCCTCAGTGTTGCGAAATTGTCTTTCCCATTCAAGGATGCACCGCAGCCGCTTGCTGATGGAGACGTCGTCACGATCCAGGATGGCTCTTTTGGCTGGGATCCGGATAAACAACCGCTTCTTCGGGAAATCAGCTTGTCGATCCCCAGGGAAAAACTCACTATGATTGTTGGCCCTGTCGGATGTGGGAAGTCGACTCTCCTAAAGGCTATTCTCGGCGAAGTACCGTGCATGGGGGGACGCGTCGATGTGGCGACTCTCAACATGGCATACTGCGACCAGACCGCTTGGCATATGAACGAATCTATCCGAGACAGCATTACTGCCGTGTCGGGTTTCGATGAGCAGTGGTATACAACCGTCCTTCGCGCATGCTCGCTAGAGGAAGATCTACAACAACTTCCTCGAGGCGATCGGACCATTGTTGGAAGCAAGGGAATCGCTCTCAGTGGAGGCCAGAGTCAACGTATTGTAAGTAGCCGTATCAGTACCGATCGCCGACATGCCACTAACAGCATATGAACAGTCCCTCGCCCGGGCTGTCTATGCCCAAAAAGATGTTATCATCTTGGACGATGTCCTGAGCGGTATTGATGCATCCACCGAAAACCATATCTTCCACAATCTGTTAGGACAGAACGGTTTGCTGCGGAGAATCCACTCCACCATCATCCTCGTCTCCTCTTCCCGTAAGTATATCCATCATTTAGTACTTAGAAGAAAGCGTGTCTTAACTCCGAGATAGCTAAGCGACTCCCGTACTCCGACTACATCATCGCTCTTGACGCTGAAGGCAAGATCTGTGAGCAAGGCAGCTTCCAAACCTTGAACTCCGCTGCCGGATATGTGTCTAGCTTCTCGCTTCCTCCTCCAGACTGGACGTACAAGGCCGACCCGGATGCCCACCGTGGCGTTAAATCGATCGTTCAGGAGGATGAGCCCGACAACCTTCGCAGCAACGAGGCCCTGGAGGCTGAAGCCAACAGGAGAACTGGAGACGTAGGCATCTACCTCTACTATGTCGGATCCGTTGGCTGGTTCGCCGCTCTCATGTTCGTTGTCTTTGTCTGCGGCTTTGTGTTCTGCATTGCCTACCCGAGTAAGTCGCCTTCGCTTTGCTCAACACTTTACCATATATTTTGCTAACATGATCTATTCACAGCCATTTGGCTCAAGGAGTGGGCAAGTGCAAATATTGAAAACCCATACCAGAGACTCGGCTACTACTTAGGCATCTATGTCATGCTTGGCTTTTTGGCAATTATCTGCCTTATTGCTAGCTGCTGGTTAGTTTGTATTTTACCCTGAAGGATTCTACAGATATCCTGACAAATGAACAACAGGCAAATGATTATCACCATGGTGCCAAAGTCTGGTGAAGCTTTCCATCTGACACTGTTAAAGACTGTTTTAAGGTAACCGGTTCCCCCAGATTGCCCCGAGAGAAACAAACTGACATTGGGTTGTAGCGCACCAATGTCGTTTTTTTCCACAACGGATACAGGCGTCACCATCAATCGTTTCAGTCAAGATTTACAACTCATTGATATGGAATTGCCTGTTGCTGCACTTAACACATTTGCAGGTAAGCAATCCTTCCAATCTATGTATATTTCAGTGTATTGCTGACATCTGTCTTTCTAGTATTTGTTCTCTGTATCGCCCAGATGATCATTATTGGTGTGGCCTCTGTTTATGGTGCAATATCTTTCCCAGTTGTCCTTGTAGCTTTGTACTTCATCCAAAGGTACTATCTTAGGACCTCTCGACAGCTTCGATTTATGGATCTCGAGGCCAAGGCTCCGTTATACTCCCAGTTCTCTGAGTGCCTGAACGGTCTAGCAACAATTCGAGCTTTCGGATGGCAAAAGTTCCTTGAGGAGAAGAACCGTCGACTCCTCGACCGGTCTCAGAAGCCATTCTACCTACTCTTCTCCGTGCAGCGTTGGTTAACACTGGTGTTGGATTTGGTTGTGGCCGGCATTGCTACTATTCTAATTATCCTTGTCGTCAAGCTGCGTGGTACGATCGGCGGTGGGTTCGCTGGTGTTGCGTTGCTGAACGTCATCCAATTTAGCCAGAGCATCAAGCTGTTGATTACGTTCTGGACAACCCTTGAAACTCACATCGGTGCGATTGCGCGTATCAAGGTTTTCAATGAAACCATGGTGGCTGAAGACAAGGTTACTGAGAACAATATGCCTCCAACCAACTGGCCGGGAGAGGGTGGCATCGAATTTCAGAATGTCTCTGCTGAATATAGGTAGGCTATGCCCTATTCATGGAATGCAAGGATATAATTACTAATTTGGCGCATTATAGGCCTGGTGAACCTGTTCTTAGGAACGTATCCCTGAAAATTAACCCGGGCGAGAAAATCGGAATTTGTGGCAGAACTGGAAGGTAAGGAAAATAACCAGGGATCTTACATCCCTTGACTATTTTCTTTTAATTCCCCTTGTCTGAAGTAGCAATGCTGACCGCCCCAATAGTGGAAAGAGTTCAATGGTCCTGAGCATTTTCCGAATGATTGAGCTCAGCGGCGGTACCATCACTGTCGACGGCGTTGATCTCAGCACGATTCCTCGACAAGAGATCCGCTCTAGAATCACCGGCGTTGCACAAGACGCTTTCCTCTTGAAGGGTACCTTGCGTTTGAATGCCGACCCTACCGGCTTCCTTTCTGATGGTGCCATTATCAATGCCTTGAAGAGCGTGCATCTGTGGTCTGTTGTCGACGAAAATGGCGGTCTCGATGCTGATATCGACGATCTCCACTTGTCACACGGCCAGAGGCAATTGCTCTGCCTTGCACGTGCTATGCTGAGACCTAGCAAGATTTTGATCCTTGATGAAGCTACCAGCAAGTAAGTGGTGTTGTGACCATTAATTTATCGTGCCCTGTACGTGCGAACAAAGCTGACCACTTTGTTGCGTAGTGTCGACCGTAAGACCGACGAGATTATGCAACGCGTCATTCGGGAAAAGCTTTCTCGACACACCATCATTGCTGTTGCTCACAAGCTCGACACCATTCTAGATTTTGATAAAGTCGCCCTCCTTGATGGGGGCGTGCTCAAAGAGTTCGACGACCCTTACACCCTCTTGTCTGCTGATTCAGACTTCAGCAAACTCTATGCGAGCACGATGTCAGACCAACCCGACGAGGTGGGCATAATGGCTGACGACATGACTGTTTCGTCGGAGGCGCCTGTGTCGAGGTAAAGCCTTTCGGATAGCTCTTTTAATTTTTAATATTATCCCTTTTTATCGGCGCCTTAATTGTGGAGTGTATTTATGGATCAGTTGGAGATGAGATAACGTCGGCGCTGTATATTTGCCTGGGCTTAATCAGTACATAGACACATGTTTGATAACATTCTGGTCATCGTGCTTCTTCTGACCTGTGTCCTCCCTTGACTAGTTCACGACAAGCGCATAGACTCCTCTAGGTTGCTTAACTATTTGTTCCTGCTGATCGTTTGCCGTTCCTGCTACTGCTACATTCCCATGCCGCCCGACCCTTTGGCGATTCTCTACATGCCTGATCTACAAAGACATAGATTCCTGTGTTCTCACACCTTGTGTTTCTGCTGACCATTGTCATTCATTTTGACATTTTTGCGTTTAATTTGGCAGACTTTTGACGGGAGTTGATAATGTCTTCTGTATGTATGTAATACATATAATGGAGCTGTTTTGGAAGTCAAAAGTAGATGGGCCTTTTTGATGTTTGCCCGAGCTTGGGGGAGGGGGCCCTTCTCATGTGCCTACGCCACATGGTAGCTGAGCAATAATTCAAATGTTTTATTTCAACCTGCAGATACCATGCACCTGCGCACGTAATTCTCATTGTCTGGCAGTAAGCTGGCTGTCACAGAAACACATGCAGGTCAAGCTGGCAGCTATAGGCCGGGAAGGCAAGACAGATACACTTGGAAGCAACCTCGCGACTCGCAACTCGGGCCGAATCGGCCAACATACTCCGTGGATGCTTGTCCAAGATGGAATAAGTCCATGCATGGAATGTATGGAGATGACGCCAGAATGTCGGGGTTCGAATCAAGTAAAGATAAACTTACTAGCTCTTGAGGAGGGGAAGGGCGGAAAAAGGAAGTCGATCTCAAAGTCTCTCAGCCGGGTTCTAGAAACGCGGTCTACGAGGAGATCTCAGGTGGGAGATTCGGACGAGGTATACCATGGCGTTTGAAGATATTACAAGTGATCGACGAGCTGAGAACCAGGGACTGGGATAGGACTTGATAACCTTCGAGCGGGGCTGATTGTCAGTACGAAGTGAGCGCTGGACCACTCCGTGATTCACCCCTCCGGCCATCAGCGAAAGTCGTCCTCAAATTTCCACCAAAACAGGCTGGTGTTCTCAGCTCGGGCCCGGACCAGGCGGAACTGGACACCCGCAACCCAGGAGGGATGCATCCCAGGGTCAAGGAGTGTATCCAAGGTGGACGAAGGAGGCCCGCTGTCATGGATGGTTGGCATGTACAGTACATACCCAAAGGTTGTCACGAGTCATGGAGCTACTACGGCAGCCTGTAGCAGCCAACGCGCCAAATTTTGTAATCGGCTGGTAATTGCATAATCCTTGCTTTTGATTAAGTACTGTATCACAAAATTTTGATTCACATCCAAGATCTAACTACTAGTTAGACCGACTGTTTGGAACAAGAACAGAACAGAAGTTCCCAACAACTCTGAACTCATGCTGTGATTTCATTGTCATTCTATTTCGTATAGTTAGCTGTTACCCAATCCTGTTATCGTCAGTTGAGAAGGATCTGACCCGCGTCCCAATTAGGATTGAGAGATCCCAATCCCATCCCATTTTGGTCGAGCAACCTTATTGTTGACTGAATAATTTTTTCTACTTATACTTTTGGATATCTTGCCACACGTCCCCCAAATTGCCCGGATCATTGGGAACTATCCTACCCTTAGGATGCAGCCCTGGGAGTACAGGCACCACTGCATCCGCATCATCGATAGACACCGGAACATCTCAGGTCTTTCCATGCCCAAAACCTCCTGCTGAACTAAAGGTCCGCGACATTGGGACACTGTACCTACGAATGATTGTCAAAGAAAATAAGAGAGTCACCTATTACAATCTAAGAGCTTGTCCACGTTCATGATAGAAAGTGTTACGTGGGTAACAATCTCTGCGCATACGCAGATTGGACACGATGAAAACCTATTATGAAATACTTCTTCTGTGGGATAATCTTCTGCAGAAAATTGTCTCTGCTCTTGTTTCCATTTTGCATCTGCATCTTAATCTGTTAACTAATCTCTTTATTGCTAAAGCTAATCCAGCAAAGGGGACTCGGTTGAGACCAACCGTCCAAGAGATCTTCGATCCTTGTCAGGTTCTCAACTATGCCTTCTCTCTGCTACTGATAAAACTGGAGGCATATTCTTTGTCGAAGCATCAACTCTCCTTTGTCCCCAACACCTTGAAGATTGGCTGGGATAGACCAGCATTACTAGGGGAATTTTCTCATATGTCTTGTTCATCATTCAGAGACATATAAACGGTCGAACATCTCCAGCTGCGAGTCACACATGTTTAACTTGATGGACCTTTCTGCAGTGGTCAATACGTCAAAGCCAAACAAACTTGCTGCCACTTTCCGCCAGTATGGGTAACTAGAAAGCTGGCAGTTTGATTCGCCCTCTGGGTATATAAAATCCCTAGTTGAGCAATTCAGGCCTAATAACACGCTCCCTCCAGGCATCAATGAAGAGGAAATATTGTCCATCAGCATAGGTCCCCATCAGTGGTACAGGCTGGAAGCTGAACTTGACCCAGGGGAAGCAGAAAGGTAAGTTATCTTCAGCACACTTGTTAGATTTTGCTTGATAACAGATAAGATGCTTAGCTTCTCGAAGTTCTTTTATGACCCATCTACGTCGCAGTTGAGTGGGGAGGATGGTATCTTCACTTCATAGACTTGTAGTTGAGACATTCTACAATTGATTGAATGATGGCATTTGTCATACCGGCTTAGAGACCACGATACGGACCAATGGGCGATTTCGACTGTATAGGGGGTGGTCATCCTGCCTAATACAAAATTCCTGATCTAGCCCTTATCCTTGAGGTTGTTTTGGCTGGAACATATGACCATCTTGTCAAGAGTGCGAGGCTCTGGCTGAGGGAAGACAGGATGTACAAAGAGTACTCCTTGTGGAACTTACAGACGGTTCCAAATACCATTGTCCCATTGAGAATGCTCCAGCTGCGGTGCTAGAATCTCTTGCCCTTCCAACAAGGGGACCGGGATCTAGAAGGCGCATTCCACTTTGAGAGTCAACTTGGTCCTCTTAAGCTGGGTGACACCCAATGGGTCGGGATATTACACATGTTCCTTGAAGTATGGAAGCGCAATGCGCAAACTAGGGGGATGAAGAAACGTTGATTCAGGGTTGTAGGTTTTCATCGTTTCTCCATCATTCTGACCTTATGTTAATTATAGCATTGATTGAACACACGCCACCCCCACTCGCGCTCCAATTAAGTGACCTTCTCGAAGTCGAGTCGCATGACGATAGGGACATCGTGCTGGACTGGGAGACTTTTCACCGGAAACTGAAGAGGGACTTACTCCGGATGGCGGTCTGGAGATCTGAGGAGATGCCAAACAGGTATATATATATATATATATATATATAGAGAGAGAGAGAGAGAATGAATGTCTTTGATGGGTCAAAACAATTGTAATTCTTAATTATTGAATAATTCGTGTTTTTAGGCGCCAAGCATAGGGCGGGAGAGCTGTTTTAATATGAATTCATGCAAAATGTCAGACCAGCTGTCGTCAATGACGAAGATGCGATTTTTGAAAACTCTTCCAATCCGCATTCAAACATGGACTCCAGTTACTACCCTGCTAGTTAATTGTTTAGTTACTCAAACTAATAGAGCACTTTAACATAAAGCTGATCAAAAAGTAGCCAAGGAGGTGGTGGAGGTGTGCAGAGGCCTGTAACTGAACCTGGGCTTGATAATTTCCTTCCATATGATGTGGGATGGAAATTCTTCTCTTTTTCTTTTTATTCCCCTTTTTTTTATTTTTCATTTTTATTTTTAATTTTTTTTGCTTGCCGGGAAGACCAAAGATGAGGAATTTATATCGCTTGCAAAGGCCTACTCCCCTTGATGATTGAACCTAGTTTTAATCAAGAGATCTTGCAATCAATGCCCCGCAGTATCCAATGCTTGACGGCTACCATCTGCATAAGTTGATGCCAATTCATGATTAGAAGATATGCAACGTGATGGTCGTCCAAGCACTTCCTCATTGCGCGAATGTGTGGACTTCCTCTGGCAGCATTGACCACTCCACACAATTACCCAGTGTCAACATTCCTCCATGGTTTTGCTAAAGTCTGTATCGCATCCATCTATGCTAGTGAGGATGGGTGAGGACATGGAAAGGAAGGGGTAAGGACAGAGCGGTGATCATCTTGCACTAACTTGGAACAGGCACACATCCAGATTCCCTGCTCACTACTCTGTACCTATGTACAGAGGATATAAGTAACTAATACTCGACTATACATACATGATTCAGAATAAAATAAATATATTAAAATACATTACTGCGGCGCTTGGGCCTCCGTCTATCCCAAGAAGGCGATAGACAAAGACAGGTTTTTGCGCAAGCAAGGGTCCCCGCAAAAAGAAGGCAGAAGTATGGCTTGGGGGCGGCCGCCGAACACGAGGCCGCGAGATGGCGCGGCGCACCAAGCTTGTGGTGTCCAAGTGCGTGGGCAACCACGTTTCCAGGCCCCCATTTAGTAGGAATTGACAGATCTTTGCCCCGTTCGGCGCTAGACGAGTAGAAATAAGACCCTTGGATCTGGCGTCATAGACAAGCGAAGATCCCGCCTGGAGCCATCGACCCAGGTCCCTGCGCAGCTTTTCAAGGGCTTTTTCAAGGAATAGCTTATTTCTGCGTCAGTACCCGAACGAGCCGCCAGCCTTTCGCCAACCGACGGACGCAACTTTGTCAATCTGGGCTGCGGGAGTCCTTCGTTTAACAAACCTTGGAAGCGCCCGGTACACTTTGTGTTTGTGTATGAGGGAGTCCTGGGCATGTAGCCATCATCGGCGTCCCGTCGCCGACACTGGACGGCTCTCTGCGGCTGACCGGTTAAGGGGAGCTGCGGTATTCCGGGCCATCCGGGAGAACATTCCACAAGAGTTCCAACGACGCAGGCCGCGTTAGTCCATACATACTCGAGGGCCAATGGACTTTCCAAACGCAAGGATGGAACTGCCATTTGGACCGAATCAAGGCGGGAATCTCTCACCGTTCGTGCAAAACAGACCAAAGGCCAAGAGCTATTGGCACTCCTTGATTATAAATGCAATGCTTGTGGACGCGTGAGGCCTTGTTGCGCTTTGGCAGAAAGAAGGGGATATTGGCAGCGATCCGTGAAGGCTCGACGCGGGCGGCCGCAAAAAAGAACGAACACGACGGAAAAGCGAAAGCGGGGGGGATGGCGCCAAGAAATTGAGTGGGCGGGCAGCCAGCCAATCAGGAACGGCGGCACGTTTATCCGCGGTCTATATCACGTGATAATCAGGGCCAGATTGTCAATATTGGCCAATCAGGAGCCTACAATGCTCGGGAATATCCAACCGGCTGTCCAATCAGGATATTTCCCTTTGCATTTGAGTTGGGTTGCCCCTTCCCTTTTAATTAACCTAATTCTAGAATCCTTGGCGAAACACGGAAAGGGGAAGGAACGCTGACCACGCTAGGCCCACGTGTCGCTACTGACTAAGGCAAAATGGCGTGTTTGATTTTGTGGCCCGCTAATCGCGGTTTTCCCAAGTACAATTGGATAGAGGGCGCTAAAAACCATCACCACGATGGCTTAGCGTCAGTGGAATGGGTTGATGTTACGGATACGTGGTCGACCTCAATCCCTTTTTTTTTTTTTTTTTTTTGTGGTCTCGTCACTCGCTCTTATCGAGCTGCCGACCGGGATGACAGCGCAATCCTCTGCTCTCGGGCGCAGCTCACTCTGGATTTGGTCGAAATCCTTCTAAAGGCGGGCTCTTTTGGATCCAGTGCCATGCGATTCTCCCAAACATGGTTCGGTTTCCCGCCAGCCACGTCCCCGACTTCCTCCGTGCACAAGTTACATAATTCCTCAGCGCCCAGAGGAGACAATAAGATGAGGCCCAAGCCTTAGTATCAACAAGGCTGTGAGGGCACAGGAATTCGGTGCTGACGATGAGCTGTTAACTAGTTAACCTCGTGTTGGGCTCTAAACCGTTTCTCTGCCGCCTTCGAGAACCGTCGACTTGAAACTCTGCAGATCGGCACTAAACTAAATCTCAACGACGCCAAAACATCTCTCCCTCCCTTCGCTTTTCTCCATCGCTTTCAACTTGGAGGAGGGCCTCTTTTCATTTCATTTCTTTTTCTTTTTTTTTCTCCCCCCTCCCTTTCCCACCCCAGCTATCTCGGCCGAATATTAGCTATATGAATACATTGGGAATTCACTGCTGCCAGCATGGAGACAATGGCATTGCTCCTTACTGCCCACTGAATACGACCTCGAAGTCCTCCGTCCCTTCTTTGGCCCGATCCACCTGCGAGGCGAGCAGGAATATTCCCCGACGTTACTTATTTAATTCAGAGAGTTCGGCGTTACCGTGACCAGTCATGTCCCCAGGAGGCTCGACCGCCACTGCAGCCCCTCCTCCAGCCCTAAAGAGCCGAAGGTCAGCAAAGCAAGGTGACGGATTGGCTCCCGCACCCCGGAAACGACGTAGACGAGCTGTAGGGAGCGGTGCTGCTGATGATTGTTTTACCTGTGCGGACCGCCAAGTCAGCTGTGACCGGCGACGACCATATTGCACTCAGTGTTTGGATCTGGGGAGGCGGTGTTCGGGATACAAGACAACGTTGACATGGGGTGTGGGTGTTGCGAGTCGTGGGAAGCTTAGAGGTTTGTCGTTGCCGATATCCGGCTCTCAGAAAGTTACTGCACCCGTGTCCCAAACTGCAACAAGGAAACAAGCACCGAGAAGTGTTCCGCACGCGAAAGATAGAAATGACGTGACAGGCCTTACACAGGCTCGAGATGAGTTCAACGGATTCATATCCTCGTCCGTTCCATTGACTCCAACAAGTTCGCTTTCAAGTCCAGCGAGCTGGGTATCGACGGTCGCGGCGCCAGACGTCCCCATCACATCGCAAACGAGCCAATCACCTGTTAATATAGCTTCTTTTCAACAGTCTTCATATACCCCTTCTGAGAACCATACAGAATATACTCCCAGCCAATCTGTGTATTCCAACGCTGGGCTGGGGACTACATCTATCGCATCTTTTGACAATACCCAATTCCATCCGACAGCCTGGACGCACCTGGCGACTTCGCATCCGCACGTGACGCCCCAATCTCCGCCTGTGTCTGACCAGCCTGTGCCCTTGCATGCAAATATTTCGAGAAAACGTGTAATTTGCAACTACTCACGGCCAGCTGAAGATGAAATCAGCCCAACCTCCTCATCCCCACCGGAAGCACACACGTCAACCCCCGGTGATAACTATGAATCGGTGTCCTCGCAAAGCTATCCTATCCATCAGCCATTCTGGAACCAAATGGTTGGTCAGACCCCACGAATGCGGTATCTCATCGGCTATTACATGGAAGTGATCGCTCCTGTGATCGTGGCATTCGATACCCCAACAAGCCCGTTCCGGTTATACATGATAGAATTAGCTAAAACTAGCGACACCCTACAGCACGCGATTGCTACTCTGTCGCTCAGTAATTTAAGGCAGAGAAGGAAAAACTGGGGACTGTCCACAGGCAAAACCTTGCCTTCTCGCAGGTCATGCCAGGCACACTGTCGATTGACAGACAGGTCGATGACCGAAGGCTTTGGGCTTCTTAGCCCAGATGAGCAGATGAAAGAGGAAACGCTCCATAAGGCAATTGTGATCAATTCAGTGAATGCTCAGTTGGCTGACCCTATCGCCAGACGTTCCGATGCCTTGCTGGCGACGTTGCTGGTTCTCAGCATATTTCACATGTGTGACACCGGATTTGCATCTTTCAAAAGCCAATTTGCGGGTGTGAGAAAGCTCTTTGCTCTTCGCAAAAATAGCAGAAATTCCAACTTGGAGGCAACAAAGTGGTTCATGAGAATGTTCACTTGGTTTGACACAATGACTGCTGCCGTCAATGATCGGGACAGCCAGCTGGGTGCCGAGTTTCTTGACCTTGTAACCCAAACCGGCGATGAATGGGCGCTGGAAAACCTAGCGGGCTGCGAGTCGCGATTATTTCGGATGGTTGCCCAGCTCAGTCGGCTGAACCAACTCAGTCAAATGAAACCAGTTGAGCCGAATGAATTTGTGGAGAAACCGGTTGCAACAGTTACCCCTCCTCCGTCTATGCTTCACTATCCCACTTTCTCATCCCCTATTTATTCGCGTGAAGGGTTTGTTCCTTTCCCCAGCGACATGCCGTTCAATGCGTATCAAGTTTCCGATCCACGTACTGAATTCTGGCAAGAATGGCGTGCAATGCGGCAAAGGTTGGAGTCGTGGCGGATGGATCCCGCGTCTACAACGGCACCAAGACCTACTACACCTTCGCACACACCTACTTCTTCTGCTCATTTCCTATCCTCTTCCGGCTTTACCTCCGCTACACCTCCTGCGACGTCAACTCTCGCCCATGTACCCCAGGCAAATCTCCCCGATGTTTCCAATATATCTGAATCTTTCCGATATGCAGGTCTTTTGTATCTCGAGCGTCTTGCGAATCCAAATATCCCTTCTACTCACGCACGAATTCAGAACTTAGTGTATGGCGCTTTGCATTATATCACCGCTGTTCAGTCGGACGTATTTCTCCTCTGGCCTCTATTCATTACAGGGGCAGAATGCGTTTTCGAAGCGGATAGGCAGATCATTCGTCAGAGATGTTGTGATATACAGAAGGATTCAGGGTTTGTGAATAATCTCTCTTGTTTGCAACTCCTCGAGAAGATCTGGGCGAGCGACTCTAAACAAGGTTCTTCCCAACCATTCCCAGATGTCACTAACAGCCCCTCCGACTTGCGGACAGCTACAAAGGCGGAGCATCCGGGGACTTCTGCGGGCCCAATGGGCCCACCGTGTGCGACACGAGAACTTGTTGGTGGAGAAGGCTTCAAGTGGAGACGGATTATTGATTCGGAGAAAATGACTCAGGAGTACATTGTTGTTTGACGCGAGATGGAGTACCTGTCTGTTCGAATATACCCTTTCTCGGTGTGTTTCGGGGTTTTACATTTCCTTAAGTCTCAAATCTTCCCCTTGTGTACATACATTCGAGTGTTTGCGGCAATGCCCTAATCTCGTGATCAGGGTATAGATTATCAGTTCAGTCTCTAACTGTTTAAATTTCTCAGCCATGCTGTTTCACTACTTTCACGCCAGCTTTTCCTTCTCCTTTGCCATCTTCAAGCTATTACCCCTCTCGAAGTCAATATTGCTTGCGTCGTCCTCTCAAAGCTCCATGAACATCTACCCAGGCAAACAACCCGACTCCATTTAAGAGTCCTCATCTGCAAACGAGACAACACTTGAATATGATGTTTCCATGACAAGTCCACCAAACTACTTAGCCAATTTTCTATGCATATAGTTAGAGGTAGCAAACGAATTGTATGTATCTACATACATACATCCGTCCACAAGAACTGCCAGCCGGGAGGCCATGGTTCCCAAGCTCTCTGCGTGCTGCTTTCCACTTCCCTTGCACCCGTGGTGGGAATTAAATGCTCGCCTTAACGCTTCGCTTATCCGCCTTTCTCCCTTTCTCCTTTTTTCTTCCTTTTTTTTTTTTTTTTTTTTTTTTTTTTTTTTTTTTTTTTTTTTTGGTTTCTATGTTTTGTTGTAGACAATATTCGTCGGTCTCCTTCAGCGGTCCTGATAAACTAGTTAGTTAACTGCTAACTAGATACCGCGTCACTTGTTCTAAGAGCGATCAGCAGCTCTCAGAATTCAGGCCGCCACGACGCCCAGCAGGGAAATTTGACGTCGCTCGATCGAGGCGCCAGCCAGTGAATACGCTCCTTTCTCCGAGCGGAAATAGGTGGGGACGTTCAGGGGCACTTTGGATTCGAATTTACATCAGATAGACGACCTCGCTGGATCGTTCAGCCATGGTAGGTTCCTTCTCCTCGCCTTACTGGGCTCGTACATTTCGGGGGAGAACGTACAAATATACAGCGGAGGAGACGAGGAAGCTTGTTGCTCAAAGATTGATCGAGGTATGGATCTCTTTGACACACTTCCAAGATGGTCTGGTGTCTTCAAGTATACCAGGACGGCTTCTTTCATAGCACAGAGTTAGGACACCAAAATTCTCGCTTGTTTCGATAGATTTATCTTTCAGCTATGCGAGGCGAATGGGGGAGATCACGAGCAGGATGTGCCATGGGAGCTCAAAGAGGACTCGAAGCTCTCTAGAGGTCAAATAGAAGCCTTTAAATCGGACCTGATGAAAGATCTAGACAGGTTTGCACCGGCATTCATCGAGGGGAAGGTTGCTCCCTCTGCAAGTGTAGAGGAAAGGTTCAAATGTCTTCAACTCAAACTAAAAATCAGATGGAGCGCCTGGCGCGCGTCTGAGTATGGCAAGTTGATGTTGTCCAGGCGCTGTTGTTATTGATATGCTGATTTCTAAGCAGAAAAGAATGAATTTATGAAGCTTCGCTTGAAACTTTGACGAAGTGCAAGCCTCACGAAATTGAGGCTTTCTTTGTCCCCATCTCAGAGTAGTGTTCCGTCCCTAGAGCGGGTTTGTTCAACAAGTATTTTGAAGAACCTTCGAGCTGCTATTGAAGGGAAGAGAGATCTAGCCCTATTTTCCTGTGGCGGCAACATCACTATAGTTCGCCGAAGCACATTGACAGCTCCACCAGACGCCTCGAGACCGCGAGAGTCTCCTCCAGTGGATATTTACTGGCGTTCGACAGTGGGTGCTGTCACATCAGCCGTCACTCTTCCGCTGGAGGGTGGCCCTCTGGAACCGCTGGTCAGAGACTGCTTTCCAGCCACTTTTAGCAGAGGTTCTCAAGACATCCTGGAGCCAAGCTATAGATCCGCAGGAAACTCGACTCAGATTGCTTTGCGACGAGCTTCCACCCGGCCAATTTTGGAATCCTAGACGCAATCGAGCAGATATTGCTTCCAGGTGTTATCTCGCCCAAAGACAACGAAAGAGAGTTTCGGCGAGTCAGGGCAGAGTTGTGTAAATTGAATGTAAGCCGACAGAACGGTCCTGGTTCGGCTGTGAATATTGATCTGGATACCTAGGTTTATTCTGGTCCAGCTGGGGTTTTCAAGAACTACGTCGATTCTTCCCGCTCTCCAAGCCAATTTGGCTCTCTGGTCGTGTGCCTCCCATCAGAGCATAAAGGAGGGAACCTGGTGGTCCGTCACAATAGAAAAGATATTAATTTCGAATGGGCCCATTCCAGTGTGACCCACGTTCAATGGGCAGCGTTCTACAGCGATTGTGAGCATGAGATCAAACAGGTCACCGAGGGGCATAGGGTGACTCTTACCTATAACTTATATGTCACCGAACCTGTAGGATCCAGCCTACCCCCGCGCCCATTGATAGATCCTAGCAGCTCTACATTGTACGCCGAGATCAAAACAATAGTATCTCAGCCTGCCTTCTTTCCCCGTGGTGAGCTCCAATTGTATCTCATTCCTCCTAGTTTCATCTTCTGACCAGCAAGTAGGTGGAGTCCTGGGTCTTTTCTGCTCCCATTCCTACTCACATTCAAATGATGTCGCAGAGTGGAGCTTCCCACGGAAGCTCAAAGGATCAGATATGGCATTATTTGCTACTTTTCAATCACTGGGCCTAAAAGTCAAAGCGGTACATTCATGAATAGACCTTGAATGAATGCTAGCCCTGTGATTCCATTTCCGGAATTACGTGGGTCATGCCGCCCAAATTTGCTAAACTCGCGCTGGGACATATGGCCTACGGTGATGTAACGAGATATTCAAGCGCTGCTATACTGGTGATACTTCCTTCGTGGGGAGATAGGAATATGGAAGTTGAATAAATGATTCCCAATGCGAAAAGAAACTTAGCTAGGACGCAAAAGGGGGAACGTCCTCAGGTAGTGGGTGGATGGATCTCCAAATGCATAATGCACACTCCAGCCTGGTAACTTTAATGGTGACATTTATCTTCTGAGTACTCCGTACTTGATGTATAAATGGGTCTAGCGCTTGCAATACCTAAGCTCGGTTCAATTGCTGAGCGTTTTAAGACACATTCCTATTATCAAAAGTTCGGCATTGATTGTGTGTTCATCTTTTAACTATTCATACATCAAGGCTGACAGTCACTTTATCAGATTTGCGATGGCGCACATTACATCAGAGCAACCACTCATGATGGAATTTACATTACTATAAAACCCGGGTGCATATGGTAAGAGATAGATTTTTTGTTCACGGCTTCCAATATCAAGGGTGATTCAATAGAAAGGTGAGCTATAATTTCATAACCAAAACCATGCAAGTTTAGTTTTATATTGTGTTCGGAGTACAATCAACTGTGTTGCCGCCGTCTCTACTAAACAACCCAATTTATGAGCAATGGCCGCTTGATATTTACCTCTTAATTTGTCAAGAAGCATGGACTTGGTATGAGTGCGCGTCCTCTCATCTAACGTAAGGTGTCGTAAGACCTCCAGAATCAGAGAATGCACCAAGACTATCACATCACTGACATAGCCCAAAGCTAAGATTAGCCACTTTTTAGCACTGCCCTTTCATCGTGATGAATAGGAGAGTGCGGCCGCTCAAACCCGCGGGACTCCGTATGAACCTTTTTCAGCCACACAAGCATTCCGCAGGTATGCGACCAAGGCACAGAGATATTCCTCGTAGAGAAGGTCAGCAATATCAGGGTGATCTTTAATGACTCTCACATTAATTCCTCCCGGTGCCCTAGGGCCTGACCCTTCCACAGAAGGAGCTTTATCAATGCGATTCTCCTCAGACTTATCTCTATTGTGTATATTGCGATAATCGATATCGAAGCAGGAGACATGTCCCGCTATGGCCATCGTACGGGCAAATATTTTTTCTGCAAGCAATCGCCTCAGTGGCGATCCGAAGACTCCGATGCCTGTCAAAGATGTTACCATGGCTGTACTCCAAACGTACAGCGAGCGAGACGATGTGTTGCGACGAAAGGGCAGCTTTGGTCAAGGAGTGGCTCTGCTCCGCTGGTGTCTGCGTTCGCACCCAGACTTTCAATGGCTTTCCTTGCCTCTTTCATTGTCTGTCTCATCTCGCTTTTGATCTTTTTGTGACCTTGGTACTAATTGCCGCATGTCTTGTCTCGACTCGAGGGAATTCATACCTTTAGAAAATTCTTGACGTATATGATACGCCGTTCTCTCCTGGAGCCGTGGTCGCAGTGAGTCAATTCCCTTCTTGTCTTTACTTAAATCGTTCCACAGGTGTTCATGTTTAAAGAAATCTGCTTCGATGTCTCCATGGTTCCAAAACTGGTGTTACAAATTGTGCCTGGCTAAGAATCCGGAGAATGCGTCACCCAAGCCACAACTGGTGGATTCTTCCCACGTCCAATTTTGCTCATTTATCGACCAGGTCAGGCCCCGTCAACTCTTCCAGAGTTCTGTTCCCATCTGGATTGAACTCCCCTGCCCATTCAAACACATCCTGCGTGGCAATATCCACCTTGGTGTGTATTGTTGCGGGAATGGCGGATATTGGGTTTCCATGTATCCGCGCGCCATGCAGTTGACCGTGGACTTATCTACCTTGGTGGAGACTCCGGCCGTCGTTCTTCTAGAGATATTCGGGAGGTCAGTGACGCTAAAATGCTCTTGGTTTGGCCCGTAGACTTCGATGCGGATGTCCTCCGAGAATGGTTTTTTACCTGTGTCGCCGACATCGCCAATACCCATAGCGTTTTCGACTGGGTTTAATTCCTTAATGGAAGCTAGAATGGGTCGGAAACTAGCCTCCATCATATGCTTTCCAAATAAGCAGCATCCAAAACCTGGAGCTGGGTCCTCAACGATTCTGAAACACGTGCTCTGTGATCTTTGGCGCTCTGCTTGCCTGCGATGATGGAAGCGGTGAGCTTTGTCGCCGGCGGGCGACGCAAGATAATTTGAGTGGCAAATCGCGTACAGAGACCGTTCTCTCGAAGGCGAGGTTGCCTTGTTAGACCCTCGAGAACGGGGCTCTCTGCGCTGGACTGATCGCCCACAACGACCAGCTGTGGGTGGTCCGGTATATTCCCTAACATTACAAGCGAAAGGGCTGTCGATTTTCAGTAATTATGAATGGGAGGAGAAGCTGTGCTGAACTGCGGGCACAGGTGAATGAAAAGAGCCTTCAAAATCTGAAAGTTTCTGGCCGTACAAAACGATATGTTTCAACATATGTTGCACGCCTCACAACGAGACTGGAATCTTCCATGTTCTGCTTTCCTGGTATTGCTGCAAGAAATTTCCAATAGCACGCTTTTTGTATGTGCTAGGTTTATCCTGAGGAGACCTCTTTCATGCAGGTGGCAGCGAACAGAGGGCAATCTGTTGTGATGTGAGCTTTGTCAATGTTCCAAGTTGGCTTTTCTAGCAATCAGGTGTCACTAGCAGCTGGCTGATGAATGACTCATTTGATGCTGGTGCCATTCCTCTTTTCTCTTTTAAGAAATCTCTCTCAGGCTGCGCATAATCCAAATCAGGACATAATTGCACAGGGCTGAAGGAAGCTGAGGATGAAACCAATTTTGCAGGGGGGTTACGGCAGAGGCTCATAATCACTGCAAGAACAAAGTGAGTCACTCGAAAAGACCAGCTTGAAACAACTATCTTTCATTTTCCACCTGAAGATATGGAATTACTCGGAGAGGCTGAGTGGGAAATCGTCTCAAAAGTGGTCATTTTTCAATCCGGTCATCGACACATCTTCAGAAAGTTCGCTCTCTCGCGTGTCGGGCTCGGAAATGAGCTGGCTCTTTGGGCAATCAGAGAGTACAGCGTTCAACGAGCCTGCAACTCCGCACTTCCGTGTTCCGTAGTTACTCTGGCTGGTTCGGAACCGGTGGCTTGCAGACAAAAAAAATTTGACGATCAAGAAAAGAACTAGCCAAAGAGTTCAAATGGAACAAGTCGCCTCTGTCCTTGGTGACACAGAAGAAGAAAAAAGTTAAAAAAAAAAAAAAAAAAGAGAAGAAGTGGAAGAAGAAAAAACGAACCAAAACATCCCCGAGATGATCAATCACCGACCGTGGATCCGTGCACATTCCCGGTTTTGTGCAGTGGAAAGTTCGATGGTACTTCTTCTTCCAAGGCGCAGATGGGCAACACGCCCAGAAAACGGGGGAAAGTGCGGGGAAAGCGGGCGGGAGAAGCGCAGGGCGAGCGGGATGATGTCTTCATGCAGCAGACGCAAGACAGATAACTCACTCCGGCGGAAGTTTTCAAAAAATTTAAAAAAAAAAAAAAAAAAAAAAAAAAAGGAGGGGAAAAACTCTGTTGACTCGCAGGACCTAAAGAGATTAAGTCAGTCCTCCGTGCAATCTTCTTAAGAGGAATGCAATATATTTCAGTTCATGCAAAGGTTGCTAAAAATTCATGCGACGGGATAAAACATGAATTAAAAATAGCAATTTTTTGGGCCATGGGGCCAGCACAGAGATTATGGTACCACGAAATAAGTCGCTGGAAGGTTGGCTCGATTGAAAGAAACTCTGCGTCCGTTGCGGCCGTGTGCAGAACATACATCATACATTGCAGCTTCAAGAAATACATAAGGAGGACAGACATGAGGAGTTAGATGTATGCAACAAAACAGCCTGATTGCACGCGTCTTGCCGGCCAATTGCGCGCCCTGGCTGCACATCATCCGACAAGATTCCTGTTTCCCTGGTCCGTTTGCATCCACTTGCCGTGCTCGATCCACCGCATAAACGATGGGAAACGCTCTGGGAGGAAGTTAATCTCGTGTCTGTACCAAGGCTGGGCGCGGCTATGAGGATCCCTGTCCCGGGCGGATTGGTCGGAAGGGAAAAGGGTGCATACAGGACACATGAAGGGTGCAGCACGCCACCCTGATGATATTTGGTGGGGGGGAGAGCTGAGAACCGAGTGCTACATACTCCGCGCTCCGTACGAGATAATATACGGGGACTCTTTGTTGAGACTAGCCAGTCTGCGTGCGGGATGGGCTGGGTGCAGCGTGATAGGACAAGTCCATCTGTCGTATTGACGACCTCATGGCCTGTCCTTCTTCAATCTCTCGGAGCGTCATTCCAACGCTTTGAAACCGCTCTGGTCAATGAGAACGGGGGGAGTCATACCAAAAGAGATGAGAAACGCGCACGAGGACTCTTGAATTCAAGGCAGCCGTGAAAATGGCGGCAAATGTATTACGTGGCTGAGCCAGTAGCTCGCTTAGCCAGTGGAAGGATTCTTGACTGTGGATTGCGATGAAATTTCCGTCGAAAAAGGGCAATCAAAATTCATTTCGCAGCAGGCGGCCGCTAGTGAATCAAGCAGTGAAAATTTTTTTCTTTCCCTCGTCTGCCTAGATCCTGGTCCGAGCGGAAGGACACAGTCATAACTAAATTATCCAGAGAGCTCACTCACTCACGAACCTCGCCAGAAAGGCGCTGGAGCCTCGCTAGTCGACGGCCGTGCCTCTTCTTTTTGCCCTTGAAAGGATCGTTTCAGCTTGTTGCGACTCCCGTAGATGTGCCAGGATTGCGAATTGTTAATGGTTGATAGTTTATTTTTTAAGTTTTAGGTATCTTATATATATTTTTTGGTATTTTATATGCTTTTTTTTCTTTTACTGCCTTTTTCCGTCCGACAGAAGAAGAGACTCTGTGTAATCGGCAGTCCCGTCAGCCCAGCGTGTCTGTAGCAGAAGATGGCGGTGGTGGTGGGAATGACGGGCGAAAAAAGCGCAGCAACCACACCCAAACCAGCGCCGGGTTGCAGGGGACGCTGATAGGGCCGCCTGTAAGACGGCGTACAGTACGTTTGTTACCGCTCTGCCGGCTCCACCTAGGACACCCCTGCGGCCAATCGCAAGTCTCTAATGGGCCCCAGCCAGCCGCTATGCCCCGCCTGCCCTGTGGCGCCCGCCGTCACGTCCGCGTAATTCTGGTGGATGCGACCTGGCCTTCTCTCGGCGGGCCCCCCCTCCAGCACGGGTAGAAAAGCACACGCACCATGTCCCAACGCCCACGCCCACACTCGCACAAACACTTTCAATCTCAATTTTCCCTCTTCCGTCTCGCTCTTCTTCTTCTTCTTCTTCCTCTTCTTCTTCTCTTCTTCCCCCAAACCTGCCTGGGTTTATTCCCTCAAACCATCAAATACTTTGCCTCCAGTCAAATCGTCTCTCGGACGGCCTTCGTCCCCTGGATACCAACCGTCCATTGATCCACGGTTTCTTCCCGAGACTCTAATATCTTTTTCTCCACGCTCGAACCCTGAAGCAGGGTCTGCAACTCAACTCCAGGCTACCGCTCGCTTTGTTGGATCGACTCCCCGTTCTCGATCCAACCATCAAAAAAGGTCCATTTTCGCTCTGCTGGGAGACGTCGGATCCAAAAAGCTCAAATGCACCGCGCCCAAGATCAGTGCTATCGCTTCCTCTTGCCTCCAATACACACCTCCCCCCGGTGACCGACACGCATATCATACTACGTCGCATTCTGCCCTTCTTCCTTTTTTTTTTTTTTTTTTTTTTTTTTTTTTTGCCTGCACGGTTTGTGTCGTTTTGCAAAGTGATATCCCTGTACAATATATACTCTGCTCTGTTTTGGGCTTCTCGCTAGTTCGTCCCTTTTTTTTTTCTCCGCTCTGGGGCTGGAGTTTTTTTCGTCGTTTCTTTTTTCACGTGGCTATTCCCTGTCGACAGCGGAGTTCAGTGGGATTCTCGAGGCGCCGGCTGCATTCTTATTTTCCCTGAACCAAAAATTATCGTTTGAATCCGTCAGCGTTCGTTCGATCAGTACACCCTCCATGCCCGATCTTCGATAATGTATCACTACTCCAGTCCACCGCCCGGGTGGTCTGCCGCCTACGACTACCTCCATTCTCCCTCTGCCCCGCACTATACCTATTACAATGCTCCCTACTCGTCACCGCACGCCTCCCCTCGCTCCGCCAAACGACACGCCTATCGAGCCAGCTATTCTGGGACCAAAGACGGTGGGCCGTACTACTCAACTTCTGGCGGACAGTACCCGTGGCACGGTTACTATGAGAGCGTGCCTGAATACGCCGCCACCCCGCGCAAGCAGCCCGAGCATGTAAGTGGTGCTTTTGGTGATGAAAGCCGGCCCAGGTCCCATGGCTGGCAGAGGCCGCGCCGTCCTTCCATGCCTGGCAAGAGTCACTACAATCACTTCTTCACCCCCCGGTCCCACAGACAGTCCGTCTTCTTTGATGACGATCGGTCTGACTCCGACCTTGATGTATACGAACACACTCCCCTCGGGGCCGGTGCTCGTTTCTATGAAACCCGAACATCGCGCCATGATGGCCACGGCCGCTCCAAATATGAATCTCGTCGCAGGCACCCCACTGATGCTTATTTTGATTATGATCAGGTTCCCCCCTCTGTATACGAAGAGGCAGATTCTCCAAAACGCTCCCGTGCCCGTCGCGCTTCCGCTTCGGCCCGCACGCCGCAGAAGCCACCAAAGCCAACCACCACAACAAACCTCAAGACGCCGCCAAAAGCTACGGAGGAAGATGCAATCCGCGCCGGAATACCCGCCGGCTTCTCGATCAAGAACTGGGACCCCACCGAAGCCCCCATTCTCCTCCTCGGTAGCGTTTTCGACGCGAACTCGCTCGGGAAGTGGATCTACGACTGGACCATTTTCCACTACGGTGCGACGGCCCCAATGTCGGATGTCGCCGGCGATCTGTGGTTGCTGCTTATCAAACTCGCGGGCAAAGTGAAGAGAGCGGATGAATGCGCCCCGTTGATTCGTTGCAGAGAGACGAGGGAGATGGTCGAGGACTTCTTGGAGAGCGGGGAGCGGTTGTGGTGTCGCTTCAAGAAGCTGCTCAAGGCATGCGAATACTTCATGTGGAAAGCCGCCAAGCGAGAAAGCGGAAAGAATTCTGTCACCATGGGTCGAAACGCCGGATGCGAATTCGTCGACTCTATCTTCGGCCGGGATCGGGAACTAGAAAATACGGAGAAGTTGATGAACAGTATCCGGTTGTGGAATATGCGGTTTGACGCAAACTGTGAAGAGATTCTCCGACGGCCCACGGAGGTATGAAATTAACTTGCTCCTCCTTGTTCTAATTAAAAAAGAAAAGGGGAAAAAAGATTCTAGAAAGAGACGGATCCAGCAACATGATCCTAATCGCACAACATTTCCCCCTTGTCCGTTCGAGGTGACAAGCAAATTCGGCATATTTTTTTTGTCCTAATTATTGCCACAAATTACGGTGGGAAGTAACATCCGGAGCATTTATTCTATTTTTATATTCGAACGCAACCAGGCGCTCTGCTTTTTCGACTTCGTTCCGAGATTTACATATAAACTATTCGCCGTCGCCGGCAACCCATATTCTATCCACTCCACGTTTACCGTATACCCCGTCTTGACTCAACGTTGGGACTCGTCCAAAGGCCTTGTGTTATTCTCTCGGCGCTCAGGAAATGCATTTGGGGGTCTTCTCGTCTGCATTGAATCGTACCCAGTTCGAAAGTATTGTCTAACTGCTACCTCATTCCTCGGCGCGATGCATTCTTATTATTCGGCCATTGAGTTTGTTTCGTCCGTTGTGTCTGAGAGATTTTTCTTTTTTTTTTTTGTTTTTTTGTTGCTCATACCCAAGAGGTGGTCTCTAGTTTTTCCAATTTGTCTCTACTCTACTGTTTCCTTTGTTATTCCCTTTGTTCGGTTTTCCTATTTATTTAATTTTTTCTTTTTTTTCGCTTTTAATTTAATGATACCACTTTGTTTTTTGTGCGTTTCTTTTGTGTTTCTGTCTCTGATCTACTTTACACTCCTTGACTTCATGACGCTCCCTACCTATACCAGTTACTCAATGTATATAAGCGTACACTCACGCAATACTATTTAAAATCTATTTCTTTCAGCCTCCATACTTTCCGATAGCCAGACACTCAGTACTCATGTACTACATGACCAGAGTTCCTTTTACGATAGTAAGACAAGTATGAAGCCTAAAAGGTGGTATCATCCACTGAGCCTTGGACCATCGACAGCCTCAATACTACTTCGCGTGCTACTCTTTTGTGGTAGGGCACATCTCCGGAAGTCAATTCGGGATCGCTCTCACGCCTCTCTTGCCTTTGTGGCGGTGATGAATACCACCAATTACGCGATATATCACCCAGCTTGCCTCTCCCCTGAGTCAATGACTGCAACCACTCCTTTCTAGCTTAAGCCTGCGAAAAACAAGGAGACCCATGTATCCGTGCGATACGAGATTGGTACGCTCGTTTGTGCTTAAATGTACGGAAGTAACTGGTACTTAAATAAGCTAAATTGCGGATTCTCGCGAAGCTTCTTGGAACCTTTTTTCTAGAATGGCGATTTTCACACCTCGGAATGGCCCGGTGAAAACTACTCCGTGCGTGGTAACATCATTCACGAGCAAGTAAGTTTGTGGGCGAGGAGTTCGGCTGGGCGGAGAGGATGTGTCAGTGCTCGCCGGTTGCTCGCTGAAAAAAAAAAAAAGCTTGGACGGTGTGGGATCTTCCAATCTGCTCACCATAGAAGTTGATGGTGTCAATGAGGCTGATTAACTTTCCATCGAGGGTGTGTCTAAGGCTGATCTGCCACGATGTAATTCAGGCATGAAGTTCACGAACGCCCTCCACTGCTTGCATGTCAGATCGTAATGTATGCCGGCTCCGTCATCAAGCTCGTTATCGCGAATCTGGACCGCCGCCGGCCCGCGAGCGCGACATCGGTGGTTGGCTTCCCACTTGATGCGTTGTCTTCTCTGTTTGGCGGACTATACATACATATTGCGGGGGAGCCTTAGTTTGCCTTTTTTTTTTTTTTTTTCCAGGTTATCGGGAATGAGCTGGCGAGCCTTATCGAAGGTGTTTAGTTGGCTTCACCGCTTCTTGGGGTGTATGTGTGTGAGAGCTTTGGGGAGCGTGCGCCCGCTCGTGATGATTGGTTTCAGGCATGGATGCATGATGGTTTCATGCCCAAGGTGTGAAGAAACCTGTTCCGATTCTCGGAGCCGTGGAGGCTGAGTTTCGGCTTTCAGGATGGTGCGTGTTGATACGATGTCCTCCTTTTTTCTGATTAAAGCACGACGGCAGTTGATGCCTAGTTACTGGCTTACGGGTTCGGACATTCGGGGGAATAATAATGAATGTTAGTTCCCTCGTATTCTCTGTATGGTATGTCTATCGTGAGGGTGTCGTCCATTTGGGGGGGGGTATCTACATATCTATCTCTTTATAAACAGTAAGACTTTTGTGTTTTACGGCGCAGGCCACCGGGAAAGCCCGTCAGCAACATGCAAGCGCCGCCTTCATCGTAATACTGTAAGCAAATCCATTTCCACCCGCCAGCCAATTATGCTCGTCAAACTGGCGACGGGATCTTCTGCTCTCCCTTCCAGAACAACCAGCTATTCGCTATCACGAACTTGCTAGCCGCCGCAATCCACAACGCCGTCTCGATGCCCCCGGTCGCGCGCGCCAGCCACCCGCCAAAGATTGCGCCGGCAATAACGCCAATCGCGGCGTTGAGCCGTCTGTTTCGTTTTACGTTCTGCGATAGGGGCAGTAGCAGCCCCGGATCGGACGCGAGGTCGTAGTACAGACTGGTCAGGACGGTCGTGGGGATCTCGTTGAATCCGAGAAGGCGGCTGGCCGCCATCTGCCCGGAGGACTGGAAGGCAACGAGCGCGATGGGGACGAGTTCGAGAAACATGGCCTTGTCCGGCTGAGGGTCATCTGCGGTGACGATCCCGCTGCCGCTGCCGCCGCTGCTGGATTGGGGTCCCGTCTTCCCCGAAATCGCGCCAGACTGGAGCAGGGATGCAGCGATGATGAGGAGGGCGCACTGGATCGCGAATGTGCTGACGAGGGTGCGCCGCTTCTGCGGACCGATCCATCTGCTCATGGAGAAGACGCAGCTGCCGATCACGAACGAGCAGATTGAAACCAGGGACTTGAGCCACTTGGAGGTTTTTCGGAACGCGTAGTCTGAGGCTCCGAGGCCCAGGAAAACGGTGTTGCCTAGAAGAACGGTCAGGTTTTTTTTTTTTTTTTTTCTTGCTTCTGATCGGCCGCCTGGATCAAGTTCGAGGAGGAGGAACAGGCGTACCGGTCTGCATGCTAACAAAACATCCCCAGGCCCTGAAAACAGAGCTGTCGCACAGTCCGGACAGGAAGTAGCAGAAAAGGAATATGATGTCTGCATGCTTGAGGGTAACTTCACCCTCTAGTCGCTGCGCAAGCCAGCCGCGTCCATGTTCATCGCGGTTCGGTGTGCCCTGCACAGCCGTATCTGCGCCATGCCCGGCATCAACCATGGTTGAAGTTCCCACACAGTCATCGTGACATGCAGCAGCCATGCCTTGGCTGTGTTCGCTGCTTGATCTGCGCGATGACTCGGCGGGATGCAACTTGGGCGATGCCATTGCGGCCCTGGAGAGTAAGGGCTCAACTCAATTTCTGTTGCGAAATACACCGTATGATTGTTTTCTTCTATCCTGCGATCAGGTCCACGAAGCGCGCTCTCTTTGTAAGACCGTAAAATATCTTCATAGCTCCCAAAAGGCTTCGCTTGAGGAAGATAGCCACTCCGTATTACGGAGGAAAAGATCACAAAGCCCTGTTTGCCTTTTTCCCGCCTGTGAAGAGCAAAGTGACTCAACTTGCCGAAGTGAATCTCTGGTTGGATCCTCTTTTACCGAAATTTAAAAGCAAAAAAAGGCTTTATCCCTGTCAAACTAACTCAACTAGTTAACTAGTTAAGAGTTGACTAACAGACGAGTTAAATGCGCGCGTTTGCAGCTTCGAGGGTCTTCAGCTCGACTTCTACCTTCTGCCAAGTTGCATCCAGCGATCTTCTCTGAAGCAGGACAGCACAATCCGTGTAGCTTGATCCTGCTTGTTGCTGATAAATTCTTTCATGAGTGCGGCTTTCTTTTCTTGCCGAACCCGACTACACCGACACGAAGATCTGGAGAAGCGCAATGGAACCGTCGACGACGCTGGGCCAGCCGAGGATCTCCACTTGGCTTTCTCCTATTTTTACCGCGATCGCACATGAAACTGCTTGCATGATATCGACGATCGCTACCGAGTACGAAGTGTGAACTACGAAAGGGCAGTGAAGACGAATAATACTTCCTGATGGCTTGCACTAGCCCATGAATTATATCTATTCAAAATGGAATCTGATGCGCTGTGTGACAAACAAAGGCCCCAGCAGCTCCATGTTTTCCAGCTCTACCCCAAGGCACACTCTGAAACTATCTAAACCACACCCTGCCGCCGAAGTTCGTCGACCCTCTTTCCGGTGATACCAAGTTCCGCAAGGACCTCCTCTGTATGCTGACCGAGCAGGGGCGGATTGATTCGAACCGACGGCTTCGATTCACTGAACTTGACCGGGAACCCTGAGGGACAGCCAGTTTTAGCAGACGCACCTTTATGGCGTTGGGAGGGAGACCGTTAACATACCTGTGACCTTGAACTCTCCGTCTGCTGCAGAATCCATCTGCAGCGTGTTTACCATGTCTCTGGCCTGCGCTTGAGCGTGGCCAAACGCTTTCTCTATCGAGTTGATCGGCCCATATGGCATACCACTGTTTTCGAACACTGTTAACCATTCATCAGTGGTTCTTGTTTGAAACAGCTCGTGTAGGATCTTATTCAGCTCTACACGATTCTCGATACGGGCGTCATTCGTTCGGAACCTTTCGTCCCGCGCGAGATCTGGCTGGCCCAGGCGCTCTGCTAATATGGCAAATTGCCGGTTATTCGTTGCACCCATGACAAGATAGGAATCTTTGGTAGGAAACGCCTCGTATGGAACAATGCTGGGATGCGCCGTTCCCCATCTCTTCGCTTCGCGGCCCATGTTGAGCCAAACTGAGGCTATGTTGACCATCAGGGCCAGCTGGGTTTCAAATAGGGAGCCGTCAACCTTCTGGCCTTTTCCTGTCCTGTTTCGCGCATGCAAGGCGGATACAATGGCACCGTGCATGAAAAGCCCGGTGCAGAGATCTGTAAGTCCCACACCTGGCTTTGTCGGAGGACCTTGAGCTTCTCCCGTCACATGAAGCAGCCCTCCTTCAGCCGCGGCGATTATATCGTACCCTGCGCGTTTGGAGTATGGTCCTCCAGCTCCGTAGCCTAAGTCTATCAGTATCTTCCTTGGTCTTTGCCGTCGCTTATCCCTACTCACCCGAAATGCTCGCGTGGATGATGGATGGGTTTACTTTCGAAAGAGTATCGTACCCGATTCCGAGCTGGTCCATCTTCCCCGGCACGAAATTGTCAACGCTGAGAGGCTGTGAGGACCTTAACTATGCGCTCAGCAAGGCTGCAGTACTCACATCACGTCAACCTTCTTCACAAGATCCAACAAAATCTCTCTTCCCTTCTCACTTTTCAAATCCAGGGTTATGGCGCGCTTGTTCCTGTTGACGCAAGCAAAATAGCACGATATACCTTCCTCCTTCCACTTTTCGCTCTCGCCATGAATCCGCCAGTATCTCGTTTCGTCCTAACTTGGGATTGTCCATTGGTCAAGGCACGGCACTACGAGCTTTTTATGTGAAAGACCTGAATGCGGAGGGGAGAACAAACTCCTTTTCCCGGTTGCTCAACTTTTATCACGTCGGCACCATAGTCGGCGAGGATCTGGGTGCAAAAAGGCCCCTGTTCAAGTTAACATATGAGAGTCAGTTATTATTTGTCTGGTCTCTCTCAATAATGCCAAAGCGCTTCGAAACGTGGGTTCATACTGCTAGAACTCTTGTGAGATCTAAGATCTTGTACCCGTCTAGAGCCCCGGTATTTTGAAATAAGGTGCGATTTCTCGCATTGCTATGGGAACTCGAGAACCTAGATGACGAGGAGAAGAAAGCTGAGGGCGGAAAACAACGAAAGGATGTGAAGGGTCCGGCGGAACGATAACGAAGAATTGCATGAAAGGACAGCGGTCTCAATAGAGGATGAGGTGGCATGGTGGCTCTCCGCGCTAGGAGCATTTGTATATTGGAAAGAATATAAATATTTTTTATATTTACTTTCTACAGATACTCGAGCTGAAGAGGTCGTCGAATTATGTGAGGCCGCACTCATCGGTCGCGAAAATGCGTCCGTGCGCAGGCTTAGGGAAATTCAGACCAGATGCGCCGGTGTCTGCACTTTTCTCTCCCTCCAGTCTCACTTGCTCTCCCTCTCTCGCTCTCGTCTCCAGCTTTCGCTCGTCCGTCCTGCAACAATCGCGGCGAAATCGCAAAATAGCTCGGCATTCGGCAATTTCACCGGCATTCTGGTGTCTCTTGATAGCCAATCATATTGCGTCAATCCCTGGTCTATGTGGGGTGTTCCGGCTTTTCTTCCACTGGCCAGTTTTGGTCTTCCGAATCCGACGCGTCTCGGCTGCAGAGGACGCGATGCTGACTTGCGCGATGGACAACATCACTGCGGAAGGTGATTCGATGTCGGACGGGAATGGGTTAAGACGGTGGTGAGGACGGGCAGCACTAGAATATTAGTGCCATGCGGTTAGGGGTGCACGGGGAATGATATGAAGTTGGATCGATCCTAAACTTTGGCGCATTGGAGATTCCTCCATTGCGCACTGGCTCCCCTTTAACTTGTGTACTTTTAACTCGACTTCCGTCTTCCGTCTTTCAACAAAGAGGTTGATACCTACAGCCATGGGGCACATCCTACGGAGTGGAGGTCAACTGGTCCGTTGCACGTATCGATCGCTGCAGCCTTTACTGATTGCTGACACGTTCGCCCCTTATGGACTACCTAGATCTCCCAAGTTGGACGACAAGCCAGGTTTTCTCAGAAGCCATCGAGACACCGCCTTCTCTCGCCACTTCACACACACACTCCATTCTTTTCAAGGATCTCTGCGAGATCTCTTACCACGAAAGCCACCGAGTATCTCCCTTCCTCCAATCCCGACTGGACCGAATCTCAGATCACCGTGCGTGAATCTATAGCCAAAATTTGCTCCGACTTCCCCGACGATTACTGGCTAAAGCTCGATCAATCCAAAGCTTTCCCAACCGATTTCCAGCAGGCTCTTGCCAGAGATGGCTGGTTGGGTATCTGTCTGCCTACAGAATTTGGCGGCGCGGCGCTGGGGATCTCCGAAGCTGCGGTGATGATGCAGACTATCTCAGAATCGGGAGCGGGCATGGGCGGCGCCAGTTCAGTGCATATGAATATCTTTGGACTTGAGCCGGTGGTAAAGTTTGGGAGTGAGGAGCAGAAAACGAGATTCTTACCACCGTTGATTGAAGGAAGGGAACGGGCTTGCTTTGGGGTCACTGAGCCGAATAGCGGCCTTGATACGCTCAAGTTGAGATCGATGGCGACGAAAGATGGCGATCATTATATCTTGAAGGGTTCAAAGGTTTGGATATCTACCGCGCAGAATGCGGAGAAGATTCTTATCCTTGTTAGAACCACGCCTGTGGATAAGGTTGCCAAACCTTCGCTGGGGCTTTCGCTGTTCTATACGGACCTGGATAGATCGCAGGTTGAAGTCACGGAAATTCCGAAGATGGGTCGTGCGGCCGTGGACACGAATACTCTTTTCTTTGAAGACTGGAGGGTCCCTGCAGAGGATATGATTGGCGAAGAGGACAATGGCTTTAAGATGATCATGCACGGTATGAATGCGGAGCGCATTCTGATTGCCGCCGAGGCGTTGGGCTTGGGATACGCTGCTCTTAGAAGAGCAGCTGTGTATGCGAGTGAGAGACAGGTGTTCGGTCGGCCCATTGGAAAGAACCAAGGCATTCAGCATCCTCTTGCGGACTCTTGGATGCAGCTTGAAGCTGCGAGATTGATGGTATATCAGGCTGCGAGGCTGTACGACGCCGGCCACGCGACTGGCGAGTATGCCAATGCCGCCAAGTATCTCGCTGCGGAAGCGGCGTTCCGGGCATGTGAGCGGGCTGTTATGTCCCACGGTGGAATGGGATATGCTAAAGAATACCATGTTGAGAGATATCTAAGAGAATCATTTATCCCACGCATTGCGCCGGTCAGCAGGGAGATGATTCGAAATTATATCGGCGAAAGGGTTCTGGGCCTCCCTAAATCATACTGATTGGATCTCTTATGTTTGTCCTCAGTTCGGAGTCGAAATCTTATTTTTGTTGTCTTGTATTACGATTATTTCAGTCTCCACGTTTGGATAGCGATGGTTCTAACCGTCTCCCAGCGGGCCCCCTACACTATTCATGATATGCATATGTATCCCTTCAAAAATAACCCAGGGAGCGAGCCAGGTCCCAAGCTTACTGATCAATGGCCAGCCTCTCTAAGGCTTATGCAATGACACTAATCCATTTCCAAATCCGAAGTATACGGTCGAGACTAATATTGTATCTGGATTAACCGAGACGAGTAAGTATTTATAGCCTTTACTGGACAAACAAGCGGCTCGTTTGGTTCCCCGTTTCCGGCTCAATATGGGCAAGTGTCAAGGGTAGATCCCACCGTCTCCGAGGTAACTTATACTACCTAGCAGTCCCGCAATTGGCTTGTAGTCTTCATATTTACGCTATCCCGGTATCCCTAAACCAGTCACCTCGCTCATTTCAATTTAAGCCTTCTGAATGAGCTTACTCTGGCCTAGCTGGAACCCCTTTCACAAGGTTGAACTCTATGAGCATTTCTTCTATTTAACTCTCATTATTATTGTTATTATTATTTTTTTCCCTTTGCTTTCTGCACATTTGTATTTCCTCATATAACTATATCGTTTTTTGATAGATGCCATCTTAATCCTACAGCCTATTAATTATCATCACATCATACCATGTTGTTATTAAGAAGTGGTTCTGATTTTTGAAATTTGACGCGAGTAGTTGGTTTGCCAAGTGGTTAAAGTCTCAACAGAGTGAAACACATGCAAATGCATTAGACACATCACTTTTGCTGCAGGCATGGTGGCTAGAGAGAACATCATTGTCGTATCTTGAGCGGATCCAGAGCTTCAGACAACTGGCACATACCATCCATACTCTTCCTCGGTAGATCTAACCGTTGATGCTCTTGATCGATGGAGTGGTGCCTTGACAAGAACGCACTGATGTTAAGCTTAGTAGAATCGCTTTCCAGCAAAACATCTAGTTAACTACTCCGTACTTAGTGTTACAATATAATTTGCTTGGAAGTTGTTTCAACCGTTTTCGATTCTCCCTACCAGCCCTAAACCTCAAGCCAGTTGATCGCAACATGTGCTAATCTTATCCCCGAGCGATTAGGTTCGGTTGGCCCAACCAAGCGCCCCGTTTCTCCGCGTTCTGGCCCTGTCGCTGCCGAGTAAGAAAATATTTTGCCCTCTCGAAGAGTCACCGCTGGTTAACTCCCCCCACCATTGAATATTAATTAATACGCTCTTGCCGTTGTACAGCGAACCGGCCTGGAAGAGCGGCTTTTAACCATGCAGAATTACTCGTGGCACTTTTCCTTTTCTATCCGTTTAACCAGTTTTGGCGTCGGTTTATGCCGCGACGATTGATCGCCCCGGATCTGCTGCGCGTTCGACAATCTCCGGTTCAGTTCGCATTATTAACTCGCCCAGGCCGGACGTTGCGAACGACTCTTGAAAATTCAGCCAGGGCCTTGTCCGTATTGACTCTCTCCTTCGACATAATTCCTCGAGAATCTGCCCGCGATTGCCCGCTGCGATGACGGATTCACTCGCCGACAAAGGCTTGAAGGCGGACCAAAAGGTTCAGCAGGGATATTCACCCCAAGATGCGGCGACCGCTGGAGATTCGGCGTTTCGTTTGGATCCCGAGAAGGAAAAGGCTTTGATTCGGAAAATTGATTTGCACATTGTGCCGTTTCTCGTCGTTTTATACCTGTTCAGCTTCTTAGATCGAGGTATGTTGAGCACTGGTGTGATAGTTTGAACATGACAACTAATGGCAGTTTTATTTTGCTCTGGCAGTGAACATCGGAAATGCGCGACTATATGGGTTGGAGGAGGACTTGGGCCTCCATGGAGATCAATTTCAGATTGCGGTGTCTATTCTGTTCGTGCCTTACTGTGTAAGTGTGCTAATGTGGACGGCGACCGGAAGAAACCCCGATCTAACTCCACTTCCCGTCTAGCTCCTCGAAGTCCCGTCAAATTTGGTCCTCAGGAAGCTTACAGCATCTCGATATATCGCGTTTATCACGGGGGCTTGGGGAATTATAGCCACGTTGACCGGCATCACGCAGAATTTTGCCGGCCTTATAGTATGCCGCATTTTCCTCGGAATTATCGAGGCAGGTCTATTTCCTGGCTTGGTCGCGTACATGACCTTATTCTACGGAAAACGGGAGATCGCGCTTAGAGTAGGGTATTTGTTTAGCGCTGCGGCGCTTGCTGGTGCATGCGGCGGATTACTGGCCTATGCTATTGGCCACATGGACGGAATTGCGGGCCAGAGAGGCTGGAGATGGATTATGATAATAGAAGGGCTACCATCCGTTCTGCTGGGTGTTTTAACCTGGTTTGGTCTAGCAGACGATCCGGATACGGCGTATTACCTCAACGACAAAGAGAAGGCTCTCATGAAGGCACGCCGGAGTCGTGAGATCGGACAAACCGACTCCGCACAGCAATTTCATATGAAGGACGCGAAAGAGGGCGCCAGAGATTGGACGGTTCTACTTTTTTGCTTGGGACAATTTGGTGTCGATGCTGTTTTATACGGATACAGCACATTCTTGCCCACTATCATTCGCGATATCAATGAATGGTCGGCGCCGCAAGTCCAGGCTCTAACTATTCCCTGCTATGCTGTTGGGGCCATCACTTACTTGGTTGTCGCCTGGTTCAGCGACAGAACACAAAAGCGCGGAATATTTACTGTAATTTTCTGCGGGGTCGCAATTGTTGGCTATGGTGTATTGATTTCAGATGCTAGCGCAGGAGTGCATTACTTTGGATGTTTCTTGGTGGCCGTAGGCCTCTACGTCTGTGTCGGCTTGCCACTTGCTTGGCTGCCGACAAATCTGCCGCGATTTGGTAAACGAGCATTCGCCAGCGGCCTTCAACTTACGCTTGGAAACGTTGCTGGAATCGTCACACCGTTCCTATATCCGACTCGCCACTCCCCAAGATATGTGATGGGACACGCAGTCACACTCTCCCTTACCGCGTTTTCTGCCTGCATATATGCTTTTATGTGGTATTGGTATAAGAGAGCCAATAAACTCAGAGAACAGGGCAAAGAGGATGGCAAGATCGAGGGGATGACCGAGGAGGAGATTCAGGAAATGGGAGATCGGAATCCTCGGTTCCGCTTCACGACTTAACAGTTGTCGTCGAGTTATCTTGCGATTCAGAGATTCTTTCTTCTCTTTTCAGCATGACCTTTTCCGAGGATATAGGATGAAATTAGATATTTCGAGGTATTTCTGTACGTACCTGTATGTAGTTCGCTGTGATATCGCCTCTAAGAAACCAATTTCATTCTGTCGGATGAAGCGTTGGACTTACCGATACCCCGACAACTAACAGCTTCATCGGCTATCCTGAATTCCGACATCCGTTTTTCCTGGGTAATGCTGAATCCTAATTCTGTGCCTTTCCAGCACGATGCCCTGATGGGAAACTCAAAAGTGCCACGCTTTAGCCGATGACATGACGTCAAAACGCATGTCAGTTGACTCTGGGTTGGAATATGTCTCCATTGTTTTTCGAAAAAGGCTGTTTCTTCATTCGTTATATCCGTATCTCCGGGGGGTTTGAAAGAACCTGCATATAGAAGCCAAAATGCTGAATTTCTTTGCCATTGCGGCGACTCTTTTGACAAAAGTCGGCGTGGGGTGAAATCTTGAGCTGTCTCTTTTCGACTGACCAACCGGTTCTTGGCGCAGGCATGGATGGCGCATCTGATAAGATTGGCCGCCCTGTGGGCTCGCCTGGGACGAACGCGCAGCCTGGGGAGCCAGCAGCACGCGTCGATACGCCGAGCAACACCGGTGAGAACGAACATGCACCGTCACTGCAAGATGAGAAGGGATTCCACCCGATCCGCTCCGAAAACCCTCGTGAACCTCAATCGTCAACGGGCTCGGGTCCAGAATCCTCTGAATCTGAAGCTGCACTATTGTATAGACGAGATACCCAGCATGCGAAGCGGGAAGAGGTCGATGATGGGGTCGAGACCGTCACTCCCAGTCGACAGCCATTGTATGAACAGACAAGCCGGAGCACTGCTCCATCATCTCGCGATGAAGAATGGGCCAATCTACAGCATATCCTGTCCAACATGTTTGGACGTGCGCGGCAGGAAGTCTCAGAGGAGGAGAAGAGCAGACACGTTGGATTGGTGTGGAAGAACTTGACCGTAAAAGGCGTGGGCTTAGGGGCTACTCTGCAACCAACAAATTCGGATATTCTTCTTGCGCTCCCAAGATTATTCGGGAGGTTGTTTACGGGGAAAATCCGCAACAGGAAACCAGTTAGGACGATATTGGATGACTTTACGGTGTGTTTTCCTTCGCTCGGGGTTCAATTCCTTCCTCTCCAATGGTGCGATAGCTAATTAAATCGGTAGGGATGTGTGAAGCCCGGAGAGATGCTTCTGGTCCTGGGTCAGCCAGGATCCGGCTGTTCCACATTTTTGAAGGTCTTGGGCAATCAGCGCGCAGGTTACGAGGCCGTTGACGGTGAGGTCACATATGGTGGAGCAGATGCAAAGACAATGGCTCAAAAGTATAGATCCGAGGGTGTGTATGCCTATTCCACCCCATTTCCATGTTATTTCTAACTGCTTGGGTCCCGCAGTCTTGTATAACCCCGAAGATGACCTGCATTATGCGACACTTACGGCCAAGCAAACGCTGAACTTTGCGATCAGAACTCGCACACCGGGAAAAGAGTCGCGAAAGCCTGGGGAATCCCGTCGTCAATATAGAGAGACATTCCTGACCAGCGTGGCAAAGTTATTTTGGATTGAACATTGTCTAGATACGAGGGTTGGAAACGCCTTGGTCCGTGGCGTCTCCGGAGGTGAGAAGAAGCGAGTATCAATAGCTGAGGCGCTCATCACGAAAGCTAGTACTCAATGCTGGGACAATTCAACTCGAGGACTAGATGCAAGTACTGCTTTGGAATATGTCCAATGTCTCAGGAGTCTCACAACAATGACCCATGTCTCGACGTCGGTGGCGATATATCAAGCTTCAGAATCGTTGTATAAGCTCTTTGATAAAGTAATCCTGCTTACTGAAGGAAAATGTGCCTATTTTGGACCGACGAGTGATGCGAAGGCATACTTTGAGAACCTAGGCTTTGAGTGTCCACCCAGATGGACAACTGCCGATTTTCTAACTTCAGTCACCGAACCACATGCTCGAAGAGTTAAAAGCGGCTGGGAAAATCGTATTCCACGGTCAGCTGAACAGTTTAAACGCGCGTATGATGAGAGTGCCGTACGGAAGGTTGCGATGGAATCGATCGCAGAGTTGGAGGATGAAATCGAGGCCAAAAAAGGCGAACTAGAAGATATCCGACGGAGAACGCCAAAGAAGAATTTTACCATTCCTTACTACCAACAGGTCATTGCGCTCAGCGGACGACAGTTCATGATAATGATTGGTGATAGAGAATCGCTGCTCGGCAAATGGTGCGTGATTCTGTTTCTTGCTTTAATAGTTGGCAGTCTATTCTATAACCTCCCCAAAAATAGGTAAGTCATTCTATTTTTACCCTTTTTAAGTCTTGATTTTGACACCCTATGACTAGTCAAGGGGTTTTCACCCGAGGAGGGGTTATGTTCTACATAATCCTATTCAATGCTTTGCTTTCTATGGCGGAATTGAGCTCGACATTCGAAAGTCGGCCAATATTGATGAAGCATAAGAGCTTGTATGTACGAGGTAGTTTTTCTATTCGAGGCCAACAACAGCTAATTCTTATCAGCTCATTCTACCGGCCCTCGGCTTACGCTCTCGCCCAAGTAGTTGTCGATGTTCCCCTGGTGTTCACTCAAGTTTTCATCTTCCTGATAATTGTGTACTTGTACGTTCTCTGACCCTTCCCCATACGAGCTTGGGCATGCACTAATTTTTTTATAGTATGGCAGACCTAGCTCGCACAGCATCTCAATTTTTCATCGCTTTGCTGTTTGTGTGGCTGGTCACCATGGTCATGTATTCTTTCTTCCGTGCAATTGGAGCCTTAGTCACGTCCCTTGATGCGGGTTAGTATGCCTTTCTGCTATTATAAACGGAACAAATATGCTGACATTATTTGCAGCTACACGCGTCACAGGAGTTGCAATACAAGCATTAGTTGTCTACACCGGTCAGTTTCACTAATGCTCCTGCTCCCTTTTCCAGAGCTGTTTCTTATTCATGGCGTTTAGGATATCTCATTCCTCCTGGAGAAATGAGACCCTGGTTGAAATGGCTAATTTGGATCAATCCTGTTCAGTACACTTTTGAATCATTAATGGCCAACGAATTCTATAATTTGAGAATCGAATGTGTTGGCCCTAATTTGGTTCCCCAAGGACCGAATGCGTCCCCCGAATTTCAAAGCTGTACTGTCCAAGGCAGCGAGCCTGGTCAAACATTCGTGGACGGTTCGGCCTACATATTTTCTAATTATGGCTACACTCGGGATCACCTATGGCGGAATTTCGGCATTATTATAGCTTTGCTTGTGCTTTTCATTGTCCTGACTATGGTTGGCACCGAAATCCAAGCTAGTTCACACAGTTCAGCTCATAGCACTGCTGCAGTCACCGTCTTCATGCGAGGACAGGTACCCCGATCTGTGAAACATGAAATGCAAAATTCGAAAAAGGGGCTGGACGAGGAAGAAGGAAAACAAAGTGTGCTATCTAATGGATCTGAATCTGACGCTATAGAAGACAAGGAGGTTCAAGCTATCTCAAGAAATGCCGCAACTCTTACATGGCAAGGCGTCAACTATACAATCCCCTACAAAAGGACTAGAAAAACGCTTTTGCAGGACGTCCAAGGCTATGTAAAACCTGGTCGTTTGACTGCTTTGATGGGGGCATCAGGAGCCGGGTATGTCAATTTCAAACGTACCTTTTAGCCGCTTAGACACACTGACAGCATTCGATCACAGAAAAACTACACTTCTCAATGTTCTGGCTCAGCGAGTCGATTTCGGCGTTGTGACTGGGACCTTTCTTATAGACGGAAAGTAAGTCGCCGATCTCCGCAGGTCCTTGCAAAAAGAAAACCCTTACTGATCATTGTGAAAAGGCCTCTTCCAAAGAGTTTTCAGCGTGCAACTGGCTTCGCAGAACAGGCAGATATCCATGAGCCGACAAGCACGGTCCGAGAGTCCCTGCAATTTTCGGCGCTCCTCCGTAGGCCGCCGGAAGTTTCAATTCAAGAGAAGTACGACTATTGTGAGCGGATTCTTGACCTGCTAGAACTGCAGCCTATTGCCGGTGCTACAATCGGCCATGTGGGTGCAGGTCTTAACCAGGAACAACGGAAGCGTGTGACTATCGCTGTGGAGTTGGCAAGCAAGCCAGATCTTCTCTTATTCCTGGATGAACCGACATCCGGCTTGGATTCCATTGCCGCTTTTAATATTGTTCGCTTCTTACGAAAGTTAGCAGACGTAGGCCAGGCTGTCCTATGTACCATCCACCAACCGTCCTCAGTCTTGTTTGAAGAATTCGATGACCTCTTGTTGCTTCAGTCAGGCGGGAGGGTGGTGTTTCATGGCGATTTGGGAGCAGATTCGAGAAAACTAATTGAATATTTTGAGCGCAACGGTGCCAGACCTTGCCCACCAGATGCAAACCCAGCAGAGGTAGGAGGCTGTATATCCCTAGAAATTTGGTCCGAAATTGCTAACTGGATACAGTATATGCTTGATGTTATCGGTGCTGGTAACCCCGATTATAAGGGTCCAGATTGGGCTGATATATGGGCAAGTTCTCCCGAGCATGAAACTGTGACAAATGAGATTAAACGTATTGTCCATTCTTCTGCTCAGGAGGGCAGCCCAGCCGGCACAGCTGGCCAAAGGGAATTTGCGATGCCAAAACGGACTCAGATCCTTGCAACTGCGAAGCGTTCGTTTATCGCATATTGGCGTACTCCCAACTATACAATTGTAATATTCTCCTTTCTATTTGGCTATGCTTGTCACGATTTGAACACTAACAAGCAGGAAATAGGGCAAATTCATGCTGCACATATGGACTGGTCTTTTCAACACGTTCACATTCTGGCATATCCGAGATTCGACCATTGATATGCAATCCCGACTTTTCTCAGTGTTCTTGTCCCTCGTCATCGCACCCCCTTTGATCCAACAACTCCAGCCACGTTATCTTCATTTTCGAGGTTTATATGAGTCTCGAGAGGAGAAGTCCAAAATATATACTTGGTTTGCACTGATCACCAGCATCATTTTACCGGAGCTTCCCTACTCAGTGGTGGCTGGGACATTGTTTTTCTGCTGCTGGTGAGTTGTCCCTTTTTGCATATTGCACCTGGTCATCGAGCCGACAGAAATTAATACAACCAAGGTATTTTGGAACATGGTTTCCTCGCAACTCCTTTGCAGTTGGCTTTACGTGGATGCTGCTCATGGTCTTCGAAGTGTTTTACGTTACTTTTGGGCAGATGATTGCGTCCATTTCGCCGAACGAATTATTCGCATCCCTCCTTGTTCCAGCTTTCTTCACATTCGTCGTCTCGTTCTGCGGGGTAGTTGTTCCGTTTCAAGGCATCCCTTATTTCTGGCGCTCGTGGATGTACTGGCTCACTCCTTTCCGCTACTTACTGGAAGGATATCTGGGTGTCGTCACCAATAAGATCCCAGTGCGATGCAGCGAAAACGAATTTGCACGGTTCAGGCCCCCACCAGGGTTAACATGCGAAGATTATGCGGGTCCTTTTGTTGAGCAACGGGGTGGATATGTGATTACAGATGGAAGCGGGATGTGCGCACTTTGTCAGTATGCGAATGGAAATGAGTTTGCAGCGAGTTTCAACGTGTTTTATAAGTACAAGTGGAGGGATTATGTGAGTGACTACCATTTTCTTTTTGAGGATATAGGTTTTAGGCTAATAGCAGGTCAACTTAGGCGATATTCTGGTCTTATGTTGTTTTCAACATTCTTGCCGTCTATATCCTCTCCTGGTTATATCTACATGGATTTCCAGCGCTGAGGAGGAAGTTGAATTCGCGAATGATGAGAGAGACAAGGTGAGCGAAGATGTATATAGGCCTGGTTGCGATTCACACAAGGCTGATCTACATGCTTTTATTTGGTATCGAGATATTTGATTATGGGCAAATATACCTTATCAGCGTTGGTGTATAGACTTCCTTTCAAATATGATGCGGTACTTCCTATATTGTAGCATTCCGCAGATGAAATATATGAAATATGTAAACATTAGTTATACATGGAGCCAATCTGTCACGGTGTGGACTGATACCTGTCCTTGAGAAAGGTCGAGATCAACGCCAATGTATCCACGATCTGATTAGCCACAGCAGCTCCATAGCTCGTTTGTGAAATCGCGTTGATTTCTAATCAATTGCTTCATAATGCCAGAATCCAGACTACTCCACCACCCACCCGCCTTTCATATCTCGTGTCCACGCAAGGCACACAAATAGCCCTCGTTCGCTTTGATTCTAGATGCATCAGTGGATAGCTTCGATAGCCTGGCCCTGCTACCTTGAAATCTCGCATACACTGTGAACTATTCGACTCGGGCGACGAACCTATTGAAAACGTCTATAATGGCAGCAAAAGCTATCGCTGTCATCGCTGGTGTGGGCCCGGGAACGGTAAGAGTCAAGTCTAAAGAGCCCTTGCGGCAAACCGCAGTCCCCTTTTCCATATTACATGTATAGCTACCAGTACTAACTTACGCTATTGATGCATAGGGCGCTTCTATTGCCCGTCGCTTCGCCAAGTCTTACGTGGTAGCCTTACTAGCCCGTAATCCGGACAATTATCAACCTGTTGTTCAGGAAATTTCTTCCAGTGGCGGACGCGCTGTTGGGATCAGCACCGATGTATCGGATGGAAACAGTGTTAAGAGTGCGTTTGCTGAAATAGCCAAGGCGTTTCCAAATATGCCGCTTGCCGCGGCGATCTATAACGTTGGCGGCGGACTGCCGAGAAAGCCCTTTTTAGAGCTTTCAGAAGACGAATTCAAGGCTGGATTTTCGAGCAATGGGTGAGGATAAATTACCTTTTGACAGTTGGATGGCTTTGGTATGAGGTAGTTTCGCGAGTCCGATGCTGACGTTCATCCGATATTCAGGCTAGGGGCATTTCACTTTTCCCAGGAGGCCATTCCGCTGCTTTTGAAGGCCTTCAATTTAGAGCATCCGCCTACACTAATATTTACAGGTATGGAATCAAATTGTGAGTTCAGTATGGTCTATAGCTGATGGCCTACCTTCCTAGGAGCGACCGCAAGCTTGAGAGGTTCTGCGGGAGTTGCACCATTTTCAACCGGAAAGTTTGCACTCCGTGCGCTATCTCAGTCCCTGGCTCGTGAATTTGGGCCTCAGGGAATACACGTTAGCCATGTTATTGTCGATGGAATTATCGATATCGAGCGTACAAAGCGCATCAAGCTCGATGCACCGGACGCGAAGCTTAGCCCAGATTCGGTAAGTGGCAAATCATCACACTGTGTGATTCGGCTGGGATGAATGGTTTATGCTAACTGTCTCTTTGTGAGATCGCGGGTACATATTGGTATCTACACACACAGTCCCGAACAGCATTCACGCAAGAGCTTGACCTACGCCCGTACGTTGAAAAGTGGTGAATGCAGGGAAATAATCTAGCAACAGGGAGTAACATGACAGTGATCAAGATGGAGAAAGAATAATGCTGTAACTTAACTTTGTAGCCTCCCTGCCTAATACCTTCTTCCACCACTGTTGGCTGTTTCAATGGAGCAGCTCGCACAACCAAGAGTGACGTCACTACGGAGCCCAACGCCCATAAGATAAGATAAGATAAGATAAGAGCCAAATGCCCCCCTAACTAAGGTTCCCGCTGGCTTATCCGGCCTTTGGAAAAATATTCAGCCGAGATCGAGTGCTTGAGGTCCAATTGTTGCGTTTCAATTTTTCTCCTCCAACCTTCTCGGCAACCACCGATATTCAAAACCTCATGAAGATTGGGATGCCTTCGAACGTCCATTCTAATAATTGCCTATACGGCGATATGTTCTAGACCTGGGACATCATATCCAAACATTTTGCATTGCTCTGTGGAAGGTGGTTGTATGATCATGAAAGCCCAAGATATGTGATATGCTCCCCGGAGCGCTCATTCTGATTTACATCAATTGAAAGGCTCTGCAGCGAATTCATTAATCCCAAGGGAGTATCGCCCTTGAACACATCGTCGCGGAAATTTGTCAAACTTCTGGAGTATAGCTTACTATGGCTAGGGGAAGTAAAAACGCTAAGTTATGCTCAGAGGGATGGTCTTATAAAGAAAATTTTGCGCATATGATGGATGTGGTTTGTCATGGTACAGCGCTATTGTGCTTTTATGAAACTTTAGCAACGAGGTTTACCCCGAAGTTGAAAGACCCTTCTTGTTCCCTTCTCAAGATCACGCTTTGCCAAAGCGCCATCTTTCAGCCCCTTCATGACATATGCCGAACATGGAGCGAGTTTGCACTTTACCTTTTTTATTCCAGCGCATATCCCGCATCTTTTCTGGCTTAGATCGCTACAAGGATAGGATGGGGTGATGGCGCAACTTTCCTGGATGGATTTTCGGGCCCACCAGGGATACGACGGACGACACCGCTTTCTCGGTCAGTCATCATAAGAAGAGAATTTCTGAGTGTTGTGGTCTCTGTCAATAGAAGCCCCAGCTGTCTCAACGGCATTCTCTATGTTGTTGTTGACATCTTGTCCGAAAAGAATGTAATAGTCCCGGCTTTTTCCTGCCTGCTAGGATCCAGAAAGTGAGCCAGGGGCGTGGCTCTCGGATAAAAAACGATCACATGTATACAGCTTGGGCATAAATGTTTCGATCGTTCCGGCAATTCGTGGCTGCCGGCGAGGTTACCCGCAAAGATGGTAATAATGCCAACTGAGACAAATTAATCAACTTCATTTCGCAGACGTCAATACGGTTGCAACTCTGCAAGAGGAAAAATAGAAGCTTTAATACAGGCATATCCATGCCAATTTATGCACATCGATCAATCTCTGCACGGCTAGGAACGATGGAGAGGAAATATAACTAGCCAATCGCTAAAACGTCTCCCGTGCCATTGAACCACAACGCAGCAAACCCATGTTCCCTACCCAAAGCTTGTCAGTTTTAGTCGTGCAACTGGTCCCACAAAGCTGGGAGCCTCCCCATTGTGGGGTTGGTTCCTTTTCAGCTCAAATACATTAGCATGTAACCTTTCCTGGCATACTTCCTCGCTAACCTCGCCTCCATTGGTCTGATGTCCGCTAGTCAGAAAATTAGCGGGGCATCCAGAACGGCCAGCCCGTTGCTCGCACATCCCCTGTCAGATGAGTTGCTTTCAACTCCCGTTTTCCTTGTGACAACCTGAGAGTCAGAATGCTGTTGTTGGCTTTCAATTGTGAGCTGCAAAAAAAAGCCTCGGCCAAGCAATTGCGGCACAAGGCTTGTTCCGACAGCGCCTAGCTTATGATTGGCTGGTTCTGGGTTTGCACCGCCACCCTTCGATTCGAGAGTAGTGGCTGTGCACACAAGTGGCGCTGGACGTTTATGTTAGGTAATCCAACTAGCACCTCGCTCACGTGACCCACATAGATTAGCCGAGATTCCCCTTTAGGTAGCTTAGTGAATGACAAGCATACAAGTCCTCCATCAGGTTATAGCTCTTTGTGCTGAAGAGCAAGTATATAAGGTTGATTTACAGCTCAATTGGATATTGAAGCTTATGATTAATACCCTGAACAGTTATTCTTGTGGATAATGAGGTTTTACAAGCACTAAAGAGGGCATATGTTGAAGTGGACACCTTCTATACATGCAAACCCCTGTAGCTTTCTGGCACCAAGCTGGAGAGCAAGTTAAACCCTGTAGCTTTCTGGCACTCAATCAGAGAGTGAGTGAAACACCTGCTAAACACACCTAGCAAGCAAATCAAGCACCTGGCAACACCAAAGCCATGATGAATCATACAGACAAACCAGAGCACCAAACCCCCAACCAGAAGGCTCCAATGAACCTTTCTACACCCCAAACCAAGCTTAGATGATCAAGTAGGCTCAGAGGTGACCAGCCAAATAACAAGCAGGAGTCTAGAGAGGAGAGTGAACTTCAAATATTATGCAGAATGATGCTGTAATAACAGAAGACAGTATAACAGCTGGCACAGCAAATAAGCCTCTTGTCAGGCCAAGGAAGCACTGCAAATATGCCTGCAACAGTGCAGGAGAACCTGAAGCAAGAAGCTCAACAAGAAGAGAACTGAGAGGTAGACTCTGAGAACAAACTAGAAGAATATGTTAGCAACCTTATAAACACAAATATGTGGACTGGCAGAGCAATCACCCAATTCATGAAGATCTCAAAAACAGTAAAGAAGCCTATGATCCTGGCTGGGGCCAGCAACTATCTAGCATGGAGCAAAGCCATTCTAAAGGTAGCTTGTCAAGTGGATACTGAGAAGATTATTCTGGAAAGACAAGAGATCTCACTATGGCCAGAGAACTTGAAGATTTCACAATACTGGAATGTTCAGAATAAATGGCTACATGGTTTAATCAACAGTATAATATCTGCACAAGCCAGAGAATACTTCAAGAAATTGGATAGTCTTAGTGCTTACAAACTCTGGGAAGCTGTAAGAACAGTCTTTCAAGAGAGATCTGAGATACAGCAGGAAAGCCTATTGACAGAGTTAGTGAGAATAACACTACAGTCTGCTGGCTCAGAAAGAAATTATATAGAGAGATTTCTAGCAACCTGTGGAGAATTTGAGAGATTAGGGTTCAAACAACTGGACCACACTCTACATGATATTTTGAAGATGAACATTATGTCTTGATGGAGAGAGTTCATACAGAACTGATTTGATATGGCATGCCAGAGTAGAACAAATCTACCAGAGAAGAATTTGAAAGACTTATTGAAGGATATTCTTCACTAAATTCTCAAGAAAGGCCAGAAGAAAGATGGTGGATCTACAAGGCCAAATACAAATGTAACAACAAGCTCAGATTCTCAAA